CTTACAGTTCCCCTCTGGAATCGTCCACTCTCGCCTGGTTCTAACACTAGGGTGGCATATGTAATATAAGGGTGGTGACCATTGGGGGTGTGGAGGTGAATACGGAATTTTGAGGTCCTGAGGTTGGTGCAGAAGGGATGGAGATGGTTGGAGGTGATGGAAGGTGATGGAAGGTGGTGGAAAGTGATGGATATGACAACTGGGGGTAATGGAACTGGGAGTGGTTGTGGAGATTCTCAGCTGCAAGGTCAAACTGACACATGTTCCCTGACACCAACTTGCCTTGTATGTATCTACCTAGTCTAACTTTCCATCCCTAGGCTCTATATCCAATGATTATTTCATTAGAACATGCAAGGACCATGACAGTTACACAAGCAAAGGACAAGGAAATGCTCAGACAAAGGACAAGGACATACTCAGAAGGACATACTCAGACAAAGGCAAAACACAGACAAAAGACAAGAGAAAAAACAGACAAAGGGAAAGGGGTATAAACATGGTGTATTCACAGAAGCTACTCATCACCAGTTGCAGCACTCTGGCCTCCATGACTTCCATGGCCTCTACGACTTCCACGGCCACTATTGCCCCTAACTCTGCCTCTGCTCCCTTGCCTCTGGCCTCTCCTTCCACGACTGACCTCTCTGGAACTGTTATCTCCAGGGCTGTCATTTCTATGAACTCGACCTCTGCGCCCATGCCTTGTCCCCAAGCTAACTGCAGAGCTAGCCACCACTTCAGTCTGAACATCTGGTTCTGGGCCCTCTGTGAGAGTGTTAGCACCAAAATGTATATAAGAGTTTTGGCTGAACTTACGAGGCTCTTCAGAGGGCATGTTGGGTGATGCTGGATCTGTTTCAGGTTCCTACAGCAAATTTTCAGCATCAACACAAGATGGAGACCCGCCCCATGTCAAAACTCATACAGAGAAATTGGACAGTGGACTCACCTCACTATCATTGACATCCATTTCAGCAAGAAGGGCATCCAGGCCCCCAGCAAGGCCTCCACCTTCCACCAACAGATTTGACTCTTCTGTTCTTGCAGGAGAACCAAACAATAAATGCTGATACCACTGCATTGTTTCATGCATTGGACGGAGTGTAGCAGTTTCCTCTCGTTTGAGCACAGTGAGGATGAACTTGTAAAAGTTGAGAAGGATGTCAAGATAATTGGTGTGACTAGGTTTCCCATGGGCAGAAACCAACTCAGTATCACCAGATAGCATGAAATAGACCTGTTATTTCAGATTCAATTGGTTGGTATAAGACAGTCAAATAGGATTTTAGTGGTGCCCACCAGCATTGCAACAATGGCAACAGTGCCTGGAGTTATTTCAGTTACTGCATGTGTAACACCCAATGCCTTTGGCGATGCATGCAGCCTTGCAGATTCCCAATCCTCTAGCAAAGGAGATCCAGGAAGGGGGATAGCAGACACAGCATCATTGAGTGCAGCAGGTCCAAAAATAATAACAATAATTGCCTTGTTGAGCAATATGAGTGAGATGATTAGCATAACACACAAGTAAAGTGCTCACAGCTGCAACAACCTGTGAGCGAAATACATGCTGGCGACAAGAACGGTCATTATTTGGAAACAAAAACAAGGGCAGATGATCGATGGGAGTGGGAGAATCAGGAATTATTCCGAGATGTTGTTGGCGTTCTTCAGCAGTTGGGCCATGTCCTGACTTCAGCAATGTTACACTTAAGTCCATGCCAAACAGTTGAAGGCTTGATTTTCGCAAGCGGCTCATCATTTGCCGTCTCCTTGCCCCAACATCAGAAACAAACTAGCCATACCAGAAATATCTGATTAATTAATTGTAAGGCAAGCCACCAGGACATAGGGAATACCTTGGCCAACCAGGGCATAACTCCAGAATGAGTGCGGAGCTCATCTGTCAATATAGAGTACTTCATTTCAAGAATCTTGTGGACACAGTATTGGCTGAAATTTGCCTCGGATGAAAACATTGCCTCAGCTGTCCATGAATGGAAGTTGCTATTGAGTTCCACTCTAAGGGAAGCTTTTGACAAAAAGGGAGAATAGAGAACTGCATAGAGAGCTGCATATTCCCGAATTCTTTTCTCGACACTTTTAATACTGGTTATATCACCAGAGCCAGGATCTGAACCATCTGCATCAGTGCCATCATTGATTTCATCATAGGTATCAGTGTGGGTGAGAGGATCAGTGTTGGTAGGAGGGTCAGCAGGTGGCGCAACCTCAGAGCTAGTTGGTGCCTGGAATCGACGAGATCGGAATGCACTGGAGCTTGGGTTTGGTGAGATGGACATTGTGGGCCGTGAAAGGAACCTCCTTCAATGTTTATCGGACAGATCGCAGGCAGATTGCAGACAGCGAACCAGGGCCTTGTGGTAGTTGGAAGGATTGAAAACTGAATTTCAAATTGCTAACTACACGTTTTACTATTTGACAACAATGGGAAAGGAGAAGTCCAACACTCGTAGATCAGCTCAATGATGAGGGAGTTGGAGGTGTTAATGTGCAATACAAGCGCTGGCTGCGAGTTTGGTGATGGGGGACGCCGTCCGCTTTGGGATTGGTTGGCATAGAATGCATGCAGTGTTGCAACATTATCCCAATCCCATTGCTGACTGCTAATCGGCTTGGTGGTGGTGGCAGGAATGGCTGGGGCAATGGGCATCCGCTGCGAGGTTGAGTATATAGTGCCGAGATTAGTCGGTGTGCACGCGATATTACAATCTGGCCTAACAGTGTTGCTGATGAGGTTTGGTGATGATGAAGTCGGGAGGTGTCAATCTGCCAGTACTGCATAGGAGTAGGGAGTGGTGTAAGATAGTAGTAAGCGCGCGTAATAAATTATTGTTGAGGTACCCGCGATATGACACAACAGTATTGTGCCATACCCAGCAGAACCACCCTAAAGCAAACACGATATTGCGCACCTAGTCATACCAGTCCACTGCCTCTCATCATGTTCCGAGTCACTGATAATAAGTTGAAGTGGCCAGCTCAGCCATATTTTGTGTGTGTCATCGCTTCAGGTGTTGCAGAGAAGCCCGTGACTGCTACTCACTGAACTGATGAAGGGAGTGTTCCTATTCCGGACCATCCACGGTTCATCAATAGTTATTGATATAAAGCCCAAGTAGAGTAGGTATATGTAGGAGCTCGCTGGCCGAGCGGTATTACGGTTGTGTATATTAATTGTAATTGTGTATTAATAATATGTCCTATATACATTCGATTCCCTATATAGTAATAGGCTCCACTGGAGGGTTGTGAGTTCGAAACTGGGGTGGTCTTCATTTTTTGGTCCATTTTACAAACCCATTGCATCATATTGCAACACGGACCTAGCCATTGCAACACGGACTTAGCCGCTGCAACACGGACCTAGCCGTTGCAACACGGACCTAGCCATTGCAACATCAAGTGTTCGACACCACGGTTGCATCGCCACTTACCCGTTTTGGGCATTGCATCGCGTTGCAACGCATTTCCACGGATTTCGGTTTTTTCCGACAATCGTCGCTCCTTGGCAATTCTCATGAACCCGACTCACGCATCCGATCTATCCTTTGCTTTGAAGACGCACTCGGTTGATTCCCATCACTCACCTCCCCATTCCTTCCTGCATCCCTTTGGATGCTCCGTAGTCTTTCTTTGATCCGACGCTTCTATTAAAGCTATCGTTGTCAATGAATTATTCCTCCCGTCCATCTTCCCCCAATTCTTCTTCTCCATGTCATCCACGGACTCTTTTGTTTCTGCTTGGAGCTTCGACTTCCAAAGGGTCGGAATGCGGAAGATATGGTCAAAGGAATCACGAAGATGACGTTTAGGACATGGACATGCAAAATAACGATAACTGATCTCCGTGAAGCTTGCTTGACATAGTCCGCCAGCACTCAGGGCATACAGAATGGACTCGCTACATCGTGGCCTTCATCGATTATTATTGGACTAAAGCCAGCGGTCCAGGCTTAGTCGCTGATGAAATAACTTCGCCGACTCTAACTGGATCCCTTGCCGCTGCCTGTGAGATATTTTCCTTCGACGAGTATTCTTTAAGCAATGAGGGTGTCTCTACGGAGAAGATCATGGGGAAGTACGGTGCCGAGGGCGTGCTAGTATGAGTGAAGACGATCTCATGGGTTGGAAGGGTGTAAAAAAAGGTTAGTTCTTTCCTGTTGACCGTTACTAATGATTATCGCTTTGGTACTCTCGGTTTCATACGTCTTCCCCTGCGGTTCCAGCGGTCCTAGTTTCCAGACATAGACCCAAGTGGTTCTTGCAAGCGGTGAGAAGAACCGCGCTATGCAATAGACTCCGGACCCAGAGTTGAATGATTGGAATGAAACGAGTGGTTGGGCCGGGATGTGTGGTTATATTTGGGATTGGTGGTGGTAGGCCGTGGACACTAAACAGTAGGAGCCAGTCGAAGAGTGCAGATTGTCGGGGATATGTACCAAGTTCGCCGAGTCGAGACGAGTACGTTGCCGGTGAAATGGGTGTTTGAAGTACTCAGCCCTCGATATCAATACATGACTCGAACTAAGAACAACATCATAATCAATTTATCCCGCACATCAGACTTCCCACTCCATGGACCATGTCTCGACAGGCATACATTGCCTGTACAGTGTGAGATTACCTACCCGATCGAAGTTTGTTACGTGCAGAGTTGTATACACTCGGATCACTTATGTATGCCACACCCCCTATACACACTAGTCCACTACCTGCCCCACACCTGCATATTGCCACCGATTTCGCTTTCCAATTGCGCTGACACCAACCGTTTCATGCAAGTCTCGGCTTCACTGTGTACAATGGTGTGCGGAAACATGGACAGAACATCAGGAATTGGGAGGTAAAACGTCTCGGAGAAACAAATGAGTGGTTTATATTTAGAATCATAAGGTTCCACCGTGATCAGTTGGCTGAACAGCCAAGACAGCCCATAAATGTTTCATGAAGAGTTCCGAACCAAAAACGGACGTTAGACCCTCCAGTGTTCCCAAACTAGACAACCCAACCGGGCTGTGTACACCGTAACACAGGTAGTACAGCGATGCAATGATAAGGGAAGGAGGAAGGTCCCAAAGGTCTCAAGGGGACCTGAGTTGTTCAAGTTAGTGCCTCGGAATCACGTCCGAGGTTAGAAAGAGCGGTACGTAGTTTGCTGAGTGACATATCCAAATTTGAGGTATGTAATCCTGGGTTAACGGCAACCAGCTCACGGTAGAGTTTGACGCTTTCCTCGATCAATGGGAGCGCCTCCGAGTGCCGTCCGAGATTCGAAAAAGCATCATATAGACTGTTGAGCGATCGAGCCAAATCTGGGGTGTATGATCCTGGGTTAACAGCAACTAGCTCGCGCTGGAGGTTGACGCTTTCCTCAACAAATGGGAGTGCCTCTGAGTGCCGTCCGAGATTTGAAAGAGCATTATATAGGCTGTTGAGTGACCTGGCCAAACCTGGGGTGTATGGTCCTGGGTGCACTGCAACGAGCTTGCGGCAGAGTTTGACGCTTTCCTCAATGAATGGGAGTGCCTCCGAGTGCCATCCAAGATTCGAAAAAGCATCATATAGACTATTGAGCGACCGAGCCAAATCTTGGGTGTATGATCCTGGGTTAACGGCAACTAGCTCGCGCCGGAGGTTGACGCTTTCCTCGACGAATGGGAGTGCCTCCGAGTGCTGTCCGAGATTTGAAAGAGCATTATATAGACTGTTGAGTGACCTGGCCAAAGCTGGTGTATGTGATCCTGGGTGGACGGCAACTAGCTCGCGCTGGAGTTTGGTGCTTTCCTCAATGAATGGGAGCGCCTCCGAGTGCCGTCCGAGATTCAAAAAAGCGTCATATAGACTGTTGAGTGACCAAGCCAAATCTGGGGTGTATGATCCTGGATGGACAGCAACTAGCTCTCGCCAGAGTTTGACGCTTTCCTCGATAAATGGGAGCGCCTCCAAGTGCCGTTCGAGACCCGAAAGAGCATCATACAGACTCCTGAGTGACCAGGCCAAATCTCGGGTATATGATCCTGGGTGGACGGCAACTAGGTCGCGTCGGAGTCTGACGCTTTCCTCAATGAATGGGAGCGCTGCTGAGTGCTGTCCGAGATTGGAAAGAGAGACGCAGAGGTTGTTGAGTGACAAAGCCAAATTTGGGGTGTATGATCCTGGGTGAACAGCAACAAGCTGGTGGTAGAGATTGATGCTTTCCTCGATGAATGGGAGTGCCTCCGAGTGCCGTCCAAGATGCGAAAGAGCATTACATAGACTATTGAGTGACCTGGCCAAATCTGGGGTATATGATCCTGGGTGAATGGCAACTAGCTCACGCCAGAGTTTGACGCTTTCTTCGATGAATGGGAGTGCCTCCGAGTGCTGCCCGAGATTCGAAAGAGCATTACGTAGATTGATGAGTGACCCAGCCAAATCTGGGGTATATGATCCTGGGTGAACGGCAACTAGCTCACGCCGGAGTTTGACACTTTCCTCAATGAATGGGAGCGCCTCCGAGTGCCGTCCGAGTTTCGAAAGAGCTAAATATAAAGTGTTGAGAGACTCGGCCAAGTCCGGGGCATAGGACTTTGAGTCCACGGAAACAAGGCAATGGCAGAGTACAACTAAGTCCTTCGCTACCTCATATGCCTCCTTGAATCTTGAAAAAAATTCCAGGTTTGACTGGAGCTGCAAAAGCACATTGACCAGCGTGCAGATATCATCTTTTGACCTTTGGTCAACTGCCAACTGGAAAAACATGAGCTGATTTCATTCACACAATTGATAATCCACACCTTAGCCCACTCAGGGAGTATTGAGATACTGACGTAGCCTTCCATTCTCACGCAGACTTCAACCCAGCGAGTGGCTTGCTGATTGAGAAATATGCGATGTGATTTATCGAGCTCCTGCGACGGTTCCTGGACTCCACTGAGGTGATAAACAATGTAATGACATGCATAGTGCAAGTGCCTGGATAACTTCTCTGGAGGAATGCGTGGCAGTTCATCTTCTCTGTCCAAGTCCTCAATCAGTCCTAGGCCTTCTGAAGAGGAGAGATCCTCATTCAGAATTTTGATACATCGCAGGGCAATCTTAGCATTCTCCCGCTTCACATCTACTGTACTGCAATGTGGGCTGATTGATTGGAGATCGATCCGATCTAAAATAAAGTCGCGGAAGGATTGGTGTAAGATGCGAATGGGAACGTGAGGATCGTCAAGTCCTGAGAAGAGAGGTGCGAGTTCGGCCAACGTATATCGAACCGACGACTTCAAGAAAGGTGACAAAATCGCATCCCAGGCTGGGACAGATAGAGGCTGTTGTGCGACGAAGATAGCTCCTATCACAACTGGATAATCGTGCGCAAAATCTTCATCCTCCCAACCACACTTCTTCAAGATACTTGTATACAAGCGATCCATCATTCCTTCAGCAGAAACCACTGATCCTTTTGCGCCGGTGCCGAGTAGTCTTTCCAGCATCCTCATAGGGTCTTTGCTCGCCATCTTCATATAGCGAAAAATGGTGCTGATCCAAATAAACAAGCCACCTGCTCGTTCCGAGATTTCCCGTACCATTTTCTGCCCGTCGCCAAGCCTATGCCGTATATCGGGATGACAATCCTTCAGTGTTTCCAGCTGGGAACATATGTATGTAGCGCAGTCCTGCACGTTTGCATCATCCAAGAGATCTATGGTAAGACGATCGATAGGGAAATCGGATGAAAGGAAGCGATTGACAAGATCAAAGTGTCTCGATGTGATAAAAAATTTTATGGAGGATGGTAATTTGGGCACTTCTTCCCGAAGAATATTCGCAAGGGGCTCGAATGCCTCTCTGTCACATTCATCTAAAGCATCGATGATGACCACCATTGGATGGTCCGAAGATGGGGGTTTATGGAGAAGAGCCGAAGCTACCAATTCCTTGAACTGCATCGTGAATGAAGCTGTTGATAGAGTTGGGTCCTCTCGAAGAGTAGAAATAATGAAAGTGCGGTAACCCGGGTCACGGTTTGCCAGAGATTGAGCAATACCGCTGAATAGGCAATCAGGCCGCGACTGTTCGCCTTCCCTGAAGAAAAAGCACAGTAGCAGAGTACCATCCTTTTTACATTTTTCTGCAATCGTGTGTGCGATGCAAGTCTTCCCAGCGCCGGCCACGGCGCTCAGCAATGCCAGCCGATTCTCGCTATCCCCGGTGTTATGACACCAGGCCATAATACGTTCAATGAGACTGACCCTAGTGCCTTCTAGGCAAGCCTGAGTTGAATCATAGTGGGCGATATCAGGGTATCGGAGTCTACCAAGAATCGAGTCATCTTCCATCGCCGACAATTTAACTCCAATTGTTAAGTTCATCCTCAGCTGCATCGGTAGGAAATAAGAATGGTTATGGAATGATACCGTGGCGGGAATCACCTGAAACGATGCCAATGCTTTGTCAAGATCCTTCTTGAGGGCATCAATCCTTCCCGGATCTCTCAAGTGAGACAATACATTGATTAAAGCTGCCCGTTTCTCTGTTTTTGTGCGTCTACGTTCGATTTCGGACTTGATCTTCTGCAGCACACTGAGACTTGATGTAAGAACAACACCGGAGACGGCCAAAAACGGATGCAACTTACCGATCAAGCTTTGCAGCGCTCTCCACCCATGGCTTTGCCTCTTCCGTTGATGGATTATAGGATTTTATGGCTGCAACCACCTCGGCCACGTTGTTGACGACGTATTTCCCAAAATCCTCCCATTCTTTCTTATTCTCCTTGAATTTCTGCCCAACCCAAACCATTAGCCTTGGTCCGTACCCAGCATGAATAATTGCTCACCTGGACCTCGCCGATGATGAAGAGTGCGCCGCCAGTCGCGCTCTTTAGAGGAGGGCACATATCAGCCGCGGCGTTGACGGCTGAGAGAATTGGGATGGCCATATCACCGCCCGCTGCGATGATATCATTGATCCTTCGCTTGAGACCCTCAGCCTTTTGCCGCAGCGACATGGTCAATGTTGATAAGTGGATAGAGGAGAGAGATCTTTGGGCACTCGACACACGTGTGTGGTGAGCTTCTAAGGCCCACGAGGTCCTTGTACGATTATGGAAGGACACAAAGTTGCATTTAGTGAGTGGGGAAGATGATCATAATTAACGATCCAGTGTATGGAGGCCAGTATCAGGCCCTTTGCAAGCAGGCTGAGCACCTCGTACGAACCTCGTACGAGCTAGCAAGAAACCCGAGGAAAGGCCGCTGGGCACCGTGAGCCCCAGCGGCAAGCACCGGTGAGATCTTACCTTACCTTGTCGCTGCATGCCATCAGTACACAAGGCCCACCGTCTCTCGAGAAGTCGTTCTCTGCCTTCGACTTTGCCTTTTGTCCCATTAAGCGCCTATTTTTGGACCAAGTACGCCCTGGAAGGCGCACTGCAGACGTTCCCTAACCGCCCCAGATGTCTCGTTCCGCTGTTGGGCTGTTATTCCAGTGTCAGACAGGGTGCTTCCAACACGGTTCGACTTGGTTGCCATCCTGTGGACGCGTCATTGGTCACCGCTGAACGTTTACCAGCTCATATATATTATGGGCACTTGTGTTATATAAATGTGCATACTATCATCACTCTGCACCCACTTAAGATGCAGTACCCAGCCGGCGAAGCTCAGCTAAATGGCTTTGTAGTTGCCACAATTCCCGGGTGCACACCAAATCCTCGGGATTTTACAATTTGATTGATTGACCCCGCATCCAGATTCGGGGCAGAATATTGTTGTAATAACCACTTGGGAAGAAGGGCACGAGCCATAGCCCCACATTACATCACTGCAAAACAAATCTCCTTATCCTCAGCAATAGTTTACCCTGTTGAATGCAATCCGGACCAGACCCGAGAGCATCGCACATGAAAAATGCGTGTGCCAAGGAATGTTCCAAGTTTACAAATGCTCCCTCAATTTTCCTTGACATATAGCAGGTCCTTAATTTCAGGATTCCCGAGACGATATCACCAAGCTAGCGGTATGTCAGAAGTTATTGCTGGCGTCATGATCTCATCTCCACCCTAGCACCTCAGAGTGTAATCATTCGTTAGTAGGTGTATAAAATGGTGGAGATGCCCCTTGCCTCACCAATCACAGTGATGAGAACACAAGGCTGCCGGGAATATGAAGGCACAGGGTTCGTCTTGTGCAAGTACCCCATTCACTACCGGATATATTTCTCGGGATGGCCATTCTTCCAATTGCGAGGATCCGGAATTCCAGGACCCTGTCCATCATTATACGAGAATCCCCATCGTAGCAGTATGTACAAGACAATTTGGTCAATAATATCAGGACATTCACGTCCAGATGAACGATGCCCATGTCTATGCGCCACTAGCTAGACAGACAAGACCACTCATCATAGTAACACTAGATATGCTGCCGTACTCGCCGCTGCTTATAGGTTCTGGACGGCTCGTGCAGCTGCCTCACATCCGTATGGTCAGATGCAAACTGTATTTTCGTTTCTGACACATTCCTGGAACCTCCAGTTGCTGGGCCCCGATAGAGGAACGATCCTTTTTGCTGCGATCGGGGAATTCAAAGAGTCATGGAACGCAATTGGAGCGCAAATCGTCCATCAAGTTCTATCGTCAACGTCGATTCCCAGCTTACCGATTTATTTCAGGATTCTGGCCGTTGTCTTCCTATTCGACTTTACACCATCGTAAGCACCCTATTCAATCTGTGGATCCACAATACGGTCGCTTCTCTTGGGTCAATACGAGGTGACTCTGGGCCTCGATCCTGCCAATTGTTGTCCCTGGCACTTTTCATCACCCTTTCCTTCGCGGCTGGAATTTACGATGTCTTCATCGATTCTATGGCGACAGATATACACAGCAGACCATCACCAGGTTCGTTAGGTGATGCTCAATGCGGGTTATTGATTCAGCGCGTAGCGCATCTGTTGCATGCTGCGAAGCTCACCAGATTCAACTAACACGAACATTCCTCGACGTTGATAACTCGATCGATACATCAATCCGTGTGGGGGGGACTTGTGTGCAAAACCGAATTCCTTCATTTCCAAGAGATTCGGAGGGAACGATTGGTATTGAGCACCACGAGTCGAGCATTATCGTCAGATGGAAATCGTTCGTTTTCGATCCCGTTCAGTGACAAAATCTAATAAGCGATAGAATGGTCTCCAGATTCGAATTTGACCAAGTTGGGACTCCCATTGTTCTGCCTGAGTCGCTAGAGTGGTCTTAAATTCAGGGGCCTTGAATTGATCGAGTCAAACACGCCATGTATATTTACGCCCATCTCCAGAGAATAGTACTTACTTTGACTACCTTTAAACTCCCGTGCGCATCACGCTGCGAACAGTTCATCGCGTTTAATGGATCATCACCCATCCTGTGTGTGTTTGTGACAATCTTCATCGAGTGATGCTCGCGGATTTGTGAAAGTTCAGTACCAGCGCTGGGCGCAGGCACATGCCCCGGCAAGGGGATCGAAAATAGTTTGTCGCTACATATTGTCCGTCAATTCTAGGCATCTGTGCAATGGACGGGGCGGTCGGCTGTCGGCCTTGGAAGCGGGATCGAGGAATGAAGCTCACATAACCGAATGCGCGGAATGTGAACGTTGATCGATTTGCATAGTTTGCTTTCAAGACTTAACAGAACACCAGTGATGTGCCTTGATAATGGCACAAAATCACATGTAACTTCTCTTGCAGCTGACAACTGGCTTATGTTGCTCCGACTGAGGTCGAGGCTGACTGGCATATTGGCGCTATGATATGCAACTAAGAATGCATAAAAATGAGCGCCACCAGAGTGTGTTTGGGATACTGAGACGAATTTACATGTGCTTTAGCGTCATCATCCAGCGTCCACCCTTTCGGAACGAGACGTCCATCTTCAGAGCTGCGTATCAAGATCTAGGATTTTCAGCACCTGAGGTACGGAAGCCAAGAGGGGATACAGAAGTCTTCGAGGATCAATCACACGTCATGAAAAATGCGGGTGCGAAGGAATGTCCCAAATTCAAACTGCCATTACGAATGAATTCAGGCTCAATACACCCTCCGTTCCTCACCAGCACAGGAACGAAAACTCATCGCAGAACAAATTCCTCTTGGCATACCCGAACACCGGCGACAATCTGGCAATTTTGCAGTAGATCCTTTCAGGACCTCCGAGACGTTTTCACCAACTGAGATGTCTGCATTCGTTGCTAGCATCCCGATCTCACTTCTGCCCTACCAAGCCTTCAGAATGCAATAGTTCATTTGCGTGAAAACTAGGTGAAATGACTGAAACACGGCTAGTAATCTCACCACACCAACACAAGGCCACCGAGAATATGGCACAAGTGCTCGTTTTGTACCCTTCCTGTTGGAGAATGGATATCTGTTCCCATCGGTATAGAGTTTAACAGCCTATACCGGCATGGTCAAACGGGCGAGTTGTGTAATGGTAGCACACTGAGAGGTCCTGGTTTCGATGCCAGGCTTGTCCATGATTTTATGTCCTTGTCTTGTGACCTTAACTGTATCATTCAGTTGGATCTCACGGAGTAAGTCCCGCAGGGCAACGTGAAATTTCTTCACTTCCTGTGTTCAAGCGCCACCTTGATACAACGATGTACGTTGAGCTAGAAGCTGAGCCACTGACATGCGTATGAATGGGCATGCCACTAGTCATATTGGCCAAGCCGTGCGCATCTGAGCCTGTATAAAAAATAACCAAGCCAGTACCATACCATTGCTCTCTCATAACTGACGATATGCCTACAAGCACTATTGCTCTGCGATAAGAACAAATCTTTTGATGCAGAGCCAAGTGCCGGCTCTTCTCGTGGTCGGCTTTCATCGATATTGGTCGCAGGCCAATCCGCAGTCAGGGGAAGACTCCCCCTGGAGTCCAGAACGCGTTATCGCTTACGAGCGCATTTCACCGAATGGGGAAGAGTGATTTTCACGCAAGATGTTAGGTCAAGTCCCAAGAGCAAAAGATCTCAGAGCCCGAATAAGCGATAAACGATGCAAAGAGGATGAAGGGTATGAAATACGTGTTTATCTCCTGTGACAATGGATCTCTGAAAAAGTCACCAACGTCTATGCGTCCACAATATCGTTCCTAGCGGCCGGTGTATTCGGTGTATTTGATATGTGCAGAAAAATGGACGGATCAACGGCGGAGCTGATGTTGAAGACGAGTAAATGAGATTGTCGCAGGAGAACCAATCGGTTGTCTCAAAACGCATCGGCAAAGATCCCATTTCATACCGAGGGCTTTGGACCGAGAATAGAAGGGAGTATGGAGAGGCGGCATCACGGAATAGGGCGAGGAAGGAGGAATTGCGCTAGGCTGAATGACCTAGTGCTCTTGCATGTCCCGAACACCTTTGACTCGATCCATTGGGTAAGACGACTTCTTTCGACTGTCCCTGTCAGAACCCGAACCCGAACCGGAGGGGCAGGTGTACTTGACAAAAAAGGCATCTGGATAAACAGAGTTGTGCATGTCCGTGCGTGAAAATTATGGGTATGCCAAGGATGCGCCAAGAGTGTGAGCTGAATGAATTACACTCGGAAATTATCCGTCCCTCATATGATTTTTGCACAAGGACACGGGCCGGGCCTGGTCGCGAGGCGAAACCCTCTTGGTGATAGCACTCCTATTTTGTGGCCGTGACTCGGAGCTTATCCTTGTAAACCTATTTCCAGGCTTGTGTGCGTGGAACACATGCGACTGATGATGGTTGAAGATCATTGGCCAGATAGATCACCGTACGGCTGGGGCAGTATTAATATTGTACTCGAGGCTGGGTTCCTGCTCAAGGTCGTCGCTCCTTGGCAATATTCATGAAACCGACTCACGTATCCAATCTATCCTTTGCTTCAAAGACACACTCATTTGATTCTCATCACTATTCCTTCCTGCATCCCTTTGGATGCTCCGTAGCCTCTCTTTGATCCGACTCTTCTACTAAAGCTATCGTTAATGAATTATTCCTCCCGTCCATCTTCCCCCAATTCATCTTCTCCATATCATCCACGTCTGACACGGATTCTTTTGTTTCTGCTTGGAGCTTCGATTTCCAAAGGGTCGGAATGTGGAAGATATGGTCAAAGGGATCACGAAGATGACGTTTAGGACACGGAGATGCAAAATAACGATAACCGATCTCCGCGAAGCTTGCTTGACATAGTCCGCCAGCACTCAAATGGACTCGCTACATCGATCGAATCCGTGGCTTTCATCGATTATTATTGGACTAAAGCCAGCGGACCAGGCTTAGTCGCTGATCAAATAACTTCTAACTGGGTCCCTTGCCGCTACTCGTGAGATATTTCCTTTTGACGAGTATTCTTTAAGCAATGAGGGTGTCTCTACGCAGAAGATCATGTGGAAGTACGGTGCCGAGGGCGTGCTAGTATGGGTGAAGACGATCTTATGGGTTGGAAGGGTGTAAAAAAAGGTTAGTTCTTTCCTGTGGACCGTTACTGATGATTATCGCTTTGGTACTGTCGGTTTATACGTCTCCTCCTCTGGTTCCAGCGGTCCTGGTTTCGAGACATAGACCCAAGTGGTTCTTGCAAGCGGTGAGAAGAACCGTGCTATGCAATAGATTCAAAGAGGCCCGGACCACGTAATACGTAGCATGCTCTGACCTCGATTCCCGACCTATGCTAGTAATACCACTTTCTGCTCCCGGCCCAGGGCCCAGGGCATAAAAATAGGGAGAAACGTCGATGTGTTCCCAGACCAGCCTCGGTAGCTTTGGTGGAAGAATCGGATGGAAGGTTACGAGCCGCATAGGAGAACAGGCAGGAATGTAGGGAGTTGAATGATTGGAATGGAACGAGTGGTTTCTGAGGGTTGGGCCGGGATATGTGGTTATATTGTTGGTGGCAGGCCGTGGACACTAAACAGTAGGAGCCATTGGAAGAGTGCAGATTGTGAAGTCTTGTCGGGGATATGCACCAAGTTTGCCGGGTCGAGACCGAGTACCTTGCCAGTGTTTGAAGTACTCAACCCTCCTTGACATCAATGCATGACTCGAAATAAGAACAACATCATAATCAATTTATCCTGCACATCAGACTTCCCACTCCATGGACCATGTCTCGACAGGCTGTACAGTGTGAGATTACCTACCCGATCGAAGCTTGTTACGTGCAGAGTTGTATCACTTATGTATGCCACACCCCCTATATACACTAGTCCACCGCCCGTCCCACACCTGCATATTGCCACCGATTTCGCCTTCTAATGGCGCTGACACCAACCAAGTCTCGGCTTCATTGTGTACAATGGTGTGCAGAAACATGGACAGAACATTAGTAAGTGGGAGGCAAAACGACTCGGAGAAACAAAGGTGTTGGATGTTTAGAATCATAAGGTACGACTGTGATTATGTAGTTGGCTGAACAGCCAAGAAAGCCCATAAATGGTTCATCAAGAGTTCCGAACCAAAAACGGACGTTAGACCCTCCAGTGTTCCTGAACAACCCAACCGGGCTGTGTACATGGTAACGCGGGTAGTACTAGCGATGGAATGATAAGGGAAGGAGGAAGGTCCCAAAGGTCTCAAGGGGACCTAAGTTAGTGCCTCGGAATCACGTCCGAGGCTAGGAAGAGCGGTACGTAGTTTGCTGAGTGACATATCCAAATTTGAGGTATGTAATCCCGGGTTAACGGCAACCAGCTTACGGTAGAGTTTGACGCTTTCCTCGATGAATGGGAGCGCCTCGGAGTGCCGTCCGAGATTCGAAAAAGCATCATATAGACTGTTGAGCGACCGAGCCAAATCTGGGGTGTATGATCCTGGGTTAACGGTAACTAGCTCGTGCCAGAGGTTGACGCTTTCCTCGACAATTGGGAGTGCCTCCGGGTGCCGTCCGAGATTTGAAAGAGCATTACATAAACTGTTGAGTGACCTAGCCAAATCTGGGGTGTATGATCCCGGGTGCACCATAACGAGCTTGTGGCAGAGGTTGACGCTTTCCTCGATGAATGGGAGTGCCTCCGAGTGCCGTCCGAGATTTGAAAGAGCATTATATAGACTGTTGAGTGACCTGGCCAAATCTGGGGTGTATGATCCCGGGTGCACCATAACGAGCTTGCGCCAGAGGTTGACGCTTTCCTCAGCGAATGGGAGCGCCTCCGAGTGCCGTCCGAGATTTGACCGAGCGTCACATAGACCCTTGAGTGACCAGGCCAAATATGGGGTGTATGATCCTGGGTGGATGCCAACTAGCATGCGCCAGAGGTTGACGCTTTCCTCGATGAATGGGAGCGCCTCCGAGTGCCGTCCGAGATTTGAAAGAGCGTCATATAGACCCTTGAGTGACCCGGCAAAATCTGGGGTATATGATCCTGGGTGGATGGCAACTAGCTCACGCCGGAGTTTGACGGTTTCCTCAATGAATGGGAGTGCCTCTGAGTGCTGTCCGAGATTCGAAAGAGCGTGATATAGACTGATGAGTGACCTGGCCAAATCTGGGGTGTATGATCCCGGGTGCACCGCAACGAGCTTGCGGCAGAGGTTGACACTTTCCTCAACGAATGGGAGCGCCTCCGAGTGCCGTCCGAGATTCGAAAAAGCATCATATAGACTGTTGAGCAACCGAGCCAAATCTGGGGTGCATGATCCTGGGTTAATGGCAACTAGCTCACGTTGAAGGTTGACGCTTTCCTCAATGAATGGGAGTGCCTCTGAGTGACGTCCGAGATTCGAAAGAGCATCATATAGACTGTTGAGTGACCAGGCTAAATCTGGGGTGTATGACCCTGGGTGGATGGCAACTAGCTTGCGCCAGAGTTTGATGCTTTCCTCAATGAATGGGAGCGCCTCCGAGTGCCGTCCGAGATTCGAAAGAGCGTGATATAGACTGTTGAGTGACCTGGCCAAATCTGGGGTGTATGACCCTGGGTGAACAGCAACTAGATCACACCAGAGTTTGTTGCTTTCCTCGATGAATGGGAGCGCCTCCGAGTGCCGTCCAAGATCCGAAAGAGCCTCATATAGACTCCTCAGTGACCAGGCCAAATCTCGGGTATATGATCCTGGGTGGACGGCAACTAGGTTGCGCCGGAGTTTAACACTTTCCTCAATGAATGGGAGTGCCGCTGAGTGCTGTCCAAGATTGGAAAGAGAGACATATAGGTTGTTGAGTGACAAAGCCAAATCTCGGGTATATGATCCCGGGTGAACAGCAACAAGCTGGCGGTAGAGATTGACGCTTTCCTCGATGAATGGGAGTGCCTCTGAGTGCCGTCCAAGATTCGAAAAAGCATTACGTAAACTGTTGAGTGACCTGGCCAAATCTGGGGTATATGATCCTGGGTGAATGGCAACTAGCTCGCGCCAGAGCTTGATGCTTTCCTCGATGAATGGGAGCGCCCCCGAGTGCCGTCCGAGATTTGAAAGAGCGTGATATAGACTGTTGAGTGACCTGGCCAAATCTGGGGTGTACGATCCTGGGTGAATGGCAACTAGCTCGCGCCAGAGTTTGATGCTTTCCTCGATGGATGGGAGCGCTGCCGAGTGCCGTCCAAGATTGGAAAGAGAGACATATAGGTTGTTGAGTGACAAAGCCAAATCTGGGGTGTATGATCCTGGGTGAACAGCAACAAGTGGGCGGTAGAGATTGACGCTTTCCTCAATGAATGGGAGTGCCTCTGAGTGCCGTCCATGATCTGAAAGAGCATTATGTAGACTGTTGAGTGACCTCGCCAAATCTGGGGTATATGATGCTGGGTGAATGGCAACTAGCTCGCGCCAGAGTTTGACGCTTTCTTCGATGAATGGGAGTGCCTCTGAGTGCCGTCCGAGATTCGAAAGAGCCTCATACAGACTCCTGAGTGACCAGGCCAAATCTCGGGTATATGATCCTGGGTGGACAGCAACTAGGTTGCGTCGGAGTTTGACGCTTTCCTCAATGAATGGGAGCGCCGCCGAGTGCTGTCCGAGATTGGAAAGAGAGACATATAGGTTGTTGAGTGATAAAGCCAAATTTGGGGTGTATGATCCTGGGTGAACAGCAACAAGCCGGCGGTAGAGATTGACGCTTTCCTCGATGAATGGGAGCGCCTCTGAGTGCCGTCCAAGATTCGAAAGAGCATTACATAGACTGTTGAGTGACCTGGCCAAATCTCGGGTATATGATCCTGGGTGGACGGCAACTAGGTCGCGTCGGAGTTTGACGCTTTCCTCAATGAATGGGAGCGCCGCTGAGTGCTGTCCAAGATTGGAAAGAGAGACATATAGGTTGTTGAGTGACAAAGCCAAATCTGAGGTGTATGATCCCGGGTGAACAGCAACAAGCTGGCGGTAGAGATTGACGCTCTCCTCAATGAATGGGAGTGCCTCCGAGTGCTGTCCAAGTTTCGAAAGAGCCAAATATAAATTGTTGAGTGACTCGGCCAAGTCCGGGGCGTAGGACTTTGAGTCTGCGGAAACCAGGCAATGGCAGAGTACAACCGAATCCTTTGCTGCCTCATATACGTCCCTGAATCTTGAAAAAAATTCCAGGTTCGACTGGAGCTGGGTAAGCACATTCGCTAGCTTGTGGATAGCATCCTTTGACCTTTGGTCAACTGCCAACTGGAAAAACATGAGCTGATTTCATTCACACAATTGATAATCCACACCTTAGCCCACTCAGGCAGTATCGAGATACTGACGTAGCCTTCCATTCTCACGCAGACTTCAACCCAGCGAGTGGCTTGCTGACTCAGAAATATGCGAACTGATTTATCTAGCTCCTGCGATGGTTCCTGGACTCCACTGAGATGATAAACGATGTAACGACATGCGTAGTGTAAGTGCTCCGATAACTTCTCTGGAGGAATGCACGGCAGTTCATCTTTTTCATGCAAGTTCTCAATCAGTCCAAGGCCCTCTAAAGAGGAGAGATCCTGATTCAGAATCTCAAGGCATCGGAGCGCAATTCTGGCATTCTCTCGTCCCACATCTACTGGACTGCAACGAAGGCTGATTGATTGGGAATCGATCCGTTCCAGAATAAAGTCCCGGAAAGATTGGTGCAAGATGCGAATCGGATTGTCACAATCCTCAAGTCCTGAGAGGAGAGGTGCGAGTTCGGCCAATGTATCTCGAACCGACAACTTCAAGAAAGGTGACAAAATCGCATCCCAAGCTGGGACAGACAGAGGCTGTTGTGCAACCAAGATGGCTCCTATCACAACTGGATAGTCGTGCACAAAATCTTCATCCTCCCAACCACACTTCTTCAAGATACTTGTATACAAGCGATCCATCATTCCCTCAGCAGAAACCGCTGATCCTTTCGCGCCGGTGCCGAGTAGTCTTTCCAGCGTCCTCATAGGGTCCTTGTTCGCCATCTTCATATAGCGAAAAATGGTGCTGATCCAAATAAACAAGCCACCTGCTCGTTCCGATATTTCCCGCACCATTTTCTGCCCGTCGTCAAGCCTATGTTGTATATCAGGATGACAATTTTTCAGCGTTTCCAGCTGGGAACGTATGTATGTAGCGCAGTCTTGCACGTTTGCATCATCTGAGAGATCTATGGTAAGACGATCGATAGGGAAATGGGATGAGAGGAAGCGATTGACAAGATCCAAGTGTCTCGATGTGATAAAGAATTTTACGGAGGATGGTAATTTGGGCACTTCTTCCCGAAGAATATTCGCAAGGGGCTCGAATGCCTCTCTGTCACATTCATCTAAAGCATCGATGATGACCACCATTGGATGGTCCGAAGATGGGGGTTTATGGAGAAGAGTCGAAGCCACCAATTCCTTGAACTGCATCGTGAATGAAGCTGTTGAAAGAGTCGGGTCCTCTCGAAGAGTGGAAGCAATGAAAGTGCGGTAATCCGGGTCACGGTTTGCCAGAGATTGAGCAATGCCGCTGAATAGGCAATCGGGCCGCGATTGTTCGCCTTCCCTGAAGAAAAAGCACAGTAGCAGAGAACCGTCCCTTTTGCATCTTTCTGCAATCGTGTGTGCGATGCAAGTCTTCCCAGCGCCGGCCACGGCGCTCAGCAATGCCAGCCGATTCTCGCTATCCCCGGTGTTATGACACCAGGCCATAATATGTTCAATGAGACTGACCCTAGTGCCTTCTAGGCAAGCCTGAGTTGAATCATAGTGGGCGATATCAGGGTATCGGAGTCTACCAAGAATCGAGTCATCTTCCATCGCCGACAATTTGACTCCAATTGTTAAGTTCGTCCTGAGCTGCATCGGCAAGAAATGAGAATGGTTATGGAACGACACCGTGGGGGAAATCACCTGAAACGATGCCAATGCTTTGTCAAGATCCTTCTTGAGGGCATCAATCCTTCCCGGATCTCTCAAGTGAGACAATACATTGATTAAAGCCACCCGTTTCTCTATTTTTGTGCGTCTTCGTTCGATTTCGGACTTGATCGTCTGCAGCACACTGGGACTTGATGTAAGAACGACACCGGAGACCGCCAAAAAAACAGATGCAACTTACCGATCAAGCTTTTCAGCGCTCTCCACCCATGGCTTTGCCTCTTCCGTTGACGGATCATAGGACTTTATGGCTGCAACGACCTCGGCCACGTTGTCGACGACGTATTTCCCAAAATCCTCCCATTCTTTCTTATTCTCCTTGAATTTCTGCCCAACCCAAACCATTAGCCTTGGTCCGAACCCTTGACGCGGCGACGTCCTCTGCACATTCAACCTTTGGTTGATTGCGCGGCGGCCTCCAAGCCCAAGCTGAGGACCATTGAGCATGAATAATTACTAACCTGGACCTCGCCAATGATGAAGAGGGCGCCGCTAGTCGCGCTCTTTAGAGGAGGGCACACGTCAGCCGCAGCATTGACGGCTGAGAGAATTGGGATGGCCTTATCACCGCCCGCTGCGATGATATCATTGATCTTTCGCCTGAGATCCTCAGCCTTTTGCCGCAGCGACATGGTCGAGAAGAGAGGGATCTTTGGGCACTCGACACACGTGGTGAGCTTCTAAGGGGCCCTTGTACGATTATGGAAGGACACAAGGATGCATTCAGTGAGTGCCCAATAATATCGAGGCCGCTTATCCGTGGAGGCATTTAATCATCATAACGATCCACTGTATGAGGACCAGATTGAGCACCGAACACGAACTCCGTATGAGCTAGCAAGAAACCTGAGGAAAGGATTGTGAGGCTTAGCGGCAAGCGCCGGCGGGATCTTACCTTACTCTTCTCATCGTTCGTCGCTGCAAGCTGCATGTCGTACGAGGAGGGTCATACCCCATTCGCTTTCGATCGGACAGATTCTCTCGAAAAGGCTGTAAGGACCAAGTGGGAAGGATTACACAGGGCCTGTAATTAATCGCAGATACTTCACCGTGATTTGACGTCATCTTCTTGTTGCATCTATCCTTGGCAACAGTTTAGTCGACACGGACCAGACTCCGGAACATCGGGACACAGTCGCACATGAAACTGTGAGTCCCAAGGAATTAAGGCTCAATGCACCGAAGAACGAAAACTGATCACAAAACTTCAAAGTCCATGCCCAAGAACGTCAATGCCACATTTCATAGTAGGCCCTTACTCTTGGAATCTTCGAGACAGTTTCAATGCTTACCCCACCGCTCTCACAGGTGACAGTGCCACCGAGAATGAGGCACAAGCTTGTACCACTTGTCCCACAAGCGCACTTCGCCAAGCGGGTCCCCAGCACCCCACGACATGTCTAATGGAGCCATCATCGCAGTTGTTTATGGCTTGGTCGCATCGTGAGAGCGTACGTGTTGGGCCGATCGATGTCTATGTTTACGTGGGATCGACTTCGATCCATTCGCTGAACAAGCAATACTTCATTCGCCAGATTCCTCAGCACAAGACATGACACTGTACTCTCCGCTTCTGAGCAGGTTGACCAACTGCTTCACCGGGTGTAGGCGCGATGTGTACGTACTCAGCAATCGTATTTTCAAGTCCGTCTACCGCTTGTTGCGCGCTCTTGGAGCTTCTTCTGGTTGTGCACTCTGATAGGGGAACAAACTTTGCTGCCATAGTCAGAGCAGCTTCTGACACCGATATATTCATAAACGTCTACCGAATTACCAATTTACTAGGTTTGTGTCTGAGTTCCTTGACAATTATTTCATCATTGCCGCAGTCACCCCGCGTCATGTCTCACCCCCTCCTTCACATGTTCGTTCTTCGATCTTTTTCTGCGAGTGGCCTCGCCCGAATTCAAACTGCCATGGAGGCTTTCAGTTCGGAAGCTAACTCGATCGGAAGAATTGATCTGATTCGCGAAGTTATTGAGGATCCAGCATTGAGACATGGGGTCCTATGTAGCTGTAGAAATACCATTTCCAACTCCCGGGTGATGACGGGACAATCGATTCGGAGGGCCAGGCGGGTGCATTAACTCACAATCGAATTTGCTATTGCACCCGTGACTCTAGATTTGCTCCCTCCGTTAGGTTATATTAGGTCGAATGAGCCTTCATATTGTGAGCTGGGCGTTGGGAAGTATGTGTAGAAGTACTGATGTTTATTTTTGCTCTTGTTATGCGACATGGGGAAATCGATCCAGAGCATTGGAGGGCCAGAGCTAGCAGACTGGGGTTGAATCCTGACATTTCTCACAGAGGGAAAGCAATTCCGAGTCGCTAGATCTGCTTCCTCCATTCGTTTGAAAGAGCCTTTACTGAAGTTCACGTAGTGGTCATAGCTTCGAAAGAGACATTCTTCCTCAAGCCCTTTCTTTCCCTTGGCCAACGTATGCTTGACTTTCGACAATCTCGAGTTGCATGCCGTAACAGTGGCAGAATCGGAATATGCCTAGACTTCGTACCGCCCCGCCACTCTCGATGGAGTGACAGTACACGATGGATCCACCTAGCTGAAGGCCAAATAGCGATTGGAATCGCTCACGCGCCCGGTATCATCGTGGATGATATGCATCGAGCGCCCCGGGAGACTTTGGAATAACTTGCTCCAGAGCCGGTCCGATTTTCGCAATATGGCGCGAGTTGAGGTTAGGTAAGCCCTACCCAAAAATAGTGCCTGATCAGGCAAAAATATTGGCTTAGGCGCGAACAACCCAGGGCAACCGGGAGAACGAGTACAAGCCGGTATGCTGGTCCAGCCACTGGACCCTGAAAGTTGCTTACATAAGCCTGCAGTGGCAGGTTTGGCGTGTCCCTCTGCACGTTCCTTGTTTGCCCTAGACAACCATGCATAGCATGGCCTTTCTCAGATTCTGAGAGCAGCTGTATGCGGTAATATAATGCGATCCTTTCGGGGGTGTCAGTGTCGTCTGGGGGGTGCAACTTTACCTATTGTTGAAAACTTGGATGGGTTTGCCGCTCCTATTTATGTATCAGGCCGCGCGCGTCTGGGCCTGTATAAATGCTCAACCTAGTGCCCTACTCTTACCTACTCATAACTTGCGCAAGCGAGCTTGCAAGCACCATCTATAAGAACAAAGCCTTTGTGATACAGGATCAAGTGCCGCCTCTTCTTGTTCTCGATGTCGAGCCCGCAGTCAGGAGAGGATTTACTCCCTCGAATCAAGAATGCATATCGCTTGCTTGCCCTTTTCACCGAACAGGGAAGCAATGGACTTGTCCATAAAGTCGTCATTCCCCAAGATTCCCTTCGAAACCTGATGAACGTTCTCCGTCCCGGAGCTTTCGAATCGATGATAAAAGTGAGTAATCAGTCTACTTACGCTACAACGACATGACATGCTCCGAAGATCAATTTCGCTGCGCTTGATGAAGTGCTGCTTAAACCCGTTGGAATTTACGGCAGCAGGTCTCGTATAGTTGAATTCCTCGAAGAAGTTGGCGCTATCGATGCATCTACGTATGTTCAAGGCCAATTTCTGTCTGTTTTTTCATTAATCATGAGACCTGCCCATATCCAAATTATTAGTGCGCGGGAGCTTCTGACGCCATTACCTCCCAGCGGGGTTCCTTCAGGCCCTTATCTAAGAACAGGAATATATCTAATCCTTGATGCCCAACAGAGAGAAGATTCTATGGATCTGGATACAGGCCTAGTGCAACCTGCCTTCCTCCTCTATTGGCCCGAGGAAAATACCTGGGATGATAATGCAACAGGTGACATCTCCAGAAATCGCGCAACTTTCATGCAGTGGGTCCCCAGTTGTCTATGCTATTTTTAAATGGCCACGCTCACGCGGCCCTCCCCAGTTACCTAGGCCGGCTGAGCAATCAGATGGTTGCTCTTCTATCCAAGGAGCATATGGAAAGCATCGAATGGGATGAAGATACCACCATGGGACCCGCCGAAGACGACGAGGATGAGGATGGTGATGACCGAATTTTTGCATTTTCCGTCGAGAAAACGGTCGAACAAGAAGAAAACGTGACGGTACATGCTGTATTTAAGGTCTGATATGTATGCATGCCCTGCGCGTCACCCACTTGCTCATTTTGCACTAGATTCCCATCCCATTTGCGTCGTCTCCAACTACGGACTCGTATCAAAACACTGAAGGACTGTGCGAAGTTCTGAAATCGCGAGTGGTGCCAGGCGATACGCGCCAGGCGTTATTAGAGGCAGAGTTTATTCCTCGACGTAGCTCTCCAAGGACAGTTGTTCAAGCCATCAATCGATTGTCCTTGCGGACAAAGCTTAAGTGGGTTATATTCTCCCCAACTGGAGTTATCTACTTACTTGAACATCACCCACCTAGGGATTCTCTCCAGACTATCCAACTGGCGGACGAACTTCATCCTGCGGCACTGGAAATTCTGATCGAAAACGGTTTGAATGACCGTTTCAAGTCCCTTTGTGAGGACTTCGAGAAGAGCAGGAAGCACGGAAACCGCACACTTCAGGAGGAATTTGATATGCGTTGTGCTGTTGCCAAAAAACAGCTCACTGATGACTTGCTTCGGCTACAGCATCACATTTTGAATCAGTTCGTGCAGCATTTAGTGGATATATATCCGTAAGGAGTTGGATTTTGCATCCCTGCGGCTGACACTCACCCCGATCGAAAACAGGGCATTTGAATCGGACCTGGTTTCACTCGTGAACGACACCACGTATCAAGGTAACGACCCATTTGTAGTGTAGTTGCGCATCCGAACGTTGACCAACGCGTCTGACCGCTCCTCTGGCGTTTTATCATAGGCCCGGAAGACGTCGTTAGGCACCCACTCCTGCCCCTACGTGATGATGTCTTTGGCCAACTTAAATTTGATTCCATCGTAGCTCACGGCTTCCGACAACTTAAACGTCGCTTCATAGGCTCCATCGAAGTCCTCAAATCTCGTGCCGCGGTGGAAAACCTACCAAAGGTCACCCCAGATGAACTGCAGAAACTTGACACAGCTATCGTGACAGGGCTCAACTGGGATAAGGCAATAGCCTCCATTCTTAATGAAACGTCCCTGCCCGAGAGCAGTCTATATTCACCAGTGAACATTTTCAACACTGTTACTTCGAAATTCACGGGCTTTGGATGGTTGGAAGCGCAGAATGAATCTGGTTCGTTTATCAAAGCGCTCATGCGGGAGACAGCTCCAATGAGCGATCCCGTATTCATCCAACGCATCAGCCATGGGGATTATAGTGAACTCCAAGATGCCGTGGCCGAAGTCCACAGTCAGGCGTCAAAATGGCTCTTGAGCACCATGGCGTCCAAATCTCAAGAATTAGCTAAATCGGATTTGGAGTTATATTACAAACGTTGGAGGTCTGATTTACACGCAAAATATAGTCTCAAGTTTCAAGAACAAAAAGCCGAGCATTTGCTGCAACTTAGGGTTCTACTGAACGATGCAAGCAAAAAGGAGGGCGCAGGGTGCGTGTTTTCGTCCTTGTTTTGAAGCCACTAATGCGTCCTTGCAGAAGTCGACTGCTACGTATCCACGATATCGTTCCTGATCGCAGTTACTATGGACACAACAGTACGTGGACAAGTCATTCGGACTCTGATTCATTGACTGAGCCCGTGCCTTTCTTTTCTTGGTTTCAAGATTTCAAATTTGCTGTCACAGAGCTGAAAGATGAACCTGCCCACTTCGTGTGCACGTTACACCCACTTGGAGTAATGTCCGATGATCTCCAACGTCTTACTGTGGATACTTCGTTTGTACCGCGCCCCATTTTCCGTACTGGGACCCACTCCGTCCGCTTCACAATCCCGGCTACTTCGAGATTACGGTTGGTGAAAATACCAAGCCTTTTTTTTGCCATATCCTGACATCGCTTCAGGCACATTCAGCTTTTAGAGCGTTCGAAATGTCTCGTAGTCGTGGAGGACTCGTCATCCGGCAGGATCTGTATCTATCTTGATGACGATGTTCAAATGCCCGTCACGTTGCGTTCTCGAAGGACTAAGAAGGAGTTTACCTTTGAACGAATAGGAAAGGATTTCTTGTTTTGTGTCAATGAACCAAGAAGATTGGTGGCATTGTTGGATGTGGGTTATCGGTACTGCGTCTCGAATATACTGAATGCCGATCTGAACTGGCAGGCCAGGTGCCGTCTCCACATTTTTTCAATCGACGAATCTTACACGAGTATCACTTTACGTGGCTCTCCGGTTGACCTTGGACGATTATTGATGGGTTCCCACCCTGAAGCCAAATTTTTGAAGATGTGCTTCATAAACGGTTTAGATGAAATCCTCTTCCTCGAGAATTCGGGACATCTTAGGATATACTCTCTGGTGCAAGAGCAATTCAAGTAGTCCCTCCTATGATTCATTGCGATCGGTTCACTAATTGATTTGCAATAGGCCAGCGTTTGTGAAATCAGAACCACCTCCAACAGACGTGTATTCCAGTCCGGATGGCTCGTGTGTCTTCATTATGGTACCAAATAGTTCGGGCGCAGTGGAGACGATAGCTTATCACACGGCATCATTTGGCGGTAAATCCCAAGGCATCCCGCTTCAACTCCCTCAGGTCTTTACGTCGGTTCCGACGACCATCACATCATTTGTTACACGAAGGAATGCTTACCTTATGACTATCGAGGATGACGCAGGACAGCTCAATGCAGTTCGTTTCGAGATCACAAATAAGGCTAGCGAGTTCACTTTCCGTCCTCATGGGAAAGCCAAAGGGGATTCAAAAAAAGAGTCGACGTACAATTCACTCGTTGATTGCCATTCCGAAGTTTGGACCAAATTCCCCGTTGTGTCTACGATAAGCAGAAGTCCTTCATTCATGGCTTGGCGCTCGCCTTCTATCACTTTCACTGCAGCAAATAATTCGATTCCCATCGCTCGTCTACGATCGCACTTTTCACGAATGATCCAATCATTCGAGCATAGAACGCGAAAGCCAACGGATGGCAGACTGGCTGTCATTAACATTCAGCACAGTACAAGCCTGTCTTTGCGCGAGTCTATTCCTTCGGAAGTCACTACATACTTCACTGGAAAGTGGATTGTTGATCTCATATGCTTGATACCGATTCACATCGCCGTTGCCACTTCCAACCGTTTCACGCCACTCGAGGATGGTGTTTCATCCCCCGAGTTTGAGCAGCGATTACTAGGTGCTGATATATTAACGATTGCAGACAGGTCCGTTTCTTTGCGATTATGTGGCGCTTGTCTCACATGTTCGTTGCAGTATATCTATTGGATGGTATGAGAGTATATTCAAGACCTACATGGCTTCGAAGGCATGTGCCCGAGTCTCCCTCACACATCAATCGACGTTCATCTGATCGTTACGTCGTCAGCCGGTTAAAGTCGTCTCTTCTATGGGTATGACCTACTATCTTTCGCTGACAGACATTCCCGATGATACCTCCATCATAGGCGAGCAATCCGTAGGGAAGAGTTATGCTCTAAATCACTTTGTGGATACGTCGTTCGCTGGATCCGCAATGAGGTGCACCGAGGGCGTGTGGTTGTCCGTAACGCCAACCGACACAAATTTGATCGTGAGCCTTGATTTTGAAGGTGCGTCTGTGCAAGGACCTTAGTTCAAAAAATTATACCGTTTTCAATGAGCCGCCCATAGGAATACATTCTATCGAAAGGACTTCGCAGGAGGACATGTTATTGGTTTTATTCAACGTGGCGCTTTCCAATTTGGTGACCGGTCTTCTTTCAATTCCGTCTTGGGATGTGCTAGTTAATGTTATTCTTAAGGTATTATTCCGGAATAATTTTGCTCTCTCACGGGACGTTACTGGTGCGCCGATCCACATATATATCGTTAACTACAAATAACAGAGCAATGCCGCCGCGCGCTCAGAACTATTCACGGTATGAATGCCGGCACGTCTCTCCAGTTCTATCTGCTCAACTGCCTCCAGAGTTTTCAATCGTCGGCCGCACAATTCGAGCCATCAGCAAATCCAGAACTATTCCAATCGACTTTGGCAATTATAATCAAAGTAAATTTCGCCCATCACATCGTCTCGTTCTCACACGCCCTTGTCAGGATGTTGTTGATTCCGATACGAGAGAGATCGTCCGGGAGTGAGTAATTTTTGGTGTACTCGGAGCCCGGTTCTAATAAGTGACTTTCCAAACGGGAAAATAAGATTCCAGCTGAAGTTCCAGAAAATAGTTCAGGAGGAAAAGGAAGGGAATTTTATTTCCAGGTTGCACCGTGGCAGGCTCGATATTCTTCCATGGCCTGTTATCCAGTCTCCCAAGTTTTACACTTTGATGAACAAGTTGAAGAAACGGCTAGATGCTCAGGATTCATCTCATGGCACCGCGTCCGTATTTTTGGAACGGATGAAGATCCTAATGGCAAAGTTAAGGGTTAGTAGTCGTAACCCTGCTCCTGAAGTCAGTTTCGTTGAAAGTTCAACTTTTTAGGCGAGCGATTGGGGTGCCCTTGATCGTATGTCCCTTCTGGACAAATGATAATTCTCCCCCTGACCGATGTCTAGATACCCTCGCCTCACATCGAGCACAACTCCTCCAAAACCTTTTGCCAACTGCCCTCGCTTATGGTGTCACGGAGTATGGAAACGAAGACACCTATCTCAAGGTCGGGAGAATCAGAATATAGCGCCTCATACTACTAAACTAGACCGACAGAACTTGGATACCGATGAAGCAGTTCACCCTGAAACATCCTCCAGAAACCATTTTTTCCTTGAATCGGTCATGAAGGAACCCAAGATAAGAGATGAGCTCTTGGCCAAGGTGCAGCAACAGTGCATTGTCATGATCTCCGGCACACGTCAGTCCATGCCAGATTCAGAATGGCTGTTGTCGCTTGCGACGGCCTTGCACCAACAAGCGAAGCAGCGAATTGACTACGTCCAGAGATGGATTGACTCAAATACGATCAGATTCCCTCCCGAACAGACAGACATTCAGTTACTCCGTCGCTATTTCGGTCAACTTTCACTTGAACTCATTGCGGGCGTCGATATGTGCGGAGTCAAATGCAAAAACTGCAACCTCAAGTGCATCCTATCCAAGTACCACCTGAGCGACCACAATTGCACCACTGACCACTGCTGTGCCTTGAAGTGTGATGAATGCGCCTCCGAGTCCCAGGACTCGGAGAAAATGTGTAGCATGATGTGAGTCGACACAGCCCTCCGATCCTGTTCCTTCTTAATCATTATTGATAGAGCTGGCCACGATGGCAATCATATGTGCGTACTTCAATCATCCCATTATATGGCAGAGTGGCTGACTAGCGTAAAGATGTGACCTGACCCAGCATGTATGCGGCGAACCCTGCTACCTGCAGGACAGGAGAGGTTGTCAACAAGCTTGTACAAAAGCAAGTGTTGCTGCATAATCTGACGCCAGAAATTAATTATATATCATCGTCATTAGCAAATTGGGCACCAGGATGCCGTCCACCTGTGCTCTGCGCGCACCCACTCCTGCGGTGAACCCTGTCGTCTCAGTTTGATCGAGCAAGATGGTGCACCTTTATGTTCGAAGCCTTGTGCAATTGATTGGTGTGGAACTGCATGAGCCATGGTATCTATCACATTGCTGACGACCTTGCAGCCGCGATTCCCACGAATTCCACGAGTGCGAACACAGGCTAACATGCCCAGCTAAATGTCAACTATGCAGTCGACTGTGCTCGATTACGTCACATTCTCACCCACTTCAAAACGGGGCTATCCACCTCTGCGGGTTTGTTGATCCTGCCTGAAATCATGATTATGGACTGATTGTCGTGTCAAGGCAAGAACATGATTGCAGAGAGCTTTGTGGGTCACGGGGAATATGCGAAATAGCATCTGCCCCCCTCTCTATCGAGACTACATTCGTCGGTCGCAACGAGACCTTCCAATATATAAGGTGTGTGTTCGAATAGACTGCGTCTGATTCTGGTTCTCGACGAGTTTTGTAGTACACCCAAGATGCACACAAGCTTTTGTGCGCCGTTCGTATCCCTCCAAACAAATTGAAACATGATGAAGCGCATACACATACAACCAATGCAGCTGCGTTCCACTATTGCGAGACGCGCTGTCCCTCTTGCCTTTATTTTTGTACTCTTGCTATCGGTATGGTCTGAGATTGGGTTCAGTGAGGATTCTGGCTGACTCTCAACATTCGAAGATCATCATGGGTTGCACAATACTACCCATGGTAATATGGAACAGACTTCCTGGAGTTTCGAGGGAGATGATTCTACCACTCGAGAGGTTGCCGGGCGGAAGTTTAGTACAGGTGACTCGGGTGCGCCGATGTACTGCAACATGTTTTGCAAAGAGCTGGGGCGGCACGCACACATTGACTTCTGCCGAGCCCCCAGGAACGGACGTTGTACTGACGATACAGTGGAGCACATCGCTGCCAGAATGAATCCGGAACCTAACAGGGATAAGGACTGGATTACACATGCTTCCTATTGGGCGCGAACAGGTATCTGATGAACTAGTCTTTCAGACAACATTCACTTCTGAGCATCAACGCGATTTTATAGGTTTCCGAGGTGACTACCATGAATTAGTGTGGGAGAATCCCAACCTCTGATGAAACCCGTAGATCCTTATTCTCAGGATCTCCAAGAGGATTTCTCCAAGTGGTATGTCGTGATTCGCCACTTGCGTCATGATCTCACTTTTGCCTTAGTGATTCCGAATGCAATGGTTTGTTCGCAAATCGCAGTCGGCGAATGGAGGATACGAAGCTTACCTCATCGCATACGCAGGTGACGAACATAAGGCCACGGAGAATATAAAGGCACAGCGTTCGTTTTGCACCCTCCCTATGTTCCACAAACCCGCTTCTACAAATGCTCGGAATACTACGGGGTATACCTCTCGGGACGGACACTCCTTCGATTGCCAGAGCCCGGGACTTTATCATGCTGCTTACCATGTGTACGAGAATCCCTACCGCAGCAGTATTGCCTCCATATCTATATACGCTGACTCGGTCCCATCGTCAGGATATTCGCGTTGGACCGTTCGTCATCCATGGCTGAGCGGGATCGGGTTCCACTTGCTGGACAGGCAGCGACTCGTCAGATCACTAATTACAACAACAATAGATATGGTGCTGTGCTGTCCGCAATTTACGGTTTTTGGACGGCTCGTGCAGGCGCCTCACCAGGAGGCATACGACGCGATGCATACTCTGTAGTCGTGTTTAATGACACTGCTGCTGTAGGTTTTGCCAGACTACTTTTTCCTACTCGATCGTACTGAAGATTTGTACATAGACAATAATTGCCAACGATCTCACCCGAGACGCTGGCGCGCTTCTGTCGCCCCTCCTGCGTATGGGCCCTGATGGAGGAACAAACTTTTCTGCTGCAATCGGAGAAGCCCATAGAGTTATGGAACGCAATTGGAGTGCGGACAGGTTTGTTTGTGTGTGCCATCAATTGTTGATTCGTGACATTGATCTTTTAATTTCGTGTCAGGGCCCCATGTGTTATCTTCCTGTCTGATGGCGAAGCCAATACACCGTCGCAGGAGCTGCGCGCGATCTGTGATGAGGCGGTTTTTTTGGGGTCAGTATAAAGTGACTTTGGAACCTCCCGCCAATTATTCAACCTCCATTACAGTCGGCCCCTGTCATTCTTCACCGTTTCCTTTGCAGCTGGATCTTACTCTCCTGTTCTCGATTCTATGTCGACCCTTGCGACAGATATTTACAGAAGAGCATCACCAGGAGCCTCTCACGATATCCCGTGCGGGTCATACTACGCTATTGATTCGGTGCGTAATACACTCCGTCGAATGGCACAAAATTGACTGGCTTGTATAGATACAACTGGCACAGACATTCCTCGGCATTGCTGATTCCATGCGTCAGACTCGGGGAGCACTTGTGCGACAGTAAATCCTACTAAGAAAGAGTTGTCTTAAATTCAGGGGCCTTGAATTGATCGAGTCAAACACGCCATGTAATATTATACGCCTATCCAGCTTCAACTCCAAAGAATAGCAGCTACCTTTAAACTCCCGTGCGCATCATGCTGCAAACAGTTCATCGTGTGTGTGTTTGTGACAATCTTCATCGATTACCGCTCTCGAGGCTCGCGGCATACAATTGATCTTTATATTCTTGGTGTATGGTGCGGACTTGCGAGAGTTCAGTACCAGCGCTACATACCTCGGCAAAGGGATCGAAAATAGTCTGTCGTTACATATTGTCTAACGTCAATCCTAGATAGATGTGCAATGGACAGGGCGGTCGACTGTCGGTCGTGGAAGCGGGATCGGGGACTGATGCTCACAACTGAAATGCGTGGGAGGTGAATGTTGATCCGAACGCCAGTGACGTGCCTTGATCATGGCACAGTTACATGTAACTTTTCTCTCCCAGCTGACAACTGGCTTATCACGGCACATGTTGCTCCGACTGAGATCGAGGTTGACTGGCACATTGGCGCTTACGATATGTAGCTCAAAATGCGCCGCGCCACTAGAGTATGTTTTGGGGACTGAAAATGTGCTTTAGCGCACCATCATCCAGTGTCCACCTTTTCGGAACGAAACATCCATCTTTAGAGTCGCGTATCAAGAGTTCCTGATCTAGGAATTTTCAGCGCCTGAGATACGGAAGCTGAGAGGGGATACTGAAGTCGATTTAATGTACACGCACTTGTATCCGATGCAACGAGTAAAGTAGCCCCGAACGGTTAGGGAAACACGTCAGGGTTACAGAAAAGAAGAGTGCTATGAATGTGAAGAGATCGGGATGGATAGATGCTTATCTACAATCGATTTTCGGGGGACGCAAGTACTGCAGACCGGATATAAAAGATGAAAACAACTTTTCGGATTGTGCACGGGATGCAATAAGTGTAACTTCCTCCATGCTGAACCAGACATCATCGTCTTCTCATGCGTGTGCGAAAACGACCTGGACGTTGTTCTTTGGAAATGTTATCGCTAAAAACGTGAGTGGGTCACACATGCATGCAGTTCTTTCGGGATATTTATTGGACACATCCAGTGCAAACTCTACGGTAACCTAACAGGATGTGAATTTTAGAGCAGACAAGACTTTGACGGTTTGACGTCATACTGACATCACGTCGGAAGCAATTCTCGCACTTGCCTCGGTGGCGTCTACCTCACTCTCGCTGTTTTATGCAAGTGGCTTTTCAATCTACTCTTTTGGTCCGTCAACCCGAGCAGTATGAATATTCATCAAAGGCGGGGGGCCCAGCCTAACTATCTGCGGCCATAGGACTTGGAAAGCACCGCATCCCGTTCGATCTGCGAAGTCAAGTTGAGTACCGCTCAGTTAGTACCGTGGGAGGGGACTGTTGGAAATGCGAGTCACCGGAGATATCCGGGGGCATGTGGAGGATAATGTGGAGGATTTTACTAAGCGCGCAGCCTGCACAGGAGTTGCCTTACGTAGATTTTCCTCTTTATTCATTCCTTTGTATATATATACGCACGGACATCATCCCCAAATCACTAGTTATATTCCCGCTTCTATCTTACATCTGTGCTACGAGTGAGCCGCTGGAAACCGGGTTGCCTTATCCGGAACACCGTTTACAACAGGGACTACACGGGAATCCTGGGTGCTGCAGTTTATCTCTTTTTTTTGGGGTTTTTCCTTGGCTCTCTGCCACTTCCCAAACTGCGAGTGGGGGTCGGCAAGCCGAGGGCTTGTGAAGCAGTAGCAAACGAATCTACCGGACTTAGTTTTGTATCACCTATGCATGTATAGGAGTTCCTCAAATTTGTGTGTATCCAATAGGCTGGTAACCTGCCTAGTGTATATCTCAAGACATGGGCATACATCAGGACGAAAAACTAAAATGGCAAAGTTTGGCAACTTCATTGTTGAATGACAAGTTCTCTAATACATGAAGACTTTTGAACACGATCACATCATCATCGAGACATTTTTCGCCGCCCCCGCAATAACTCACTCGTTTATGTGTTTTATACAGCTGATATTCACATGCACGTCGCGCTTGTTCTCTGTTACGTAATACATTGAACATAACTGTGCCTTGAGCTGTAAAAGGCGCGCGTTTAGTCACAGCCCATTACCGATCACTTCCGTTAAGAATTGCATGACCATCTGGTTCAGGCAAGCGACCGCTGCTGGAACTGTACCCACCCTCTAGCTCGCGCGCAGGTTTGAAGGTGTCGTCAAATGCGTCTGTTGAACGAAGGTGACCAGTTGACAACGGAAGATGTGAGTGTCGATTCAGAAATCAGCCAGATCTAGCGCCACTGATCAAAACGCAGCCATCAGCCGCTCAGACCCAACACAACGTTGATGCCACAGGCGGGCAACCTTTGGATGATGCAGCTTCTGCGCGCAATAACTACAACTCTCTAAACGGTGGTAGCTCTGGCGCGCCAGCAACGCCAACTGCGTATATCGTGGACCCATCTTCCTCTGTTCCACAAAACATTGTTGATTATTCACCCTCCACTGCCTATAGCCCGAGGATGTCTACGATCCCGATCCCCGAGGATGTAGAGCGTCACCAAACTCCACATGCCTCTCACACTTATCCCGCACCCGTGACTCGATACAACACATCTGCGCGGTCGGCGTCTGTTTCCCCAATCCCACCTGCCCTTGTCCATCAACCAGATTATCCCGGACCCCCTATCGGGCCACAGCATCCGCCCGACCTATTGCTTTTCAATAGCCCTCCGTCGGAGCTTCGCGTGTCTGATTCTACCGAACCTTCTATGTCTCCCAAGTCTGTCCCGGGTAACATGGGACCCGAAGAGAGCCTCGCTTATGGACATACCAATACGGTGCCTCGTTCGCTTTCCATTTCGACACCTAAGCTTTCCGAACCGTCTAGCATACCCATGGATAACCCTCGGCGTGCTTCATGGATGGTGCCGTTCGCTTCAACGGGACGCCATTTTGACATTGGATCGTCGCTTTTGCAGGCGGAGCTCACTGCCCCCCAAACAAGCAGCTTCCAACAGACGCTTGCCGAGTTCATTCTTTGGGATACGCACAGCTCGAGAATTCCGTCCCAATATTATATATCTACCTTCCGAGGGACGAGTCAGTATGCTGTCGGAGGTTTATCCGCTTGCGGCTTCGCCTGTTTGCTTGCCGCAAAAAGGATCCTGCTGCTAGGCCGATCGTGTCGCTCTGGATCTTCCGAGGTCTCCGAATTTGCGAGAACCATTGATGATGTGCATTTTCATCAGGTATGTACACGATCACTCTTATGGCCCAGTCTTGTTGTCACTTATCCCCCCCCCTTTAGTCCATCATCGAACCTTGTGCCAAGTTAGACTCGACGAGTCATTTTGAGGTGGAGGATATATTAGCGCTGCCAATGTTTCGCTACTCTTTGCGGCTCGTAAGTACAATGTACCAGCAGTGCAGAGTGGAGCATTTTGCCAAGCTTGTTGAGTGAGTGCGCCTGTGCCTCTGTTGACAATGGGCCCATGTTTTCATCTCTAACGTGATGTCTATGTTGTAGGGATTTGCAAATCACTGCCATATCGAATGGTGGAGATATCGCTGCCGTGATTACTCGACCCCCAGAGATAGTGATTCTCTTTTTCCTCACGTTGAGGCACAATGCAGCATCGCGTTCATCAACGGCAACATCGCCAACTCGCAATGTCTTTGCTGTATTCGATTCACATAGTCGTTCCAACGGCAAAGCTGTTCATCCTGACGGATTAGCGTTCGTTTTCATCAGGGATCCGGACGAATTGGTTGAATATCTTGTCAACGATTTGTTTGCCCTTGACCCGAGCTTGCGACAGGAAGCCCGTCGTGGTCACGACTGGCAAACCCAGCTCCTTACCCAGTTTTCGGCCCATTTCCTTGCAATTCAGGATGGAGACGGGGGATTAACCATGACGATGAGTCAGAGGGTGGGGTCACAGTCGAAGCGAATATAGAGCTTCTGATGGAGAAGGCAAAAAGGGCTCAACTCGACAATCTTCTGTCGGGAACCAAACGAGAGAACGTACGGCTCGAGAGGGAGAATAATGAAATACGCAGTAGGCTCAGGGCTCAAAGCGAGGTGGTCAGGGATCTCCGTGCGCAGGTGTCGAAGAGGGCGGAGGGAAATTGGACTACCTCGATGATGTCGCGTATAGCTGCCGATCGTTGGAAGCCTACTGAGAAACAGCTTTCAGCTCATGACGTCGATGAGGATGGTTTTGGGATTTATCCCGTCGACTTGGGCCCAGATGTCTCGAAATCCAAGGTCCCTGATCGTTCCCGGTCATTTTCGCTGGCATCGGCCAGTTCAACCAGTAGCGTGGGCGGCGACTCTAATAATCAAAACACAGGTTTTTTGGGCCGCATGTACAGCAGCGCCAAATCCATGTTATCATCTCCGGATCGTAGCAACTTCTGGCAGCAACAGATATCACAACCACACGCAACGGAACTTGCTGATGCGCAGTTGTCGTCGCTGCGGGCTCGAGTGAACGATGATGCATCTTTTAGCCAGACGCGTCAGAATCTCCCAGCTTGGCGACGTGATGACGCAGATAAGGGAAAGGGAAAGGGGAAGGGAAAGTCAAGGGAGGTAGGACTGCACGTCGAGGAGAACAATCGTTTGTTGCGAAACCCGACACCGGCGAACGACCGCGATTTCACCGATACAATCTCCTACCAGTCTGACAGCATTAGCATTGATTATGATACTATGCCTGCAGCCCCAACTTCGGGCTCAATGACACCAATTCGGCGTTCGGCTGCTGGAACAACAACGCTACTGAATCATTCTACACTTCCTACTTCTCCCGTAAGTGGTGTATGATATGCGCTCCAGCCGTTACTCATTTCCAATCTAGATTTCGCCCAGTGGTACTTTCGAGGACGTCCCTCCTGCATATCATGATATGCTGATTGATCAAGAACAACGCTTGTCAGAAGATGAACACCCAGATGATCCTTCGCATTCTCTGCATCGCTTCGGGACCGCAGTCCAAGGTGATCAAGCAAGCCTTCTCCATGAAGATGAAGATGATTACGAGGTTGCCCTTCGGACCCAAATGTTGTTGGATAACGAATCAAGAGTTTTGTCTCGTGAACGGGAAGACCTAATCCGCTATTCCCGTAGGCCTGCAAACTCAAGGGAACAGCATGTCGGGGGGACCCCCAATATGAACGGAGCGCGATCAGACTTTAGGCCTCCAGACACATTCCGTGATTTACCCCCTGCTCGTCGAACTTTCGCGGCTGTAGCCGGTCGAGATCGTTCCACTGTTCGAGTGGAGGACCAATCCGAAAGAGCTTTATCCGAGTTGAGATCACGAATGGCTGAAGATGAAGCACGAATGCTAGCAGATCACAATCTCGCTGTTCAACTTGCCCGTGAGGACGACGAAATCGAACGTGAACACCGTCATTTAATCACTGAATCCCAGCCGACATTTGAATGCTCTATCTGTATGGAAATGCGGCCACTCGACTCCGCTATGCCCATTCCAACTTGCACACACGTTTTTTGTCGCGGGTGCTTGAAGTCTCATGTTGTTTCCAAGTTGGAGGAAGGACGTTACCCCATATTTTGTCCCATCTGTTCCGCGGACAAGAATATGGATCAGAAAGGAGGTGCGTCGGTGTCAATGCCATTGTATACATCGCCTCACAAACTCACTCCACCTGGTTTACGTAGAGATCTCAAACACAATGGCCGAGTCGCTTGGTTTATCTGAAGAACAGTACGTTATGTGGGAAAAGCTGAATCTGGCCCAATATTCGGTCTGGATTGACTGTCCACAGTGAGTGAATTATCCAGGTTCCTTTGGCAAGCGATATATATATATATATCCTGAACCAACAATTGCATCTGTGACCAATAGTTGCGAAAAGTCCTCACTTGTAGATCGAGATGATTTCCAGATTAGTTCGGAGCTTCGATGCCCGCTTCCTACGTGTCGCGGCATGTGGTGCAAGAAATGCATGAATTTTATCGATCCATCTGCTGGCCCACATTCATGTGATGGCCAAGCCGAAATGGATCGCTACATCGCTACTGGATCTGCCACAAAGCGTTGCCCAGGTCTGACTTTATTTTATTTTGACGAAGTGGAGCTTTTCAAGCTTACTGATGACTCCCCTGAACAGGTTGCACCACACCTACGGAGAAAACTGAGGGATGCAATCATATGACATGTTCGGTTCCTGGTTGTAACACGTACGTCCTGGATCCTAGCCCTCACTGCACGTTGCATCAGGGGATAAAACTCCATTTTTTTCCGGTTCTCTAGGCATTTCTGCTGGGTATGCGGGAAAACGATTGTTCGCACACAAATCCAGAGCCAAGTCAAATCAGCACTGGAGGCTCACTATAGGAAGTGCAAACTGTTCCACTACCCGGCTTAGTTCACGCGAGGCATGATTTCAGCGCGTTAGGTGTATCATAGCGGCGAATTTTGGTTGGTGCGAATGGGAGATGAATGATGCACGCGAATCTGGATGGAAGGACTTTTCTTCCACACTTCCTCTCGCTATAATAAATGTCTGGGAATTGTGCTTCACACATGCGCTGTCTAGCGGTGTTCAGTCAGATGTTCATTCAAAATGTATCCGTAGCACTTGCACATTATGTTACTGTGTTGTATGTTGCTGATGCAGCAGGACTCGCCACTCGACCTCAAAGTCGATACTAGAATTGACGGACGATATGTACGACAAACTATTTTCGATCCCTTGCCGGGCATGTGCCTGCGCCAGCGCTGGTACTGAACTTCACAAATCCGCGAGCATCCTGGTGCCCTGGCCACAGTGGCATCAAGGGCCATAAGTGTGCAGATGAGCTGGCCCAAGAGGGAGCTTGCCTCGGCTCGGACAGACCCATTACCACTCACTACTTATGCAGAAAGAGTGCACAAGCAGGACACGGAAGGAGAATGGAATGAACGTTGCGCAAGCACACCCATCCCGATCCGAACAGGATTCCACACAGCAGACTAGAACCACCCAGTTCAAAATGTTAGGCTGGGAGACCTTCAGCAGGCTGGTCCAGTTCTGCACCGGCCACGCACGCCTGAGCGAATACTACCACCGGTTCGGTATCCACACAGAGAGCAGAGTGTGTAAATGTGGAGCAGCCAACCAGACGAGAGAGCATACCCTCAAGGTATGCCCACAGTTTAAGAAACATAGACACGTACCGGGCCGTGGTCATCAGAGCAGGTTTTCGACCCTTATGGGGAAGCCCAAAAGACTAGCAGACTTCATCAAGAAGTCACGGGCCTTCGACAAAAAGGGCAGACAGCACAAAGCGGGGGCAGAGGAGTACCCAACCAATAGCCCCCCGTAGAGCCTGAGAGAAGGAGTGACATAGACACCACACCCCCACGCATACCCAGAACCAGATATCACGACCCAAAGGACCCCGTCACCCCGACTACACCAACCAGACATCCCTAGCTTGTATTGACGAGTCCCTCATGTCCAGTCAGATGTAATAAGTCGGGCTGGCTAGCTGCGGGCAACAAATAGAATACAACGACAACGACAACAAAGCTTGGCCGAGTTTCTAAAGAGGTCCCGCGCAGGTGACCCCAGAACACCAACCACCCCGAGGACAGTGAGCAGCCGAGGAGCGGAGTGGAACATGAAGGACGCAACCGAAGCAGCAGAAGAAACAACCCCACTTACCCCCCGACAACTCCACCCAACCAGAGGATTATTTCACACACCCCAACCCGTAACTTCTTCATGTAATGACGATCCCCTCATGTACGGCCACGGTGTAAAGAGCCGGGTCCCACGACGAGGCACACACACAACACACAACAACAACGCTTCTCGCCTTGCGATCACTTTCATTTGGGCCGGACCTTAAATTGAAATTTTGGTTCACACCAAGCCTTCATGCGAGATACACATTTTGACGAGAATCTGGTTCACAAACACCTACACGGAAGAAGAACCATCGCAGAACATGAGATGATCGCAGCAGAAAAAATCATTACAGAAATGCAGAAGAATACTGGCCGTCACTCTTTTCACTGCATTGAAGCGGTTTACAACTCGTGGGAGCAAAGGGGATTTCGCCCCAGCCAGTATTTCGCGCGCCCAAAAACTAAACATTGGTGTTTGAACATGCGTGCGATTGGACTTGGGTGCACTAAGATAGGGAACGTACTTACAAATGCAACGAGGCTGTCCCAGTTACCGCGATGCCCTCTAGTGATCGCGCAGAATGCTGTCGCCGAACGCAGCGACATTCACCAGGTATTCAAATTATTTCTGAGCGCGTTATGCCTGACGGAGATTAGGTTATCCATGCGATTACAGATGCCACCGCTCCCCAACCTCCGTGTTTCATTTTTTTTCGCCGTTCACCAACGTTTCGACACACCCAATACCTGCTCGAGAGGTGAAGGTCGCTTTTAAGGGCTCGAACGATATCAATGAGACTGACGAAGGGACAAACGATGTCTTATTCAGCCACATCAGCATCTGGACTCGGTTCCACCCTCTACAGACGAGCCCAAACGAATCTCTGCACTTCACTCTGTTCTCACACTACCAAACTCGTACGGCAGCACGAGTCCAACGGACGTCCCAGCTCGCCCAACGGCTTGTAGCCTGGTCCATTCGAAGACCTCAGCACCTACCCCATGAGTATGTACAGGATACTCGTGGAGAAGGCCTTGGCACACACTGTCGTCGCTGAGGGAGCCACCGTTATGAGATGTGGGCATGGTGTATCCACTGATGATCCCTGATTAGGACACTCAGAAAGATGCACCACGATATCATTTAAATCGGACCCTGGCTGCAACAGTCTTTTAGGCCAGGCGCCGTTCCGTTGTATTGGGGAAGCATGATTCTTGCGCACAGCGTCCCAATGAGCGGTAGTATGATCGTTGAAGCTCTTCCTGTCGGCCGTCGGGACTATGGTCTCCCTCGTGTGGGACCCCCTTCCGTTTAGTGGTAGGGACCATGCCGAGTATATCTTTTGTGTCAATGCTTTCTACCATAGCAGTGGGAAGTCAAGCTAGTCAGAAGAGCAACTTCGGAATGATTGTTCAGATGATAATCTTGATTCTTCCCCATGAGTACACTTAGGCGACGCACGGGGCTGCTCCAGCATGTAATGGAAAATGAAGAAATTGCTGTCTTGTCCATTCGTTGTTCTGTGTCCTATATTAAACATGGCTAAGGTCCATTTGTGAGTACAACAAGCAGGAGAAAACGACGTTAGAAATCCGTGATATTTTACGGAAAGAGGCCCGGAGACAATGATCAGGTCTGGATAAACTGGTGGCCCCACACAAGTTGGCCACGGCATTCTCATTTGGTGATCCTGTCCTTGGCTGATTTGAAGAACCCATAGATTTTGAACGTGTCAAAGGTACGCTGCATGACAGACCGTCAATAATTGCTGGGGATTGTGTTATTTCTGGGGACATACATGAGCGGCAGAATCATCCTGATACGCGGGTCCTGGGTTTGAAGAACCTGGGGCTGGCAAGTCATCTGTCCTAGTCATGGGCTTGCTTATTCTTTCAGGCTCATTCAATTCCAATCGCCCATGCCCTCGGGGCGTCACCTCCTGACTTTCCCAATTCGAGAAGGATGCGTCACCTGTGACTGAAGTTGTGGCCCGGGTGAGAGCATCCTCAAAGTCGCTTTCGTCAACGTCGAAACCTCCATCAGTCTGTTCCGCATCGGCTGCTTCGGCTGCGACAGGGGGTAGACGAGTGATCGCATATTTGATACCCGGACGGTCATGAGGATCCCTTTCCCAGCAGCCGTGAAAAAGCCCGATCAGGCTGGCTGGGAGTCGTGATTTTGGCTCTCGATACGATGGCATGTTTGAGTCAGGATTGGCGGAATACACAAGAGGGAGTAGATCATAGGGGAGAATGCCTTCATCGATCGCCCGGGTCACTGGAGTGTCGTACTTGATGTCATTGTAAGGTATCTCTTCATGCAAAATCTGAAGGCGCAAGATGGTGAATTAGTAGCATGAATCGAGTAGTGATATTAGAACGAACCTCCATGCAAACACAGGCAAATGAGTACATATCACTTGCAGTGGTCCGAGCGTCGCCACGTGTGAGTTCCGGTGCAAGATACCTTGTTGTTCCTCCGATGACAGACGACGTGAAGCCGCTGGCAGAATTGTCGAGCATCTGTGACAAGCCAAAATCGCAAAGGACGGCACGTCCATTATCATCCACCAGAATGTTATACTGGAAATTGAATCAGCAAAGCATTTTGTGGCAAAAGCGGCAATTTACAGCTTTGAGGTCCCCATGCACTACCGGATGAAGTCGGGAATGTAGGTGTGCGACACCGTTGGCGACATCATGACACTGTAATCACATGATTTAAGTATTGGGTCCTAGACTGTTCCTCGAAGTACTCACCAGCAGCATACGATCCGCATCGCGTTGGTTCTTGAGATAGTTGTACACGTGCCCATTTTTGTAGTGCCGGGTGACGATGCTGGCAGTGAAGGTGCCAACTATTATCTCTTCCCACATATAACCATAGAATGGAGCCACATTGGGATGCTCGAGGGACCTCCAAACCTTCATTTCGCGGAGCAAACGCTACCGGGACGTCAGCAAGTGCAACGCAGGCGGCTGAACGAAACACTTACCTTTAAAGCTTTCCTCTGCTGTTCTTCGGGTGTCCAGGTGGCATCCATTGCATGTAAACGTTTAATGGCCACGTCAATTAATTCGCCCTCAAATTTTCTCCACAAGCCCCTCCACACTTGGGAATAACCACCCTGAGCAATGGCTTGGTGTGATTCGATCCTCTCGGTGAGGTCCTCTGCTGCACTATGGAACTTGGGTAAGTTCGGAGGCACCATATCAAGGACCATTCCTGAAGGAGGGCTGGTCGTGGAAGGGGTGGTGGGGAGTGAATGTAATCTCCCGGCTGCATGACCATAATACACCTTGCTGGAAGACGTTGATTTCCCAGAGGGCGACGATCCGGTAGCCTTAAGGAAGTTGTGCAATCCTGATGCGTTGATGTTAGTCGGAGGGAAAGTGCGGTACCACGACACATCGACGTACCGCCATTGCATGAGTCGTACCAAGACAGATGCGCAGAGGACGATAATGAGGTAGAAAGCAGTGCGTCATCATCATCACGGGAAGGCGCTCCGAATGGGTCGATGCGCGGCGATGCCAGTCGTGTCCTCACGATGGGCACTGGATCCGACATTATCCTTCGATCAGCTTGTCTCACCGCAGGGAGAAGTGGGACGTTCTACAGTGGGTATTATGAGACCAGACCCATAAAAAGGGAAGTGCGTTGTGTCGGCGCTTAGTTCGGTTGGGTTTCCGTGCACAATGAGCTCAAGAGTCAAGACACAAACCTGATAGGGCTCTGAAAAATGGAATGCCTTGTCGTGGAGTAGACTTGATAGGGCAAAGCGCTCAGCGACAGTTAACGAAAGACTAGGGGCGAAGGCGAAGCGCGTGTTGTGCAGCTTGGCAATGGCGGTACAGCATTGACGACATGGGAGGCTGTGTCCCCTTATTCATGGTCCGCTGCCTTCCAAATGAATACTTGTGCTGGCACCGGTCACGCGTTACACTGACCTAGCCCGGGATTGGATCTCCGTCAGACATGTGTACTGAGGTGCGCGCGCATCCCACGGCCAAGCTCCTGGTCAAAACTAGATGAGGGGAGCAGGGCAGTGTCGTCAAGCCTTGGCTTCTTCAGCACAGGTTTAGGTTGCCTGAAGGCTGCCGTGAACCACGTCCAAGCCATCAGGAACAATCCTTCCATCCATGTGCTCGTCAACCTCTATGTCCGGATCATTGTGAATTCGCATTCCTGTCTAACGGCGAGACTTTTGTTTCCAGAGAGGGTCAGATTTTTTTCCGTGGGAACGAACTGTACGAAGGTGCATGGCTGTACTGCGTGGGAATGGTCCCCCCATGGGACACTCGCGCGTATTCAATTTGGACTTGTTAGCTCAGGAAGCAACACGGAATTCAGATCGGTGCTTATTGTTTCGTCCCGGATACCCCATACAATGCCTGACACTTGTCAGCCAATGACCGCACTGACACGGGGAAAGCACCTGCGGGGCTTGATCGATCCCCAAGTATTGCAACTCAAGCTGAGTTGGCTATTACTTACAAAGAGGAACGTTCCACATTCCCTTGGAGGAAAGGCAGGGCATTCCTGGTTGAAAACACCTTCTGCACTGAGGGCTAAATGTACAAAGATCTTTCTCTTTCACTGCGGAAGAAATCTTGCCGTTGGCCACTTCTGGATGACTCCATATGGAGTTCATTCCCGTCGGCACAAGATCCATGCTGTCGTAGGAATTATGATTGGCCAAGCAGTTGCGAGGCGCTTTAGTTGTCCCGGGAGACCCAGTGGCAAGCAGCACTGCTTGCAAATCGAGCAACATCACTCCTTTTATTTTCGTATCTTTCCTCGATCGGGTACGCCGTCGGTCTAGGCACCCAACCTCAACCAGATATTGTACCGGAAGTCAACTGGCCGGTTCTCGACACTTAGAAACTTTGCGTGTATTGAGACAGCGCGTGCAGAAAAGGAAGTTCTGCCACATCTTGAGGAGCTGCAAGGCACGGCATATGGTACTCTTCAAAGTCCGGAGTCTTAACTTGTTCGACCTGGGGAACTCCTCAGAGCTGCTTTCCCGTAGCAAGCTAGAATGGAATGGGAGCACACTGCTCGAAGTCCATGGGTGGCTGCCATTGTTGGCGAAACTCCAGTTACCGGGCGACACAACCTGTTTCAGGTAAGACCAGTTTTTCCGCAAACGTGACGAAGAATCCTTAAGATGGTTTGCATTCACATGTTTTCCGAGACACCCGTTTAAGACCCACGGAGTCCGTACAGAGATAAGTACCACGTTTGCGCTGCTTATGACGAACCACACGAATGCATATATGGTTACAGATCGCAGATGTAAACCGAACCAGAGTGTCGAACGCAGCATGGAGGAAAGAAACATACCCAAAAGTGAGGAGCAAAGGTGTAGCAATTGATATGTCGCACTATACCCCTCCAAAGGGTGGTACGATTGCGGGACCACAAGTTGCGCCACGAAGTTCTGTCTTTTCTCATCGGCCGGGACCACTGAGTTTGATTTCTTCCGTAGTTTCGGGCAGGGAACCAAAAGTAGTTGATCGATAACGATGTTGCATATTTGACTGTTCACTGGGATGTTTCGAAGGGGACGTCTCGCTGAGAGATCGGAGAACCGAGGCAGATGTAGATGGTCGTAGCGTAGAACGGAAACCGTAACTCGCTTCCCCGTCGGGGCTTTTCGAACGTACAGACATTGAGGAAGAGCCATTTGTACTAGGGGCTACGAGAGATCCAGATTCTATTGAGGTTGTACGGGTTCGTGAAAGATACTGAGCAATCGCATCTGCGTCTCGTTGACGGACCTTTGATGCGACTGGTGACAATGCGAGATCAATCGATTGCTGTCGACGAGAAGATGGGGGCCCCTCAGAAGAATTATCGGTGCCAGAGGATGAAAGCTGTTGGAGAGAACGGGAGGGGGAAATTCTTTGAGACTTAAGAACTTTAGGAGTGTCGCTGTGGGCAGCAGCAGAATGCTGGGGACGCATTGGAGATCTATCTTTCGGAGGGAGAGGTGGGACCGCAGATGATGAAGCATGTGACATTGTGGAAGAGGTTAAAGGTTGATAAGGGTGATTCGATGCCGAATGCTTTGTCGAGTCGTATGATGTACCTGAACCATCCAAGTCGGTCACAGGATCTGGGACGCTTGCTCCTGACCCACTTCGTAACCGAGTTGAACTTGGGATCCGTGGGATAGAGCCGCCGTACATTTGCTCATAGCGTTTCTGGAGTTCACTTCCTCGGCTTGCAGCTTGTGCATAAATGTTTCTCCGGGCGCGCTGTGGGATCAACCCTGAGATTGGAAGGCATCACACAGGTGGAACGCGATGCATTACCTTGTTACTTTCAAACTGGGACCGAGCTGTGTCCTGCAGAACGTTCATCGTGTTGTTACTAAATCCCGGAACGCAATCGGTCAGTGTGTGGTGAAAGGTAGAAGAATACTCTACGAGAAGGCATAATCAGACGCTGTAAAGCCATAATTGTTCTTGATGACGAATTGACAGCCGCGTTCAATCAGTAGCTGGACAATCTAGGAACAGAATGAAACAGCGAAGTCCACCAAAAATACTTGAACCATACCGAGACATGACCCCACGCGCTTGCGCTAATAGCAAAGATAAATCACGGACACAGATATCAAAAAATGCGCCTACAAATGAAGGGGTGTGTTTCCTTCTTCATCCGGGAGGTCGAAATCAGCTCCATGGTCACACAGCATCTGAGACTGGCTATGAGCAACAATACAGCGAATTGTCAATGGAAATTTCATACACGAACAAATCCCTCGTTCCCTTTCAGGGAGGCAACGTGAAGAGCTGTTTTTCCCTTGACGTTGGACCAGTCAATCAAATCCGGGTAGCGACTGAGGTATGCCGTTGCCATCCGCAATGTCGCGCCTTCGACGTCTTCATCGCGGGAGGAGGGGACATGGTTGGTATTCTGTAAAACAGAGGAGCTCCCTGCCAGCAAGATTAGTATCGTATTGTTTTCTATATCCTAGCAAAACGTGAGGCGTTGCTTCGCGGGCGAGATCGGAAAACATACCCGACTGAGCTCGTCATCATCATGACCCAGGTCGAGGAGATAATTGAAGATTTCCTCATGAGCGCATATCGCTGCCCATGCTAGAGAGGTCCACCGGCTACCCTCAGGATCCACATTGCGAACATCCTCTATTCTTGTTGCTATTCGCCTGACGAGGAAGAGCTTGTTTTCTGTCCAAACACGCGATAGTGAGCATGGGGGTTATGTTTAGTTACGCTGACTCCTCGCCTTTGACAGCACGCCTGAGCCGTTCAGATTCATCATTCCGTTGCATTTCAATTATTCCCAGCGCTAACTGGCGTTGTCGGGATTTGGATCACGTGCCTTTCCTGTTTTCAAATTTATTAATTATTTAAATCCGGCCAATATTCACACGACTTTGTGCGTCCTCAAGCCTAAACTGTGTATCTAGGGATCACCTTTGCCGAAAGAGTTTTGGAAACGGGCGGTTCCTGAACAAGTCACACGAAATTTATTATCGCACGTTGGAGGCACCACAAACGAGAGGTCGTTGAGCTGTCTCACAGGACGCAACCATGTCCTCAGGAAAATGCGCCATGAGAGGGACTTGCGGCTCGGTGGGGTGGGGCGGGCAACTCCTCCCATGCCCCTATGATGGCCCAGCAGAGATGGTGGCTAAATTCCGAATGAATCCAAATGAGGCTTTCGCTGAGTTCATAATTACAGCCCGACTCGGCTAACTTCAGAGAGACGCTGGTGGCTACGTGCGGAAGCTCTTACACAGACGTCCCCGTGTGCTGTACCTTGGAGCAGGTGGGGACACTTTCTGCCAACTTCCAACAAGTGGAACCGTTGATCGGCTCTTGTCCGGCCTGTCGAAACAATTTCCGCGATTTCTTCTGCGCCTTCACTTGTTCACATCGTCAAGGCACATTTTTGAACGTTTCATCCACTCAATTGAGCAATACCAACCAACAAGCTGTCAAAAGCGTTGAGTTTTTCGTCGGGAATGGCATGGGTCAAGGTTTCTACGACAGTTGCAAAGAGGTCAAGTTTAGTGCAACCAATGGTTACGCAATGGATTTTATTGGAGGAGGTAACTGTGTTGATTTCCCAAATCTATGTGCTCGATGAACACCATGAGTAGGTGCTAAAACGTATCCCGAGTTTCTCAAATACATGGGCGATGTCCGTCCAGGCTTGGGCAGCCCCTTTCAAATCGATTTTCCCAACCGGACTTTCGGAGGATATAGCGAATATAACCCGCGTCCGCGCTCTTGTGCTGACGAGAATCTATCCAATCACTGTTCCTGCACTGATTGTCCGTCAATCTGTCCTGTCCTTCCAACTATCCCCCCTCCGGGTTCCCACCCTTCTTGCCATATCGGTCCTCTCCCTTGCCTAAGCTTCCTGCTCCTCCTAACATATGCTATTGGCTTAATTGGTTTTGTTGGGGGTTACGGTTTTGGCCGTGCGGTGCGCCTCGCTCGCAGCCATGAAACACCTTCCGGACTGATCGGGGCGTCGTCCTTAGCCACTCGGCACGATGATACGGTGTCGGATTCGAGACATAGTCTGGGAAGAGGGGCGTCGCTTTTGGATCAAGAAGGCTTGCAGCCTCGGCAATACTATCTTAACACCATTCTTCGACGGTTTTTCTACCGATTGGGATGGTTATGCGCGAATAATCCTACCCTAATCTTCATTCTTTCCCTACTCTTCGTCACTGTTGCGAATGTTGGGTGGAAGTTCTTCAAGGTTGAAAACGATCCAGTCAGACTCTGGGTTGCCCCTAATTCTGACAGCAGAGCCCAGAAGGATATCTTCGATAAGCACTTCGGCCCGTTATACCGAGTAGAACAACTTTTCATTACCACCGCCGCTTTGCCCATTCTGGAACATCGGTCACCTGTTGCACCTGTTGCATCGAACATTCCTCTCTTGCAGAAGCGGCCCGTCCTATCTTTCAAATCACTTCAGTGGCTGTTTGACGTCGAGGATGAAATTCGGTCGCTACGGTCACCAAAATCTAATCTCGCCTTTCAAGATGTATGCTTCAAGCCTGCAGGACCTGGTGGCATCTGTGTTGTTCAATCTGTCACTGCGTGGCTAGGCGGAAGCCTCGACAAGGACGACTGGTCGGACAAGATCCGGACTTGTGCTCGACAACCGGCAAGCTGTATGCCAGAATATGGACAACCTTTACAACCAGAATACGTATTAGGCGCTGTTCCGGCCCGGAACGGCTCATCCCAGTGGCTGGATGCGGAATCGTTAATCGTTACGTACGTGGTCGCTGACTCTCTAAATACCACCGTCAAAGCAAAGGCAGAAGAGTGGGAGGAAGAACTGCTTAGTTACCTGTTGTCCTTGTCAAGGACAGCCTCCCGCGATTTTGGGTTGGAGATATCCTTCAGCACTGGCATTTCGCTGGAGGGAGAACTGAACAGGAGCACAAACACAGATATTAGGGTTGCAGTTCTATCCTATCTTGCGATGTTCCTGTATGTTTCCTTGACACTCGGCCGAGGAGAAGGCGGTGACCACAAGTCCGGCACATTCTTTATTAAAAAGTGGTGCTTTCCCGGCAGGGGTACTTCTGGTGCGAATGCTACAAGTATCGCCTCCTCTCGTGGAGGTTACAGCTTCCTGCGGCATGTCTTTGTTGAATCCAAAGTGGCGTTGGGCTTGTTTGGTTTGATACTAGTTCTGCTGTCCATTGCATGTTCGATTGGGATTTGGTCCTACTTCGGGGTCAAAGTCACGTTGATTATCGCTGAAGTCATCCCATTCCTAGTTCTGGCTGTTGGCGTTGACAATGTTTTCCTTTTGGTTGCCGAACTTGAGCGCCAAAATTCTCTTCATGGTCTCAACGCATCCTCTCATTCACCGAGTGCAACGACCGCGACCCCCTTGTCTCCCTCCCAACGTTATGCTAATGAACAAGATTCCGACGACCTGGATTCGGGATCCATCTACTTGGCGGTCGAAGAGAGAGTTGCAAGATGCGTTGCCAAAGTTGGGCCGTCTATTTTCATTAGTTCCGGAACTCAAACCTTGACTTTTGCTCTCGGGGCGTTGGTACCAATGCCTGCTGTTCGCAACTTCGCTCTGTATGCGGCGTTGAGCGTATTCCTGAATGCTGTCATGCAAGTCACTCTCTTCGTTAGCTCCTTGGCTTTGGACCTCCGACGAACTGAGGTGAGCACATTGCCATCACCCTTCCAGATATTGGTGGCGTAATCACGAGGAATGCAGAATGGGCGTGTAGATTGCTTTCCATGTGTCAAGATTCCTGCAAGGATTACGCTTCCGGACCACTCAAAGGGCCCCGGTGGTGCTTTGGTTCGATTCTTTCGTCGAACTTACGCACCTTTCATCCTTCATCCAACAGTCAAAGGCATCGTCATCGCCATCTTCAGTGGCCTCGCAATCTTCTCTACTATATCCTTACAGAACATTGAACTAGGTCTGGGTGCGTGCGAGGCTGTGTTGCGTTGTCTACATATGCTCATAATTGTATCAGATCAGAAGCTGGCATTGCCTTCGGACTCTTACCTCCTTGAGTAAGCATCAATTTAGAACGACGGTACACTCAAGCACTCAAACACCTATTCAGCTATTTTAAGGCAGTGGAGAGTTACCTTGATGTTGGACCTCCTGTCTATTTTGTAGCCGAATCCTTAAACGCGAGCACTCGTTCTGCTCAGCGATCAATATGCGGAAAATTCACAACTTGCGATGAGTTCTCCGTAGCCAACACCCTGGAAGCTGAAAGGAAACGTCCTGAATCCTCGTTCATCTCGCAACCACCTGCAATATGGATTGATGATTTTCTCAAGTGGCTGGATCCTAGTCTCGACAGCTGCTGTCGTGTCAGGAAGAGCGACCCCTCCGTGTTCTGTACATCAAGGGAGCCAGAGAAATTATGCCAGCCATGTCTTGCAGGGAAGTTACCACCGTGGAATGTGACCATGGATGGGATGCCAGAAGGTTGGGAGTTTTATAAATACCTCGCACACTGGCTCGATTCTCCGACCGATGAATGCGGCCTTGGAGGGGAACAGTCCTACGGTGCAGCTATATCTGTGGACGAGAGAGGCACGGTCATTGCGTCTCATTTTAGAACGTATCACACTTCATTACGCAACCAAGGTGACTATATCAATGCTTTCGTGGCCGCTCGTCGCATCGCCGGTGATCTCTCGGCAGAGACGGGCTCCAAAGTCTTCCCATATTCGATTTTCTACGTGTTCTTTGAGCAATACTTGTACATCATCTCTATCACGCAAGAGATCTTGGGATTGGGCCTAGCTTCAGTCCTCCTGCTTACCTCAGTCCTCCTGGGTTCTTGGCGCACAGGAACGATTGTAACAGGAGTAGTTGGTCTAACTATCTTGGATGTTATGGGGGTAATGGGTGTATGGGGTATAAGGTGAGCTGGCGGAACGAGCACTTTCCATTGTTTATGCTCACCTCGAGGCTATCTAGCCTCAACGCCATTAGCTTGGTGAATTTGGAGATATCGTTGGGTATTGCAGTGGAGTTCTGCAGTCATATAGCGCGCGGATACATGAGTACCACCACAGAGATGGATGACGCTGAGAGAAAAGAGAGGGATGAACGAGTTTTTACGTCTTTAGTTGAAGTTGGACCTTCAGTTCGTAGGATCCTATCGTATGCGTGTTCTGCGTGCTCACGCTACATGTTGGTCAGGTCCTTTCTGGTATCACCTTCACCAAATTAATCGGCATCTCTGTATTGGCGTTTACAAGATCTAAATTACTTGAAGTAAGTTAGGTTGCACGTCCACCAAGTCCAGCTAACTGAGTTTTTCGGCAGACATATTTTTTCAGAATGTGGCTCTCTCTTATTCTCCTGGGTGCTGTACACGGACTGGTTCTTCTTCCCGTCTTGCGTGCGTATTTACTTATTTTTCTACATCGGGTTTATGACTCGTCTCCTTTCTACAGTATCATTTGCCGGTGGCCCAGGTTATGCCTTAGAGGATGCTGACGAGGAGTGGATGTCGAACGCAGTTAGGAGACCCGATTATGAATACACGTAAGTTTTCAACAATTTTGTTTCCCCCGTGAACCGTCAGTGACTGGCGATTTCAGTCCGTTTTCTGCAGATGATGAGTCCACCTTGAGTGACTTGTGAGTGCGATGTCATTCGGGCCACGCTGTCGCAAGCCGCTTCCTCTAGGAACCACGTCGCCCACCCTCTATTGTGGCTCCTCGCTCTCCATAACATCATGAGGTCTTGTGATTTATGGCTATCTTCATGATCGTTGAGGACTCGATGTGAATGATGTTGTCTCGCATATTTGGTCAGTTTAAAGAGATGCCAGTCAATCTCTTAACGCTTCGGCTCTGTTTCCCCAAATGCATTTTTACTATTTCATATCGGAGCATTTGCCGCGCTGGCCAGCTCATGAGTTGTTTACGAAGACGTAATTGAATGCATACATCAAGAACAAATAGAATAGGTTTGAAAAGTTTTGGCCCCAAGCGAGGGTCGGGACTCAGGTGCTTATCGACGGCCACCGTTACTACTAATTGACATATTTGGGCTACGCGATCGACTCTTACTTCGAGTTATACTCCGTGAAGGAGAACGCGACATCGAACGTGACCGTGAACGGGACATAGATCTAGAATGACTAGGAGTGCGGCTTCTGCTCCGGCTGCGACTGCGGGAGTAAGAGTAACTTCGGCGCGAAGGCGACCTAGATCGTGGTGAGCGAGAGCGAGAAAATGAGCGTCTTCGGGAATATGACCGAGAACGAGAACGAGAAAAAGAACGGGAACGAGAGAGAGAACGAGGAGTATAAGATCGTCTACGTCCGCCTCTCTCGTAACTCGGAGAACGTCTTCGTGGGTATGTCCGACGGGGTAGAGGGCTCCGAGAGCGGGAGGAGCGACGATAGCCTCCACCACGACGATCGCCGTAAGCGCGGGGCGCCATGCCGCCTCGCGGACGACCTCTGTATGATTCAGTAGTGCGATATCCATATCCTCGTCGAGGAGGCGAATGTGAGCGAGAACGAGAGCGAGAGCGAGAATAAGACCTCGCACTGCGGCGAACGTTTCTTGGTGAGAATGATCTTCTCGGCCTTCTGCGGATTGGTGATCTGGACCTAGAAGGTGAGCGAGATGGTGGAAGAGGGAGATCAGAGAGCTGGACTTCTACGGTAGCGCCATCGATCTGGCCACCATCCATATGTGAAGCAGCCTTCTCCGCCGCGGCGGACTCGACGAATTCAAGGGCAGCTTTGCCCCGGTTTTGACCCGCTGAGCATTAAACACATCAATAAGATGGTATAAAAACAACAGCAACAGGCAAAAACCCACTTTTTTTGTATGTAGGTAAATCGACTTTGCGTATGTCACCGTAGAATCCAAATATGCTTTTCAGATGCGTCGCCAACACATTCTTCGTCAGGTTGGAGACAACGACTACCCTGGACCCAAATTTCCCCCTAGGTTCTGGTGAATGCGATGCATTGCGCATTTCAACATCAGAACTGCTGCGGCCACGAGGCGAAGGTGACCTCCCTCGCGTCGACATCCTGATGAACAAAATGTCAACCCAAGTGAAATTCTGTGAGGCAACTTCCGGGGCACGTGTGTGCTGTTTCACTAACATATATTAATATTAATGCCGCGCCAACGTCCCGCAGCTTCCACCAAACAATGGGAGTCAGGATTTATAGGATGTACCCTTTCATGGACACTTCACCATCACTGATTCTAGCTCTACTCCTTGTATTTACTCTGATGTCTGTCGTGACACCAGTGGCGATGCTTTGTTTATGTCTGGCAATTGCCGCTAATCATGATGATGGCATGGCATACCCTGGTGGTTTATCGCCACTTAAGAGTCATACATAAAGTGGCGGGAACACCCCAAACACGCCCTTTCTGCTCCAAATACACACTCGGACGGCTCATAGAGCCGTGCTTTATCCATAGACGCAGTGCATCTGAGATCGATTGCGTCCACACGCTAACTTTGCTATCGATCAGCCAAGCTCGTGGGCACAGTTGATTTCTGTGCATTTTATCCCCACGTTCTCGGCGTAATCCCCGCAATTGGGCTCCCTATGCACAATAGACCATCTCCGACGCACCGTAGCACGCGGTGTCGCGTAGGCATTGTCTCTATAGAGGCTGGTATCTTGCCTAGGAATCGTACCAAAACATCAACCGACTTCGTCCCTTTAGAGAAGCTATTCAATGCACTCTTGTGTAGCCCACTTTCGGTCCAGCTCGATGGCTTGTTCTCAGCAAGACCTGATGCCGCTGAGCTATGCTACTATCTTCGCTCGCTCAAACCTCAAGAGATGCGCGCATGAGAGCACCGTACATTGGTTCTTTGACTGTGTCACTGGCGGATTCTAGAGCGTTCCATGGGCGTGCCGAGCACCGACCTTTGTTTGTGCAATTCGGCAACACCCGCAGAGATGACTCACACAAACGAAAACTCCGTGCAACGCCACCGCACCTCCACAACACCTTCCCGGCGGCCAAACTCGTCCATGAACAGACCGCAGATTTTTGCGTTAAGTCTAGCAACCTGGGTACTCAATTCACATTGAAACTAGCACGCGGAACCTGCCGCTGCATCGGTTGGTCCCGATGGTGTCAGACTTTCATCGCAAACGATATTCACGTTGCAGCCAATGAACATTGTTTATCTGATGTATAAGGGTTGAGGGTTTTGCAGCCTTTGTACTCCCAAATCTCCCCCCTTCGTCGAAAGCGAGAACATCTTAAGGATCGCCCAGGACCCCTCCTCAGCCCCCCACCAGCAGAATTCTAACCCCTCTCCGATCAAGTCCGAGGCTTTCCACCCCTATCTTACACCATCTATTTACACGCAGGCCGTGTGGCAAAATCCGTCTGCATAAATCGATGTCCACAGACAGCCACAGTGTTACACAGAATGTCATTCTTCGCAACGGCTTGCGCCCGGGTGCCCCTTACACCCCTTATCTAGACGATCCTTGGGCTGATCCCCCTATAAGTTTTCCGCTCTATGGGAAACCTGCTACCTTCATCGAACAGAAAACTGAGCTTCGTGCGCATTTTCAAGTATTGATACATCCCCACCAGTTCTGACACATTTTCGGGCTCAATTCAGCGAGTGGCCGTGCTGCAGCAGCTTTGGCTGAAGCGACTGGTACTTCCCTTCCTCCGGGCTTCAATGCAGCTGGTCCGGGAACGCACCAGCCATCGTTCCCATCTCCGCCAGCGACAACGGACGCGTTTGTTACGTCACGTGCATCCTCCACCCAGGGCCAAGATGGACCGTTCAACCCAAAGATGCCACCTGGATGGCGTCCGAGCCCTGATTCGTATTATCCGAAGAGCGCTTGGGGCCGCAATCCCCAACCAAGGGATCCCCAAAAGCCAGAAAAATCAGATGGACCTTTGATCGAAGGTGTCAACTCAGGAGATCTAAACTCACTGTTTGAACCCCCTACATCTCAAGACAAACCTCCTTATCCTTATACTACGATTTTGCGATTTGCTATTCTCGGCAGCCCTCGCAAGAAACTCACATTAGGAGAAATATACGAGACCATGGAGAACCGGTTCCCTTGGTTCAAGAATAATACTGATAAGGGTTGGAGAGTGAGTACCCGCTGTCTGCCACAAATCTTTGCAGGAAAGGTCATTGATTCCATACGGCTGGGCTAAGAACTCTGTTCGCCACACGCTTTCACTCGGCAAATGCTTCGTCAAGGTCAACCGACCGGTCACGGAGCCTGGAAAAGGCGCGTATTGGTCATTTGACCCCAGCCAGGGCGAAGGCAAAGTTCGACCTCGCAATCGAACAAAGAAAGGAAAGAAGGCAGTTGTGGAACAGAACGAGGAAGATGAAAGCATGGATGTTGAAGAAGAAGAAGAGTCCGAGACGGCTTCAATGCAGGCCGCCCCCGAGTCCACCGACGGAACAATGACCACGGTGCCTTCTGCGCTTCAAGGCACCCCGCCTAATGCTACTCTCTCCCCGATATCCGTTCCAGGGTCGGGTCAGCCACCGACTCCATCCATGGATGGTGAAGCAAGTCTTATTGCCAGGGGTCTCGACGACCTTATCGAGATTCGCAAAGCGGCGGCCGCTGCAAAGAGGAGGGCTGAAGATTCGATGGAAGGCTCTTCTCAGCACAGTACCAGAGAATCTCCTGGAGCATCCGCTTCAACACCCTTTGCGAGATCACCTGTTTTGGTCTCTGCTTCCGCCTCGACGTCAGCCAACATCCCAATCTCCCATTTCGCGCGCCTTGGTGGCGCTACGGCGTTTCAACACGGAGCAATGACTTCACTTCACACGTCCAGCGTCCGTGGTGGTACCCCCAGTGACGGAACCTCGCGTGACTCCCCCACGCCCTCTGATACCACAATGTCAGATGGGCCAGGGAAATCCAGGCCTGCTCCTTTGAATCGCCAGAGCCGCTACGTGCCCTATGAATATCCTGGTCCTCCACCGGCTGGAGGCAGGTGATTTGTTGAGATTTGTCGAGATTTCATTGTTGCGCAGTTACTTTATGCATGCATTATCTCAGGGCATCTGTCGTACTTGCTTATAATTTGGTCCACTTTATTTACAACTACTGTCCGTTTCAGTTTATTGTATCTCTTATGGACGGCTCGCGTCGGTTCGTTTACAACGCCTTTCCAAGCCCATATCACTCCCAGTATCTCTCGCGGGATATTTTTTTGGCTTACAATGTCCGTGAAGGATACTTCCATTGCTTTGAATCCAAATTTGGATCCAGTCTATTGAATCCGAAGATTTGTATTTGGGTGTTTTTGGAACAAACACCCGACCACGACAACAGAGCAAAACTTAGGGAAACAAACCGAGGAGGCGCTTAAATCTATTCCTGGCTCAGGCGAAACTATCCTGGCCCCTATGATTTCTAGAAGAAGTTCCAGGACGCCCAAGAAGAGCGCCAAGGTTGCAGCACAGCTGGAGCCTGAGAGCGAAGACGATTCACCCTCTCCCATCCAGCCCTCCTCATCCAGCAAGGCGAAAGGGAAGAAGGCGGCACCGGCCCCGTCGAAAGGGAAACAGTCACTGCCGAAGAGAACTTCTGGTGGAACTGCTGTTGTCCATAACAGTTACAACGATGAAAGAGATAGTGGATCACAGAATGGCAATGATTCTTTCGAGGCACCTAACGATCCTTCGGCAGAATTAGGACTTGCTGCTCTGCGTGATAGTCCTGAGGGCATGAAACCTTTTTATCCATATTCAACACTAATCAGGTATCTGCTAGTTCTACACGCGACTGATCCCTGTTTACCCCATCACTTCAGATATGCTATTAAAGGATCGCCTGAGCGCAAGATGCTTCTGGAGGATATCTATGCAGCGATCGGTATCCGTTTATGCTGCTCAATGCTACTTCCATGGATTTAAACCTCTTTCGCAGAGGAACGCTTTCCTTGGTTCAAGACTGCCCCAACAGGGTGGAAGGTACGCTGCCCCATTAGTTCATGGGCTTATTTCCCAATTGATGCCTTTCCCTTACTAATGACGTAGAACTCCATCCGCCACAACCTATCCCTCAATCCCTCTTTCCAGAAAGTTCCGCGGCCTCTAACAGACAGAGGGAAAGGTGCTTACTGGACTGTCAATGACAACGTTGATCCTCGCTCTGGATCACATCGTTCCCGCAAGAAAAGGGCACGCGAGTCGCCCCTTGACGGTCCGAGGGTTCCCTTCGAGTGTCCTGAAGTGTCGCAATGCTAACATGACAATCACATAGGAACAGTCCCATTCCCAGAAGGCGCAAGCAATATTCCCTATGGTCGCGTAGTGTACCCGTCCTTCACGTGAGTCCCTTGATTATCCGTCGCTCTACTGCCCTCTGAAGTATGAATGGCGCGTAGTTTCGATCCAAATGCTCAGATTCAGATACGTTTCCCAACCACAGGGGAGAATATCGAGCTTGCTTTGTGCCCGGAAGTGGATGAAGAAGGGAGCCCTAATTGGCGGTCGATATGGCTGAATGAGCTGATCAAGTTGCAGCACGCAACCGCTGAAGCAGAGCGCAATGGTCAGGACGCTGATTGGTATAGGTTAGTGATTGATCATGTGTATAGGGTTTCTTTACCGGAGTGATTGGTTCTAGGGCAATGATCGAACGATTGCGAGTTGCCTTTGCCCCTCAGATAGATGACGAGGAAGATGAGGAGCAAGTTCGTCAAGCGATGCAAGCAGATGAGAAAGGCAGTGATGCAGATGGTGATGGGGAACGAGAACCAGAATGACCTCCAGGGACGGTATTTGCTTTGCTCACTCCTATGTCTCTTTGTACCTCGCACACCTACATTATTCCCAGATTAGTGTAATTCTTGACGAATACTGTATCAACTCTGATTAAATAGCAACCTCCAACAATAGTGGGATTATCTACAGCTCGGCAAGTAGCATTGTTCCCAGTGTCTGGACCACTTGGTCACCCATCGCTTTCTCTACAGCCTCCTCCAAGTGTCGTTTTGGATCTTGCTTACCCACATGGCGGGTTTTCAGCTGTTCTGGTGTTAAAGTGGCTTCTTCCTCGACAGACTTGTGGTACGCTTCAGACAGAGTCAGCATGTTCTAGGGAATTGGGAGGTTGAGTGACTAGCGATGAAATGTGGTGAGGCAGTCGTACTTTAATCGCCTTCCCATTAGTGTCTTTGTGCATGTTGAAATCATTCAACTTCAGCCCCTCCGTCCAATTTCGCTTATGTAGGTTCATAAGCATAGCTTGCTCAAGCTCCGTCTTGCGATATGTGACTGCAATGGAGTAGTAGTGCCTATTTAGCCCGTGAATGAGGGCCTGAATGCTAGGTTTGTTGATGTGACCGATATTTGAAGTTGTTTGCCGAGGCTCCTGCCCGAGAACAACTGAGTGAGGATTGATGAGGCGGAAGGCGTCAATCACGACCTTCCCTTTCACTGATTGGATGGGATCAATGACGACGGCAACTGAACGGGATTGGAGAGACTCGAAGGACTAACACGTGCTGAGTACTTGACAGATATACAACTAGGGCGAGCAACATACTTGTTGAGTGTTGATGTCGACACTCGACAGCCAACACCCGAAACCTGGATGGGAATGGTACCACCCAACGACCATTTCTGGACTAAGATATCCCGTGGGACTGAATCAATCCCAAGTAAACGATGTGGCAAAGAGCAACCCGAACATACCGTCCTGTCTGCTTCAACATCTCCACCATATTCATCTGGAAGACGTGATCCACCGACTCGACAGTTACAGTCGTTCCTGACTGAGGCATCGCAAAAACGTCCACAACATGAGTGGTCCATTCGTCAATGTATTCTCCAAGCATAAGTCCCATAACCTCCATGGGTACTCCAGCACGACCGTGCTTCAACATCTGGATGTATGACAACGCTTAAAAATCTACATACTCCAAGGGACGCCTAGATAAATACCTTTAGAAGTGCCAGGGACGATATTGAAATCACTTCTCCACTAGGAAATGACGATCCGGGTTAGGTAGGGAATTCTCGATGGGTAAGGCTAGCGACAAACTTATCGGGTTTTGGTGCATCCGTCTGAGCTCCGGGTCCTATACAAAGGTGAGCAGAGGATGTAATTGGTCATGCGAACAATTTACCAGCACCTTGCAGTCTGGTGGCCTGTGCCTGCACTAATCTTTCTAAGTTGCTGCTCATCGTGCGCTGTCGATGTCGCTGACGCGTTCGAGATCTTGTGTGGCTGTACGACGGAAGTCTCCGTCGAGACTTCAACGTAGCCAAATCATGTCCTTGGACAGGCGAATACACTTTTTCTTATGTCTTACATTCTGGATATCACTCGTCCTGGGGCATATGATTGATGTGAAGGCGGCGCAGAAAGAATGCTTCTTTGAGGATCTTCACGTGAATGACAAAGTGCGTTACTCCATTTCAGCCTGAACTTTTGTCGTGGACACTCACTCAATGGCAAAAGATGACTGTCACATATCAAGTCGGTGCAGGAGGACATCTGGACATTGACTTCTGGGTTCGCTCATGAATAAAGTTTCGCCACTACTCAGCACACTCACAGATGAGGCCAGTTAGGTGACCCGCTCGACGTCGCTATACAGAAAGACTTCAAGTCATCGACAGGAACAGTATCTATCACTGCGGAAACTGATGGAAGATATACATACTGCTTCTCAAATGAGATGAGTACGCTTCAAGACAAAGTTGTCAGGTGCGCGCCAGCTGTATTTTTGCCTGATGTATGCCAATGGGTTGACCTCCTTTAGTTTTAACGTACATGGTGTCATCTATGTTCCGGACGATGGTGGGTTTCATGAATAAGTGCCTATATCAACGGTAATCCCTTCGTGGATCCAGGGACGATTGCGCCAATCGAGCGAGAAGTCCGAGACCTTGCCGTGGGGCTTCAAGCAGTTAAGGATGAACAGGAATACATTGTCATCCGGGAACGACGGCACCGCGATACAGCTGAATCAACGAATGCGCGCGTAGTGTGGTGGAGCATATTCCAGGCTGTCATTTTGGTAAGGCCTTAGCTCAATCTCAATACAACAGACGTTGATGGTGTTGCTACTTTCAACCATGTGAAGTTTTGCGTCTGCGGGTGGCAAATTTACTATTTACAGGTGAGTTAACTCAAGTAGATTAAAACTCGATTGTCAACGTCTGACGTCGCATCAGTCCTTCTTTGAAGTAAAACGCAATTACTAGTCGCATCGTAATATTATTCACTGGTCATGATATCGATGCGGTATATATATTGGGGAGGATGCCTAAATCACTGGATGTCGGTTTACACGAGAAACAATGATGCTCGTACAATACGGTGTTATTTAGTTATCCGTGGTTTCCTGCGTGATCGAAGGGGGGCAGTGCACGCTCACTCGTCCTGTGTCTCCGCTTGCGGAGGCTCGCTTGAGTCCGTGACGACTCCGTTCGTAGGATCACTGGCTTCAGTGGTCTCAGCACCGAGCTCTGGTTTCGCCCCTTCGGTTGTATGTGTCCCCAACTCCTCTCTCTGAGTTTCTGTTGATGGGGGCTCCTGCTTCCCGTGAGACTCCTCCTTTGCCTCCTCAGTCGTTGACTCCTCCGTGGATGGCGCTGCTGCCCCAACCGCAGTCGATTGGCCACCCTTTGCAGCAATCTCAATATTCGTTTTTTGCCCTTCCTCGAAAGCTGCTTTGAATTGATTGGCGTCTGGTATTCCAAAAAAATGAGACATGGGTGATAGTACGCAAAACAAGCAGCCCTCACTGTCGGAGTTCGCGAAACGTATGGCGAGAGTTTCAGCTTGTGCGCTTCCTTCCGATACATCCGCGGCAACCTTCCACACCCAGCTGCGATCGGAGCCGATATTGGGTTGAAGACGCATGTCACTTGTGACTGTATGAAGAAAATATACCGTCAAAAGGCGTCACCATGGAGATTCAAATCAGACTAATGCCTACTGTAATGGTTTGCGCAAACCTTCAGGGTCTTATCACGTCGCATCACAAGTCGGACTTTCTTGGTTTCCTTGTGCGACAGGATACGAACGTCTCCAGTTCCCCGTTCCTTCCATTCATTGTTCGTTGAATCGAATCGGAAGAGTTTAGCACGCCTATAGACCAAACATCGACCCAGATCGGAATGTCAGATTCGCACAGATCACCATCAATCACGTAAGGGTGCGTGAGACAGTGGACGCGAATACAAACGCGGTACACGCACATTTTGAAAGCAACATCTTCATCTTCCTCTAGCGTCTTTGTCTCGATCACATCTTTATCCGTCAGTTGGTGGACGGGGGTGTATTGCGGGTCCTGATCCTCCTGTGAAAGCCATCAGGGAAGGGGTATGCCAAAAATCATGCTTGACGGATCAGAATATTGCTTCTGCACACTGACCTGTTCGGCCATCTCAAATGAAGATTATATGGCGAAAAAGGTGTCTCTGAGATTTGGAGAAGAAGCGAAAGAGTCAATAGGGCTTTGACAGAGGGGTGTTGCCGAATGGTCCACACGTGACTGAACCGAGTCGAATATGCCCCGCTCGAGGTCGCGTTCCCCAAGGAAGCATGAGGAACGGTCCGAAAGGATTGAGAAGGGTAGAGAGCGGGATGGATATCGTTCTTCGAGGCAGAGGTCGAAGTCTCCAGATTATCGGGAGTCAAGAAAGAGGCGGCGAGAAGATGACCACTCCAAAAGAAGGTCTCGAAGCCGTAGCAGCAGTGGTGAACGTGAAAGGCGGTATGAATAATCCTACTTACTTTTAACATTCGGTGTTGATTAGTCACTCGTAGCCGGAGGCGCGAAAAGGAAGCTCGCAAAGCCGAAAAACGGCGTTTACGAGATGAGGAAGAGGCACGGCAGATTGCAGAACTCAGCGTTTACAGTGCTACAGACAATCCTTTCCATGATGTAAATCTTGGACAACAGTTCAAATGGCACAAAAAGGCCGAGAAAGAACGGAAAGCAGGATTGTCTGCTGCAGAGGCACAGAGACGTGATGAAATTAGGCGAATGGAAGCTAAGGTATGCAATCAGAGCAATTCCCTGGATCTAGTGTCTTACATAGCCCCTCAGGAAGAACTTGAGCGCCTAAATAAGCGTAGAGCAGAGCGAGAAGTAGAAATGCGACTCCGGGAAGAAGAAGAAGCGAGAATGGCCCGTTTAGCTGAGTCTACCCAGATGGCGGAATGGATTGCAAAGGACGGTGATTTCCAACTGGATCAGGAACGTCGACGTGCGGGGATCCGGTTGAAAGAACGACGCGCAAAAGCCATCGATTTCCTTGTTCTTAATCTGAAGTTTGCTGATCCGCAAGTTAATAATGATCGTGATGACGGCCTTGGTTTGGATGAAATTGGTCTGGAGATAGATTTTGACGAGCCATATGCCATTTTTGAGGCAAGTTTACTGAGCGTTGCTTTACCAACTCTCTGATGCCCATATTCAGAACTTGGACTTGGCGCAAACTCGAGAGCTTCATGACGATATCCAAAAGTATCTGACCCTTGAGTTATCCGAACTCAACATCGACTTTTGGACGGTATGTACCTCCAGCCGTTTGCTGAGCACTCGCTCAAGCCACTAAACATAGAATATGATGGTCGTCTGCAAGCACTACCTCGAGAAGCTCACCGAGCGCTCCGCAACCGAGGCTGCGGCTACTGGCGCAAACGCGAATGCAGCAGTTGACGATGAAATAACGAAATTGTTATCTGGGAAATCTTATGAGCAATTGGTTCTTTTACAGCGCCAAATCCAAAATAAGCTTGCCAGTGGCGGTCCAGTAGACGTGGATTACTGGGAGGGCCTTTTAAAGAGTCTGTTGGTATGGAAGGCAAAGGTAACCAGTTTGACTTCTAAAAATGCCACGGTCGTATTGACACTTTCATTTTTATAGTCCAAGCTGAAATCACTGCATGAAGTTGTCGTCCAGAATCGTCTCGAACAACTGCGGAAGCGTCAGCGAGATGAAGCAATTCAAGCACAGCAAGAACTGCTAGCGGGGGTGACGGCCCCGCCAAAATCTCTCCGGGGGCGCGGACATACTTCCGTTGAAGTCTCCCGAGTGCCCGTTGAAGACATTAACGTGTCGAACGAGGATGTGACAATTGAACCATATTATCCTGAAATGAGTCCAGAGCCTGTCGATTTAGCTCTCGTACCCCCCGAACTCCGAGAAGTCGACGTGATCGACAGTCTGACGGATCTTTCAAACTTGGTGCGTCCCACTATCGCCAGCATAGGCCCTAGCTAATAACACTGTGGTCCAGTTTTCCCAGCGCCGAACCATCACTTCGTCCCGCTTTGTTCCACGTCCTCGGGGCCCGGCTACTACAGAAGCTGAAGACACGCCTGCCCCGAGCGGAGATGACCTTGATGCGGAAGCCATGTATAATGCCGAGGCTGATAAAGAGTTGGACGAAGACGAAGAGTTGTTTAATTTGCAGGAACTAATCGAGACCCCTACCACCTACTCGTGGGAAGATAAGTATCGGCCACGGAAACCTCGATACTTTAACCGTGTCCATACTGGATATGAATGGAACAAGTATAATCAAACACATTACGAGTACGTCTACTATTCTTTTCTCGAGGTGCTGGCTCACGCTCTTTGCAGTACCGACAATCCCCCACCGAAAGTTGTTCAGGGCTATAAGGTTCGCCCTGCGATTCGTTTACCTCCTCAAAGTGAACATTCTGATGTTTCCCTCAATAAGTTTAATGTTTTCTATCCTGATTTGATAAACAAACAACAAGCACCCTCATATCAAATCATCAAGGAACCCGGAAATGAAGATACCGTCCTACTTCGGTTCACTGCCGGGCCACCCTATGAGGACATTGCATTCCGGATTGTGAATCGAGAGTGGGAGTTTTCTCATAAACGGTGATTGCCTCAGATCGTCGGTGGCTCGTGGCTCACGCTCAACGTTTGCTTTCAGTGGCTTCCGCAGTAGTTTTGATCGAGGTTGCCTTTCACTGTGGTTCAACTTCCGTCGCAACGTGAGCCATGTTCTCGAAATGGATGATCAATTCACTGACAACGCTTCCAGTTTTATCGCAAATAATTGTATTGCCAGTGTACCGAGCATCGCAATTTCGCTGTAGTTTTGTATTTAGCAGGTTTGGAATTTAAACATCATACATCTCCAGTCCTCTGAAATTGGTAAAAGTGTACAGTACATCTACACTCCCCAGCAAGTTTTCGAATCCTTACTCGAGGTCAATGACAATGAATGGCACCTGTGCTGAATATCAGCAAGGGATGATCTGGTTCGCAACATATAAGTCTACGCCTACCTCGACATCTTCATCATTCTCGTCGCTGACCATAACTTCGACCACCACCTTTTTTTGGTGTGGCGGGACTGGCTTTTTGCTGACACTCTCGATAAGCTCCTTAAATCGCAACAACAAGCGTTCCTGGCTCTGAATAGAACCGCTGAGACAATGGACATACTTCCGCAAGGCAATAGAATCCTCTAACCTTCTTCGGTAGAATGAAACCGGACCAAAGCATCGATACTCCAGACGACACCATACCCACTTCAAGATTATGATGCTTCTTGAACCAGTCAATGACGTCCTGTAGTCTTGGATTGCCGCGGAACTCAAATCTGTCCCAAAGCGTCCATTCAGTCTCGGCATACTGGGTACACAATATCATCAGTTTAACTCAGCACCCTGCGCAAATCGCCAAACCTTCTTCTTTGGCGCCGCAATGGGTTCTGAAAACCCAAAGAATGGAAGCGCTAGGTTGATGAAGCCATTCTTGTAATCGTCTATACTCTTCTTGCCATCGATCACTTTATACAGCTCCAAACACACCAGCCCAGTGACCAGTGATGTCGTGGTTGCAATTGCAGGAATGATTTTCCCTGCAATTTGCTTGGCCTGGTGCCTTGTAGCAGGCTCGATGTTGTAGTTCAAAGCCCGCAGGTTGGCAGCAGCAGTGATGAAGTCGATGTGGTGATTTGCATCATCGTCCTTCTCGAATTCCACTGGATTCAGCCGATAACCCACAAGGGTAGAAGGTAAAGGAAGTGAGGCAGCAATAGTGGCTGCATCATCCTCGCCTTGATCTGACCTCAGTATAGAAAGATCCCTTGCGTGTGAATGCGCTTACTCTGGTTCTCTGGAACAGCCTCATTCTCGTTTACCTGAATTTTGACACCTGCCTTGGGCGTAAAGGGAGAGACCTTGACAGCTGCGGATAATTTTTTGAAGGTAGCCAGATCGTCGTGTCCTTTGAGCCCATAGTTATAAGCATGCAGGTTAGCAGCTGAAATTATGTATGCAAGGTGGATGCTCTGTGCATTGATAGATTCAGACCTTATTCGCTTATCCGAAAGGGAGCCTTACATTTTCGGGGTCGAACTTCAATGGGGATGGTGCACGCTTCGGACCGGACCAGAAGGGTTGTCCTGTCGACGTAACCTGCCATAATACGTATTGTTGGGGATAAGTTCAAGCGATCAAAGACTTACTGCATCGACGGGAAGATTGTATAACAACTGCTGAATCTCGTTGTTGTAGAAGTGCTCGAATTTGAGACGAGCCCAGGTGATACATTCATCGAATGTCAGAGGCTTATGGCCAACCAGATAATCCCTGATCTGAGCGAGCTGCTCTATCTGTGATCCGCTGTGCCTCAGCGTTGTCTCCATGTAATCGGGCTCCGACAAATAAGAGTTGGCACTTTGGACAGGTTTCACAAACAGGTCATTGAACACTTCCCGACTCCACTGATGAAAAGAATCAGGGCTGATAGTAACACAAAGATTGAATGTGCCACGAACCTCGATACAATGCTGGATAACGTTAGGGAAGCTCTTTAAGGTGCATGATGGTGTTTGCTTCTCTGGCGGGTCCTGAGAGGATCCGTACGATTCCGTAAGGTGGGGCACCACCACCTGAGTATTACCTTTCGTTCCCAGGGTGCCAGACTCCAGGAGAGGTTTAGAGAAGAAAACGCAACGCTGATCCATGTACAACCCTAAGACGCATGAGTCATTCTGAACAGGTCGCCGAATCATGCCACATACGAGCTTTGACATTGTCGAGTGCATTCGTGACACCGTCAATTCCGGAGAAGAATTGTTCGCCATAGATGTCTATTCCGGAATCAAACTTAACGACACGTAATACTTCGTTGTGTGATCACTCACTCTCAGTTGCAGGTCCAACCTCCTCTTGGTATGCACGAACGTGCCCTGCCAAGTCTGGATTCATATCCGTCACTGCCACGGCTGCCGATTCTGACTTGAATTTTCCCAGATCTTTAGCACGGAAGAGGAATTGGCGGTTGAGGTTGCTCTTTTCAATGGTATCGAGGTCGGTGACGTGTATGACACCCCTTGGACCCACACCCACACCCATCATAGACCAGTTCTTGAGCATTTCACAACCAATAGCACCCGAACCAACTAGGAATTGGCGATGGTTCCCGATCTTCTCCTGGAAACGCCTCCCAAAGACTGCAATCTGACGGTCATACCTCGATCCAATGGGTCTGACGTCCGCCTCAGTTGGTTTGGGGTCTGGGAGAGATTCCAATGAGTCAAAATACAAGTGCTGCACCATGGGGTGAAACTTGGCGCTGCACGCTTTGAGCACTTCCTGAGCAACAAATCCACCAACGACGGCGATTACTGGAGAGAGTTCTCCCCGAGCTTGGAAGGAAAACTCCTCAAGCACCTCCTTGTTGAGCTCTTCGTTACCAACGAATGTCTTGGCGAGGGAAATAAGCTCTGTCGCATCCTTCGTATCCCGTGGTGCGGGTTTACGCCGATGCTTCTGTTCGAACGCTGAAAGTGCCTGGAACCCTGCATGCATCGAGGAGGGGCGATCGAACTTTCCGAAATCAGTTATGAAAAATTCTGGTGCTTTCAATGACTCGCGCAAAGATTTCTAGAGTTAAGAATGAGCCTCATCATCAAGAGAAGGGACATTCGCACAAACAAAGTCTAAGATCTTGGGAATTTTGACTTGAGTGAAGATCCCGCCAGCTTTATACTCGCTGAAACTCGAGGTCTCCCCAATAGTAAATGTATAGGGCCCTTTCACGCTGACTTTCCTGGGTTTACAGGCATTTAGTTCAGTCATTCCTTTGACTTCGCTAAAGGTGACGAAGTCCCCATCTTCGAGGCCATGGCGGGTTTCATCGAGGCATGTGACTAGAGCTTCTTTTCCCTGCACAGTCATAAGATGAAGACACCATTGTTGAGGGCTTGGTAGGTCACCTTCTCAATGGAGACAATCATTCCTGACAAGGGTTGTTCTCCAGTGGGATCTACACAAGTAAACTTCGCTCCAAAATCATTGAAGACCGATCTTCAAGATCCAAAATTGGTCAGTGAATGATGAGAGCAGTTGAAACCTATTTATCTCACGCAAAGAGGCCATGAGTGGAGGCAGCGATGAAATAGATCCCATTTCCATGCGTGTAGTCATTGATATCCAACTGGAGTTGCAACGGCGAGTCGGAAAGCACTACAACCTAAAATAATCAAATCAGCATGCTTTACGCTCAACGTAGCTTATAAGGCTACCTGGTAATTCTTTACAATGTCCTTCGAAATGGGCTGACCAGATACACCCCCAACGTTACGGACGGGAACGTAAGAATTGAGCTCCGCTAACCGAGGTGCTGCAGCATCGGCTCTCGATTTTCCAATATCCGAAGATCTCAGGAAGAACTGACACAGAGGATCCAATTTCAACGACAGTCCAGCGATCGTGCAAAACTAAGCACCTGGGTTCCAAGATCTTCCAAAGTCACCGGTTCGGGGTCATATACAGACACGGATTTTACTCCTGCAAGAGCGATGTTCTTTGCTTCACCGTGAATATAAGTAGTCGATCGAGTAGATATTTATAAGAGCTTAATGGACGCACCAATTTCAACACCTAAACCCTTCAAACCTACAACGAGTACATTGGAGGCTGCCATACGCTTCATTGCTACCAAAAACCATTTATGGATACTTAGCGCCCAAGATCGAGGGCTTAAGAAGTCGCTTACTAACCTTCATGGCCGAGCACGTAACTAGGGGCGCAAACATTGATCAGCATGTCTCTTCACGAACATCGAAGTGCCAACACGCGTACAGCTGGCGCGAATATAGCCCTTCGTCAATTGGAGCCTCGTCGATGTCCATCCCGGATGTTGAGGCAGCCATGGTGATCGTGGAATGCGTTGGATTAGAGTCAAGTCCCGTGCGAGTTTTCCTTTTTAGGATGAGTGCCGCCTGTCCTCGTTCTCGATCTTAGCGATCCTCATATATATTTCCCTTCATGTCTTAGTCGTTTGGATTTGTTGGATATTAATGTACGCCGTGGCCTCCTCACTGTTGAAGTAGAGAGGTCCACGTACGCACACGGACATCGATCTACATCGTGAATATCCGTCATTTCCTTTCCTGTATTCTGCATTGATGGACGCAGTCATGGATGGTTTAAAAGTCACTTCGCACTTCGCACAATTCCCCCCAGTTTACATATTTGAGATAACCTTTTATCGCTTGAAACATACTTTTCAATTCTCTAACATTGTATGTATTTTCCTAGCGCTTATACGCCACCAGTTCTTCTAACATTACCATGCAACCTTCCACATGAATGCTTCTAGATCGAATGATGTTGTTACGATATAGAAGAATCACACTCGAATTCGCAGCCTTGCTCTGCATTGGAATCCAACCGGCGGAGTGGCAAACGGTCAACTCATATTTCTCCATCATCATGCCAGTGGCTGGTATTCTGCCTAATCGTAGTGGAAGGTGAATTATTACGCTGTGATCCCGCAATGAGGTACCCAATGGAGACGTATTTAATCCACCATGACGAAGTCCGAGCGGTAGTCCTTGCTTCGTTGTTGATGTTCACTGTGCCACAGGTCCATCTGACGAGATGCATGCCGAGGGGTTGCTGGGCAAACTGTAATGAGAGATGAAATGGCCGAGATATCTGCATCGTACATCAGAGGCCACCTCAATAACAACGTTTCAACGATGTTCTGCATAATCCTCTTCACTCAGAGTCAGTAGTTGACAGCGTGACCAAATGGAGGAGCGCATTGCGTTAGCAGATCGTCTGCTGCGATCGATGTGATCGTGAGTAAACGAAAGCATGCAATTACTCATGATTGAGGGGTTCATTCTGCGAATGATAAGGAAACTGCAGAGAGAAAGTAGCCAATTCCTTGTCGAGGCATTCTTGGCCACAGCGGTGTCACAGTGCTGACTAAGGACAAAACGGATCGCGATCTTGTATCGTCGCGCCTGCGCTCGTCTTAATTTTCCCACGCACCTCCGTTTGGCAAATGCATCTGCTCTTGCGCAACTGAACAGAAATGAGTTGATTTCATCTTGTGCGCATCGAAAGCAAGTGGAGGGAGATTCGTTTGGTCCTGCGATTAGTCATCGTGTTGAGTTCAGAAGAGGAGGATAAGGCCATCTCATATGCGAGTATTAATGCCGCATCCGAGGCTGAGGACCCTGGGTTGGCAATTTTTTCTGGACAGGGCCTCTTGCACGGAGATCCAGTTGGGGACCAAACATTTTTAGGGCCCGCAGAGTGGCAAGAATGCTCCCCAAGTGGCATATCTCCAATTGATGTGTTGGACGCGCCGGAATGAGGACATATAATGCACAATGGGAAAAGAGGACCATGCAGCTGGAGCACAAATGGTGTGAAGGATCATGAGGAGCTAACAAAGTATGGTCAAATAGAGGTGGGCCCGGGTTTTGGCAACAATTTGTCGAGAATGTCGCCGTGGGAAAAGTTGTCACAATCGAGTCTATCAAGTTCTCGACTCATTCACAGGCCCTACATCCTAAACCGCATTCGAACACGAGGGATTTCCCACCTTTAAATATGGATGCATTCGGGCTGAGCTTCAAGATGGGAAACCTGAATATTGCTGATGACGCTGTTGATTTGCCTGCAAGCCTGGACTCCTTATCGCTCGGTCAACTGAAAGGTTTGGCCGGGAATCAACCGAAGCCAAAGCCCCAGCAGTATGCGATGCGCTACGAAGATGAAGACAGTGTTTTTGATGAGATCGAAGAATTCTTTTCCTACATTGAAATGCGATATATCTCCGGTAATCTCAACGCCTGGCAGGCCTCGTTTAATGGAGGTATATCGCATACTGGCTTCTATATACGGATTGTTCACCTACGGGCTCATAGAATGGATCAAAACATCCGCAGCAGAGAAAAAGGCGCACATCGAAGTCCTTCTGGAGAGTTTGGAACATCGAGACAGTGAAATACGGTGGACGAATGCCCGAAAGCTTTTGTATTTGCTTCAAGGTGGGTAACGCATTTTGGTGTTTGGGCTTCTTACGTCTGAACCTCGAGTCTCAGGTGTATTCGCCGAAACTACGTCCCCCGAGCACCACCTCCACATGATCATTGAGAACTGTAAAATTGTTCGCGCTGCGAATGGTGTGCACGACATCGTGGAGGCGCTCCAAGTCGCGAACTCAAAGCATGATTTGATATCGTAAGAACGTTCCATTCATCTTACAACTAGCCAATGAAACTGATTTTGCTCAAGTTCCCTTCCAGACGCTGACTTACAGCGGCTCGGGATCACGGAAATTGAGAAACAGGAGTCATTGGATGATATTAATACAGAAGTTTCGTTTTACTGTGGCATGCTATATTTCTTGGTGCAAATCTTTAAAGGGGATGAAGAGTTCGCGGACGAGCTGAGTAAGTTGGGTGCAAATTCCACCATCCTCCCTTAACTTTGGTTGTTATAGTGAGCTTAGAAACACCACTTCCAATATCACTCTTCAATATGGTCTCGGCAATAAAGGATAAAAGTCTGAGAGGCTATCCCGTCAAAAAGGTCAAGGACGCTATCTGTGTCCAGGCATTTCATTGACATTTCTGTTAGGTTTTATTACTGTTATGGAAGACAATGCTGGCGTGCTTTGGAGGTATGCGGGAACTAGCACGCGTCAAGAAACTGGCACGCGAGTTAGCCGATTTGCCACCTGTAAATGATGAAGGTTGCATGGTTTCCCTGGACCGCCACACGTTCATTAATTTTTTATACATAGTTGCTGTTGTCAAGTCTAGTCCTATTGACTTCAAGCAATTCCGTCAAGAGACATCCGTCAAATACCCAACTTTCACGCCACATCAAAAATCAGAGGCGGTAATCGAGAGAATCGCCACAGCAATGACACCATTACCGGTACGACACCATCACCATCATGTGAGCGAAGACCCACCTGCGCCGAATGTGGGTCATTCAGGACCGCGGGAAGCGTCTGTGGTGCCGCCTCAATTACCTCCAACTCCTGCGCCCTCCCCTCCGCCGAATGCTGGGAAGCCGAAAAAGCAGCTTTACCAAACTGATCCTAACCGACCTTTTCTATTCCCATTTTCTCGCACAGCTGGCCGAGGAAATGCGAAGCTCGTTCCTTTCGCGATTGATGAAGCGGATCGTCTCTACATGGCTCATATTCATATTTCGCTCTCGCTCTTTCAGCTTTGGCAGACTCGAGAAGCGTACATCTTAGATGAAAACGGTCTTGATCCCAATTCTCCTCAAGGCGTGGCCGCTTTGGAGCTCAAAGCTACTGCAGCTTTCGGCACTTCGAAGTTCACACAGAAGAAAAATCCAGCGATCCATCCGTCCGTTGATTCCTTTGACGAATCTACTGAGAGCGCTCTATCAGATGTGCAAAAGCTTGATCGTGCAATTGTCGAAGCTCGAAAGTCAGTTGAATTGATGGAGAAGCAAGGCGATCGCACGGCAAAACGCAGAGCAAAGGAGAGGCTAGATGATCTTATCCGTCTTCGCCGGGTGGAGACTCTATACGTAATTTCTTTCGATGTCTTGACAACCCATGACGCTCACATGCCGAGTACCACCAGGTCGCTGTACTCCCTGGACTGGCCAACTGGGTTCTGGTTCTTTTACGTCTGCTACTTGCATCTGTCAGTGCTGCCGGTGGCCAGGCCAACCAGACAGCTCCCGGCGCGTCCCCAGCCTTTCCTACTCCTGTCTCAGGTGAGAATAGCGGAAGTTACTTTTCAACGTTGACGGTCTCCGATGAGCATATTAGACCCGACTGCACCTCCGCCAACCCTACACGAGATCGATATCAACCGTCATCGAGAGATTACAGCTAAAGCTGTTGCAGCTTTGCTTTTCTTGACTTTAAAATGGTTTAAAGTATCACGTACGTGCAGCCAAGTTTGACATATTGCATCTTGCTAATGGTAGCCTCCTGCAGACGTTATGAAATTCCATCATCTTGGAGCGATGCTTTTGGAGTCGAACATCTTGGTTTTAATTCTCAAGATTCTTGGATTGCAGGAGACTTCTGTTGCAGTCACCACAAAGAATGATTCCCCAGACAACAAGTAATTCTCCTTCCTCACCTCTTCAATCGATGACTCATTTCATTTTCATTAGCTTCTTTCGCTTTTGTAACTTGAAGTTTGCGAAGAACGCCCAGGAAAGACGACCAGAAGATATAATTCTTAATGCTCCACCCCGCAGCACCCCCGTAATCTCAAAGCAGACCGCACCTAAGCAGACTGACGGTGAAGACGAAATTGAATACATAACGGACTTCTCTTGGCGAAATTTCTTTTGTGCAATTACCTTTGTGCGAATTATGCAGAAAATGACGAAGGGCCGATCCCATCGCATCAACATGTTAGTGAATTACAAAAGTTCGGTATGTTCAATGACTTGTTTAAGTTTTCGACCTGCTGCTTCCCACTTTGTTTCAAAGGCAATTCTGAAACGGATGCTGAAGGTCTCGCATCCTATGCTTCAACTACACCTGTTGAAATTGATGAAGAGCCAGGTTCCACATTGCGGCAAAAAATGGAAGCAAAGTGAGATTAGATTTGCCTCTTCACAGCATTTGTCTCATAGCTGCTTTCGTAGCGAATATGAAAGTAATCACTTCCATCTATCTTAATTGCAGACCCGATCTGCGAGACGAGTGGCTCACTGGCAATGAATTAGAAGATCCCGAAGAAGCAATGGTCAGGCGATGACGTTCGTAATGATGATTCCTCATGAGATTCAATATTTCCCACCAGGCTCAGGAGCAAGCATTGCGAACCCTTATCAAGTTCTGTGAGTACACCCGCGGTGTCCCTGATGGCAGGATAAACAAGAGGTTTGTTGCAGACAATGGAAAAAGATACGGTCAAGCCGTTTCAACATCGACACATCCGACGCACCGAAGGGGATCTAGCATGTCGATGCCGAATCCTGATCCTAGTCTTGCTAATGTTGAAATTCCTCATCATCATAAGCCACTTGCATCTCCTCACATGGAAATGGATGTTTTCCCCCCATTGCGTTCGAGAGTTGCTGACTCGTCTGTTTTCACGCCATACATTCCCGAAGACATTGCTTTCGAGGAAGAGTACGAGGATTACCTTTCTGATCTTATTGGTGACGAACCTTCGCGAACGGAAGTCTTCGATCCATCGTTGACCACCTCCCGACCCCTTGACGGTCCCACCGACTTGTCTTCAGCATGGCAGCGAATCGAGGACTTTGCGGGGAATATAGCAGATGGGATTAGTGATAGTGAAAGCATCGTGTCCATTGGGGAGATCGGCGATGGAGGAAGAAATGATGTCGGATCGCTGGATTCCGAGTCCATAGATGAAAATCTGAACAATTGGGAGGTGTGTGTGGTTCCACCTATTCCATAAGCCTACGTCGTCACACTGCATTCCAGCATATGAGTCCAAAGACTTTCAAGGCCCTTCCCAAATCACCAGCAAGCGGGGGACGGAGGTCAAGTTCAGGAACCAGTCTTCGACCAGTGCTTCCGTTCGGTTTGGATGATGGAAGTGCCATCGAGGAGGACTTCGATGAACTGGATCAACCAGAATTGGGGCCAATCTCTACTGGAAGAACGGCACCATTTGCAGCAAACGAAGGGGGGAAAGGAGTAGACGAAGTTGAAGTGAGTGCCCACACTCTCCAGTGAGGATCGGTTTGCCTAAAATGATTTGTATAGTATATGTACGGGGAGTGATACAGTAGGTGGTTGGTAATTATTGCACATGCTAAAGGTCGGCTTAATATCATATCAGCCCGTTGATTAGCCCCTGATTGTTACGTCATATTTCTGCTCCTTTGATGCGCGCTATTGCAGCTGGTGACCCAGCAGAGTAATAGTCCATAGGATAGGGGCCTTCACCTCCATGCCCATCGCCATCCCATCCGTTTGTTTGTCCAATCGCAACAGATGTCTCATAGGAATTGAGTAGCGGTTTAGTGAACGCATAGCCCCAGTCGATGGATAATCGCGGACATGACGTCTGGACAAAAACAGAAATATGATCTCGAAACAACGAGAGCTTCGCCGGTGACAGCTCTGAGAGAAGCATGGGCATAAATGGTATCGGAATTTTGGATCGTGACAAACTTTGAGTGATCGACTAAATATGGTTCACTTTTATTTTGTTCAAACTGCAAGTCTGGGAATCGACTTACTTGGAGATGCCTGAGGCTACCTTGTCTGCCTAATGTCCCAAGGATGATGCCCCAGACAGGGCCATTCTTTGATGCTCCTGTTCCACCAGAACCCCCCAGCTCGAGTGATTCGATGGACGCTCGTGCCGTGTTCACTGCTTTCGACCTGATGGCAGTCATTTGGGCATGCCCATACCGTTCTCGTGTAAGCTTCTTTGAATACGGGTCGTACCGGAAAGCAGGAATTTCCGGATTAGCTATCATTATGGATTCAAGATGGAATCTGCCATCTCCGACATATCTAAGGTTGGTTAGGGCGGGATCGAACGCGACAATGTGGAGGTTGGCTCACATCAATGCGTCAACGTCTGAAAGACGAGGAGCGGTGCACCCTAGGATCTCCCCTGGACTGAGAGGTTTGGACCTAGGAACGATCGCCTCATACTTCCCACTGAAACCATGATGGAACAGTGAGTCGATGTCTGAAGCTTGTTGAGAAAATTCGGCGGCTGGCAGCATTGACGAATCACGAATAGATTCCTCCACGGAAAGGCTATCTTTCAGTTGCTGAACAGCTGCCACAAACTGTATTGTCGACACTAGCGCAAGCCGCGTTCGCAGCACGTCTGCATCTCCAATTTTTGATTCATCCTGGAAGGATGACGGTGACGCTTCAATCCTTAGTCGAGCGGCTGGGCCGATTTTAGTACCAGGCGGTAGCTTGCGCTGCTCCTCTTCGTTCGAGAGAACTTTGTTGTAAAATTCTGAACGCGATGATGGGAGGTTCAGACGGATTGTGTCCGCGAGGTGGTGCGAATCTATGCCAATTTCGACAAAGACATATAGGGTCTTGATCTTCGTTGTGTCAACTGGGACTGATAACATATTGTTGAATGATGAAAGGGTCGACGAATGCGAGCGAAGGACGTACCCAGGCAGCTGTGACCATAATGAATTAGCATATCGCACCCCAGAGCAAGTGCAGTGTAATCATCGATGCAGCATGCTCCATAGGTTACATCGCCCATAATAACCGTCAAGGCACTGGTGAATCTGAGTTCCAAATAATGATTAATCCAACAGCCTCGATGGACTTTCGAGCGAACCGTTCGATTATGTCTGATATCGTGCATGCAAACATCAGCAAGCCTTCCGGCATTTGTAATGCAACCATCGTAGACCCGTTCTTCCTTATGTGGTGAATAGTTTTGTGTATCTCGAAGGAATAATTCTGCGGCAGTTCCTGAATAGCAGCATTGAGGACAGAATCACTCAAAATGTCATCCGGTATCTGATGAGCTGCGAGTCCAGTAGTCGCTGCCTTCCCGCCTTTCGTGGTTTTTCCAACAAAGCGCTTCCGAGTCTTCGGCGGTTCATTCGAGCTCATTGCTGGACCTGTCATTGAATGCGAGCTTGTTGTTGTTGTTGTTATTGAATGCGAGCTGGCCAGAAACGGAAGCAGATCGGCGATTCCGTGACCTGATTCGACTTCAACACCGAATATGCCTACCGTTGCAGTGGACAAAGCAGATCTCTTTGAGCGCCTAGGGACAACATACAGTGGGTGAAGTAATAACTTGTCATGCTCGGCACGAGTCCAATCATATACTCGTGAAGCTACTGAAGAATTCGATCAGTTATGCTTCGATTTTGGCGTAGAGTTGGACGAAGATGTAACGTTCAAAACTGAAGACAATCATGAGCGACTGTTCCTTATACCTCTCACAGACAACCGAAGAAGTCAAGGATAACATAAAAAAAGGGCTTCCCGCTGAACGACCGGTGCGAATCTATTCAGATCGATCTTCGGCGCGTCTCAATTCTCCAATGTAGCAACTAAAAATCGAAATACCTGCAAACAGGTGGGACGCTATCTATTTATACCTGGGACCTTCATTAACCTTGTTATCAGATACGATCTTTTATGCATTGAAGGGATCGCCAGAGCTTTACGGGTCTTCCTACAGAAATCGCGCGCACCTACCTATAAGCTTGTGCCACCAGAAAACGGGGGGTTACTAACTATATATGTAAAGCCGGAGGTACTTTTCAATTGCACAATAATTTTATTCGGTTTTCATTCTGTCGATCCCCATTCACACAGACTGGGCGCGTACGACCATACTTTGCTGGGGCAATTTTGCGTGACATCAAGTTCACTCCGCGGTCATATGCATCCTTTATCGACCTTCAAGACAAGCTTCATCAGAATATCGGTCGCAGGCGACAACTGGTCGCCATTGGGACACACGATTTGGATACTCTCACACCTCCGTTCCGCTATGAAGCACGGCCCCCACAGAGTATCAAATTTGTACCTTTAAACCAGCAGCAAGAGTTTACGGCCGAAAACCTCATGAAGCACTACGAGGTTCGTGATTTACAGCTTGCTGCGGGTTACACTCAAAATCCCCCACTAAAGAACGACAAGCACCTGTCAAAATATCTTCATATCATTCGAGATTCATCTGTCTATCCAATAATATACGATAGAACCGACACTGTACTTTCGATGCCTCCAATTATCAACTCTGAACACTCGAAGATTACCCTAGGCACAAGGAACATTTTTATCGACGTGACAGCCACGGACGAAACGAAGCTGGCTATTGTCGTGAACATGGTAGCTCTCATGTTTTCCGAATATTGTGCGGAGAAATTTACGTGAGACATCCCAGTTTAGAAGCTGTGGTTTTTATTTGACATAAGACTGGGTATAGTGTAGAACCGGTCCGGATCGTGCTACCAGATGGGACAGAACGTGTCGCCCCTGACATATCCTCTAGAAAAACAGCTGCGCGTATCTCCTATATCAATGGCGTCACGGGCTTGTCCCTTCCTCCGGCTAGGATTATTAAGCTCCTCAATCAAATGACATTATCCGCTACTCAATCGGAATCCTCGCAGGACGAACTTGGTGTTGAGATACCGCCAACGCGTCCGGATATACTTCATGAATGTGACATTGTAGAGGACGCCGCCATTGCGTATGGATTTAATAACCTTACCAAGACTTTCCCATCCACAAGCACCGTTGCGCAGCCATTGGGTGTGAGCAAACTCAGTGATCTTATTCGGAACGAATGCGCACAGGCGGGTTGGGTTGAAGTATTGCCTCTGATCTTGGTAGGCTCCAATCTGCACCCCATTGTCAGTTCACTCAGAGCATTCCAACAGTGTTCGCACGATGAGAACTTCGCCTTTTTAAACCACGCAGATGATGGGAAGACGGCAGTAAAACTTGCTAATCCCAAGACCACGGAATACCAGGTCGTGCGCACGACCCTTATACCAGGCCTCCTTAAAACGATTAGGGAGAATCGTAATCACCCGCTCCCCATTCGCGTCTTTGAATCCTCTGATATAGTCGTCAAGAACCCCTCAGTCGAGCGTCAAGCCCAGAACATCCGCAAAGTAGGCGCCGTTTGGTGTAATAAGACAGCTGGTTTTGAAGTTGTTCACGGATTATTGGACCGTATAATGACAATTCTTGAAATCCCTCGGATTTTGAGCACGGATAAGACGTCTAAACATGGGTATTACATCAAGGAAGTGGACGGTTAGTTTTCGAGAAATTAGGCGTATGAGTATGAAATTAAGCACTCACCTGATGCTTGGAATGGTTTAGATGCGATGTTCTTCCCTGGCCGTGCTGCTACAGTCTGTTACAGACTTAACACCTCAACTCCCTCACCGAAGAGCAAAGTGGCAGTTTCCAAGGATGCCCTAAAGTCAGTCGTAGGTACGGGCGATTCGCAGCAAGACCTCGAAGTCGGCACCCTGGGTATTCTTCATCCCACCGTCTTGCAGAATTTCGAAATTGGGTACCCATGCTCGTCCCTCGAACTCAATCTCGAACCCTTCAAGAAGGACGTTGTTTACGTGTGGGAAGATGAAGTGAATCCCTGAGGGACCCCGAGGGGCATGTGTCTGGAAATGGGGGACGACAGTGTCGTGAGTGGGGTTTGCGACGTGTGGCCACAATGTCATCACGGTGCTGTCTAGACCTGGTAGGAGCATGCTTATCTACTCTCGACGGTTTTCACTTGCAAAGCCTGTGTGTCATATCCTTTTTGGGCTCATGATCGGTTGACGTGACATGTTTCGGCTCCGAAAAATGCCATCAAACAATAAGTAAACAAGCAACCACAAGTTTGCTCTCCTCAACGACCACACGCACCATTCGCTCTGTATATATAAATTATAGCGATGGATGCATACGTGTTTGTAACAAAACAAAGCACTCCTAAAGGCACACATGTTGTGAAAGGGAACACCGGAGTTGACGTGCACCCCGGGAAGTGTCGCACCACTCGTTTTCATCCTTATAATGCAACCTCTTGCAACGCTGCACCCACTATTTCCTCGCATGGACGTGCTGCCGCACGATCTGAGTTGGTGACGAAGCATGTCTATGACCAGCAAGGGCCTGTTCTCCCGGCCGCGTTGGCCTCGATGAATGACTCCGAACAGGCGAAAGGAGATGTCATTTCGCATGTTTTGACTCGTTCACCGATAAGCAATGGTGCCTCTGGAAGTCTGTCGGTACTCGCCACAGGTGACAGAGATTCCATACTTGTACCGCAACCCTTCAGGCGGAAGGACATTTATAATCTCAAGGATTCTGGCAATCCAATAACGCACAGTAAGGCGTATGAGAAGACTCGTAGGCTTTTATTTTTCAATTTCGCATCTCCGCGGCTAACCCCTCCCAATTCTGTGAACCAGAACATATCCACTCGGTCGCCTCCGGACACCAAAGGGGTGGTGGAAGCATGAATGCGGCCGTCAGGAATGCTATTCAGGAAAGGCTAGACGCTCAGTCTCTTGCTGATCTTCAAGATGTTCCTGGTTCCAAGGCAACAAGGAAAATTTTTGCCGGTTTGAAGGTGTATGTGAATGGATATACGAAAGGCACGACTAGAAGCGAGATTGTCAAGCTCGTTGATCTTCACGGCGGCTATAACCTGTAAGTCGCTGTCATGATTCTTACAATAATTGGATTAACTGGTATAATGGGCATAGTCGAACAGCGACCGGCGCCACCCATATTATCACGTCTATGGCTTTGAGTGGCACAAAAACTCAGAAGATACTAACTGGCATTAGTGTCAAGACAAAGCAATACGTCGTCAAACCCGAGTGGCTATTCGATTCGATAGATGCAGGAAAGAGACTCAACGAATTCAAGTACAACATCATTGACCAAAGCCAGGTTCAAAGCCAGTTGAAATGGGGGAAGGATCCCCTCCCCGGTTCTAAGGACTAAGGGGTGGTTGTTCACCGTCTATAATCATAAGTGTCAAAATAAACGTTAAAATGTATCTCCAAAGCTGAATGATATATGTATTATTGTGTACCGTCGCATTGGACACGGCTAATTGTATTGGCGTGAGTGTGTTCGTCGTGCGCGCAACCCCGTCACCCTCTGTTGTGTAGTACAAACTTTAGCAGAGGGTGATTTCGGCACTTTGGCAAACAGTAGTTGCATTAGAATCAACGTTGCATTTTGTGTTTCACGACCTTCGATTTGTTTCAGGTGGTGAGTCCATCGGTCTAACAAGGGGGATGGGAATGATAATGAAGTCACAATAAAACGCTCAAATAGTAAGTATGTCGGTACATCAAATCTTTCCCCACCTCCCCGCACACGACAGCTTCAGCGTCTCAGTTTTAAGACTGAGTTGCGGGGATGATGCTTCCCGCGAATGAATGTTGAACTGTGTCGGATTGTCCTATCTCCGGTGGGGGTTTTACATGGATTGAACATCGGCACGCATTAAGAGGTCCAGATTTAGGGTCCAGGAGTCGAATGCATCTTTCACGTCCGTGGGAGCCCATTACTGTATATCCGCCCTGACACGAAGGTGGGACTTCCGTGCAGTCGATCACGACCGCAAGAGCGCATGGCGGGAACTCTCGGTTGATTGTGATCATCTGCGGCTGTGTAGATGTTTACGTCGAAGAATGACTGAATAGGGCCATCATTCCGTCACTGCAGCACCAACAGGTTAAAGATAAATCCCACGCAGAGTTGCGAGGCTGGTACTATCTTTCCTCACAAGCTTTGTGAACCCACTTGTGGCGCACACAAGTTAAGGATACGCATCCAACTCTTGGGTTGCTTGCCTTGCCTTTCCTTCTGTTGCTGTTTATCCTGTTTGGCCGTTCACGCTTTGTACCCCAATAATAGTCTATCCCCAGCGTCGGGACTTTCCCTATGTTCATAACTCCAAACCATGTCAGACTGGTCTCATCTTGTTATCCTGCTTCAGCGCTGGCAGCTGGGCCGGATTTTAAACCCAACCCCCAGGAGTTATCGAGGTACTTAGTTTCCAGATATCCGCACAGGTCTTCCCTCCGCACTAACTTGCTTTAAATGACCAAGGCTTACATACTATGGGACCAATCGGCCTGGAAAACTTGTGAGTTGTGTATATCCCGTCGTGCCGTCATGGCTTATCAATGCAATGTTGCAATGTTGTCAAGACAAAACTAGGCGCTGAGCTTGAGAAAAGAGCGCAAGCACATTCTCGTCGAGCCGCAACTGGGAATTTGAAGTCAAGAGCGTATGTGTTCTTTTCAATCATCAAGCTTAAAGCTGATGGAATTGGCGTGATAGCATTCTGCTAATTACCCTTGCCATTTTGAAAGCCCTATGTGCGGAATGCCGAAATGATATATCACTTTTCTCCCGTTCCGTGCTGAACTCGGTGGATTTTGCGTTAACTGCTCTCCCGGCGGATCTAGAACTTATCTCGCGAGCAGCATCAGTTGTAAGTATCAAACTATATCGTCGTAAAGTGTTCTGAGTGATGCGCGATACAGTTCACTGCTTTCACAACATACACAGACGGCAGGGCTATAGGAGTCGATGAACCGTTGTCCAAGAGTTATTCCGTGTGCCTACTTAAATTTGCATCTACCGCTACATGGAGGGGGAAAAACACGGATTCTGAGTTTAAAAACAGGTGATATCTGCAACACTAAATGTCTGAGCCGTGCTAAACGATCGGTTTTTTTCGAAGAATGCGACTGGTTGGCCTTGCTGCGCTCTCCGGCGCGATCAGTTCGGACGCTTTGCATAGCTCGATAGAGAGTACTAAAGCTCAAGTGGCTATCATTGTTCCGGCACTCCTCCAAAACACTCAGGAAGCGGGTCTGGGACTATTAAAGGAGCAGTAAGCACATATCTTAACTTTGCACAACTAGCATTGATGTATACTATCAATCAAGGGAGGCTTCAATTGAAATTTCAAAATCATCATCATCACCGTACTTGTACGAGTTTCAGCCTCAGCGTCCGCTTCATCAGCGAAGAGCTGCTTCGATACACATTCATATCGATGGAGAAACAGGTCCTACCTTCGCTGACGTAATTTACGCTGTGTTATGGGCCGCCAAAACCTTACTCGGGCGATCTGATGGACCACAGGTTGGCTCTTTCATTCACGCATTATTTGCGAATCTCGATGCAACAAATAAGTGGAGTGACACGGAATTTTGCTGCTGGATGGCTCTTAGAGTGACTGATTGGACACAGTATCAGCACCGATACGCAGTACCCGTTCAACTTATTGCCAGGCTTGTCAACGTCGAGGATGTCAACGCCAGGGAGTCAGGACGAGGGCCCTCGTTTGGAAACGTCCTACCTAACACTCTCGTGGCAATGATTGCAACTGTGTTTTCTGCAAGAACACCGATAGCGAACTTGTCCACTTCGGATGTGCTGACTAATTTGCTTGGGGTGTTGCTCAGCAGAGTGACCAATAATGCACAAGATTCTCTACTCGCGTCACTAGTTGCGTGTATATCAGCACTTGGAACTCACCTGTACTACGCCGATCAAATACACGATCTGGCTGAAGAGCTGATCCGACGCCTCATATCACTTCAGGTGTGGTCCGGATCTACACGTCGCACAGTTCTCCGCTAAACATTGCTTTTCAGTTGGATGCAAAAATTGAAAGTGACTTTACACGGCAAGAAGGACTACGCTGCCTCATAGCTTGCTTATCCGGTCTCATAAGAATTGCGACGTCGAGGAACGAAACACACGAACCATCAGCAGTAGCCGATCCCGCCGATGATCACAGTGATGTGCAAAACGAGAGGGAAAGCCTCCCGAAGCGCGCAGGAACCGTTCACTCCGGCATTGGCAGGCGCCACAATCCAATTGCTCCAGATGTATGGCAAGACACGCTCGCTCTCTTGTGCGAAGCCAATTACGGAGTTCGTGCAGATTATACTCGAGCTCTGACGGTTTTCATTAAGTCTGAGATTCCACGCGAACGTCGACGGGACCACGTGCAGAGACTCCCTCGACCTACACCCTTGGTACTTGACACAAGCATGCCTGATGAGACTACAAGGTTCCTCCACGCTCTGCATGCCTCTGCATATGCTCTTGCTACCTCACCTTCGCTCGGTATATCGCCTTCGAGCACTGTCGCAACCGATTCGGAAAATCCATCCAAGAGTACGAGATTGGTATATTCGGAACCGCCTACGGCTACAACTGCAAGCACAACAGACACAGTGCGTGTTAATGTTATCAATTCGACGCCCGTTGGTACTCCGGTAGTTGAATCGTTTCCCGTTGAGGTCGAGCCGGCACGCAAAGCGTCACATGGCGAGGCAAAGAGGGGCTCGAGTCGATCAAGGACATCCTCATTGCCTTTGTCTCTTCTTGAGCCCATTTCCACCTCCTTCGTTGCTCCATCGACGTGTTCGGCAAATATCAGCGATTATTCTCACCTTGTCACAATCTTGTCGGCTGCCTATGATAGAACTCCATTCAAGGCATTGATGTGCGGAGTGCCCATGCTCTTCGCGCTAGATGAAGCAACATGTACTGCGATTCCAAAGGGCGATAAGCAAATGCTTGTGAGAAGACGAGCATTGCGCGAGGCTCTTGCACGGATTTGGGACGCCATTGGTTCGACACTTGATAGTCAAGAGATCAAGGATCTCGCAGCAACTGTGAGCACTCGGTTCGTTTGATTACTAGTGTTGATTGTAAGATTGACTCGGACTGCTTGGATAGGCATTATCCACCTTGCCAGCGCCATCCCTGCTCTCAATATCTGAGTCCACATATGTGCGGTTTCCGCAAGCACCGGAAGAACCTATTGTGTGTGAGAATTTGAAGGAATTGCCATCAGAAGACTGGTGTTCAGAATTGCCGAGATTGGTTGATCCTCAACTTGCCACCGCTGCACTCTCATCGAACGCTGTACTTAAGCAAACCGCCGGGGTCGAGTCACAGGTCATTTCGCGACGACTGAGCGTACAATGGAGCGTTGGGTTCGCTTTGGGTTGTGGTGAGTGGTGTATCTGCTGTTCTCCACAAATGCTCATAGATGCTCTAGCCACTCGAGACGCATCTGCGCTGGAAACGGGGTTCCGCATCGACGGAGGCATGCCGTTCCTCAAACTTTCGCCGGGGCTGATGCATATAGACAATAAATCTTTGCAAAGCCTTGCCCGCAGTGCCCGACATGTTGGCGTAGGCGATTTGAAGGAAGCTCTGGAAGGACGTGCGACCCCGAATAGGTCTGTTACGGCACTTGGATATCCTCCATCCATGTCCTCTCTAGGTCATCAATCAACAACGGAGGCCAGCGAACAGGGATTCCGCCAGAGGGTTACGGGTGGAATCAGAGCCTCAAATGGGGAAGTCAAAGATATCCTTAACAAATTAGGTATCGGTAAGGGCTCTGCTAGTAGAGCAAAGGCCGTTTTCAAGTCACCGTTACAACCTAAGCGCCGGTCAACTGAAACATCTCAAAATGCTCCGACCTTGTAATTTTACAGGGGAATCTTATTGCTTCATGGATTTTGACGTCTAGCGATACTCCCACGGTCATTTGTGGATCTTTGGTTTTTTCCTTGGACTTTTTTTTTCTGCGTGCAATAAGTGGCATTCATCTCAATCTTCTATCAATCTATCACATGCTGTTATGTATTTACTTCCGAGTTGATGCTAATCGTCGTTGTGCTTGCTCTTCGCGTTCCCTCCAGAAGGAAAGTTCCGCTTGAGCTTTCGGATGGGTATTTAATCTCTCACCAGACTGGAAAAAAAGGAGAATCGAAAAATCTTGAGAAGTTGATTAAGATGAAGGGAAGCTTACGCTGATAAAATGTAAAAGACTTCCACAGAGGGTGGATGTGAATGTTGCACTTTGCGCTGGATCTTTCATCTTGCTAGCTTGAGTCATGATGAGGCGATTGAGCTCTTGGCGCATGCGTTGAAGACTGGGGTTGGGAGACGGTTCAGACCCCTGTCTCGGTCCATGTCGACATTTGGGAATAACTTACTTTGAGAACAACATAACTTCTTCTTCATCCTCACTTAGCGCAATGACAGAAGAGAAAAGAGTAGCATATCTCGCCGCCACCTGCACAAGCCAACCCCCCCACCCACCCAACACCATTAACAACAGGGACCCCGAAAAAAGAAAGAAAGAGAGAGCTCACCAAATGCACCACCTCATCCTTTACGTTCCCTTTAGAACCCGCGCTAAACATACCAGCAAGCGTGACGCCAGCAGCACCTCCACCATCTACCAGTTTCTTGAGACTTTCGACATTATCGCTCATTTGCTTTTGGAAGAGAGGCCAAAGTTGGAAACGTAAGCCAAGGAAGAACTCTTCGAGCGGTACACATCCACGGAAGTTGGATTCTTTGAGGACGGCGTCGGAGAGACGGATCATTGTGAGAAGTGGGATGAGTGGAGGTGGGGGTGTTATTAGGGACGTTATTAAAGTCTATTTTATTTTTTTGGGGGAAGGGTGGTAGTTAGTGTAAGCTTTGGCATACACGGTTGAAGCATACTTGGACGTAAGGAATGACTGGATCAAAAATTTGTTTCCATATCGCTATGGAGGCCTTTTCGTGCTCCTTATCTTTGCGATCATCAGCTGACGATTGCTGCCCATCAGCAGAAAAAGAAACGACTCGGGATTGCGAGCGGGTCAAAGCATTTCTAGGGGGAATTGGACTTGGAGGCACTGAATCGAATACAGATTTTCGTCGTGTACGTTCTAGTTCATCATCATCATCCCCTCCTTGTTTTTTTTCCTCTCGCCGTCGTTGTCGCTGTTGTTGTTGTTGTTGTTGTTGTTGTTGTTGTGGGGTCGGCGTCGAGGTCGGGGAGGAAAAAGAAGGTAAGATCGGTTCGGGTGATTTGAACTCTTCTACTTTGAAGAAGTGTCGGATGAAAGCGTACTCTGCGCTTGCATTGTCGAGAAGCACGAGGACGGATGAACGAAAGAGGGCCTCGGAAGGGGCGGTCTAAACATCGCATCATCGACACCATTTTCTTGTTTTTGCGCGGGGGGGACGAGTCAATGTAGACGTACAAAGGTTTTCTCATCTGCTTGGTAGGCAAGGATGACGCCTGGACCGTCCATCTTGCCATGTGCCAGACGGCCATCATCGACTTTTGAGTCCTGTGGACCAGAAGTGGCCGTTGAGGGTGCCCCTATCAAAGTGGCAGCTTCAGCTATCTTTGCCTGTTAAGATTTCCAAAGTCATTCGTTCGCCATTGAAAAGTTTCCACATATAAAAGCAAAAGAACACACAAAGATGATGATAGATTACTTTGATATGACCGAGGCTGCGGGTATACCGTCGCATTCCAGTCTCGTAATATAGCTTGGTGCAACGCATGTATGTATTTTTTATCTCATCGGCGGTTGGGTGAGCACGACGCTGGAGGAAGCGATAGAGAGGGAGGTATTTATTGATGAATAGGGTAGTTTGGAGGACTTGAATGTTTGTGGTGAGACTCGTTCGAATGGGGTTTATGAGTGATAGGAATTTGGTTCGTATTTTGGTAGCAGCCTGATTAGCAACGGGGAAGGGGAATGCGTATGGGTTAATTCGATGTGAATATTACCTCACGGGTTGGAAAAAAAAACTGACCGTGATTCGTAAGCCTTCGACGACTCCTTCAAGGTCCTTGGCGGCTTTCGATTTAGGCTGACGAGGAGCACTCAACCCGTCAAGGTGAATACCACTTGCATGTGCGGAGATGGACACTATTAGAGTTTCGAGCTGTTGGATGGCTGGGATCCAAGCATCCGAGACGGGCTCGTCGAGTATGGTGAGTGCCAGTTCTGGTGGTATGGTAATCGAGGAGACTAATTGAGATATATTACTAAAAACATTCTTCAAAGAGTTGTCTTAGCTAGTGTCAGGATTAGTGCACGTAATTCAGGGGCTACTCACACGTCTCCCTTGTAGACGCGTATCGAACTCTCTGCTCCGCGATTGGAGGTCTGATATGTGACCCGATACGGCGGTCAAATCCTTCTGAAACGTCCCCAAAAACGATTCTAATGATGAAAGAAGAGCTAAACTCTCCTGTACATTATGCATATCACGGTCGGGCGCTTAATTGGTGAACTCGCTCACTTCAACTTGATCATGAAGCTCTATAAAGTCTTTCGCCCGAGGTTCAACTATATATGCTTTGCAACTTTTCAGTCTCCTGTCCACAAGAGCAACGGTGACCTACAAGAAATATCGACCCCTTCGACCTCAGCCATGACCTGGGATTAATTCGTGAACACGGTCCTCGTGTCACACGTGACTAGTTATTGAGGAAGCGCAATAAATAGAGTTGGATTCCCAGAATGTTCATATACAGTTGAGACCAGGCAAAGTCTGAAAATTTCCCACAGCAAGATCTAGTGAATATATAAGCTTCATTTCTGCACCAAACAACTCCTTTTTGCTCTAGCGACGTAAAAATACAATGTTCAGATTTTTCCCTGTTTTTTTTTAGCCATGGCAAAATTTTTTGACCCAATTTCCAAAATAAAATTGATAAATAAGTGTAATTGGTACCCAGTAGGTTATGAGAGGATTAAATGACATTCGAATACAGGAGTTAAGCTCGGTTGAAAATTGACATATGTAGTCGAGTCAACATCGGTCGGAAGCAATTCGGACTCAACCGACAAACCAAGACACCCCTCCAGCTGCCACATTGTTGCATGTATCATTGGCACTTGTTTGGAATCATGTTTACTTTCAAAAGACTTTTCAAATGGTACCAGAGTTGGGCCCCAGCGCTTATTTTTTCGCCACTGGCAAAAATTTCATGGTTCAATGAAAATAAATCTTCGATTTGGGCAATTGTGACATACGGAAATGATACCGACACACAAAAGAAAGCGGTTTATTGGCCGAGCTTGCGAGGCGTTGTTTACAGAGGGGTCAGTTTTTTTTTCGTGGGAATATACCGTGTGAAAGTGCAATCCCACCCCCCCATGGCCACCCCGTGAGAATGGCCACCCTGTGAGAAATGGCCGCCCCGTGGGATCCGCGCAACATCGGATCCAAATGTATATCTCATCCGTGCAATGTGTGTGCCACAAGATATTGCGGCAACACTTGCAGTGTTGTATGTTAATAAATACATAATAATCATAATAATCATTTAAACTATATATTTATTAACTTTGAGGGAAACTTAGGCTCTATGTAGCCTTTTAACCTTATCAACATAAGAGTGATATTGTGGCTGTGCTACATACACGCGCTGTAGGCAGGATAACCTACACTGCTGGTATTTTTGTGGTTTACATTCCTTATGGGTTCCTTGCATGCAAAGATCACCTCCCAATGCCCATGGAGCATAAAAACAATTTATTCCATTTTATAACAGAGTACAATTATGCATAACATGCTGGTACTGAATTGGTTCAGCCCAAAAACTATGCTTGGCACTGCTGACCACCAAGAGACGATCAAGGGCTCAAAAAATAGAGAAAAATGATAAACATGGATTCCCCAAATTTCATCCAGATTGACCCAGCTGTTGTGGAGCAATGGTGGTGACAATTTCTCATCTTACTGTAAGGTTCCACACAATGTCAAAAGGCACATGAGGGTGGCAGTGTTGAAAGTCCCATGTGGTGGAGCCGAGATCCATACTTTGGGAGATCATGAAACTGGTTTTTGGCCCAAAATGGAAATCACAAGCTGTACAGAAGTAAACAAACAACCAAAATGCACTCTGGAGTGCTCAGAAAAATTCAGAAAAATCACAAAGGATGTGTATGAAGATTCAATTGACATGGGGACTCTCATGGACACTTTCCAGGATGCCTAACCCTGTGCATGGGCCAATTTCATGATTCTCCATCAGCAAAAGTCCGTTATGCTCTGGAGCATCAGGAGTGGCTGGAGCATGTGGGAGACAAAACAGCAGATTGGGCACTCCTGGAGCCAATAGTGTTCTCCTGGGAGGGGGTTCAGGAGCAGCTGGGAGTGGTGAGGAGTATGCAATGTGCCAGGAGCAGTGGGAGGAAAATTTTGGTCTCTAAAAAGTTGAAAAAAAAAAATTTAGGGAAAAAAATCAAAAAAATTCAGGAACTATAGTGCCTTTAAAGTGCTTTCAGGACATATAATTATTTGTGAAATTGAGGAAGAAATGATGGAGAAAAATGGAAAATACTTTTGGAGACCCGAGAAGTAATGAGAACTGAATTGATGGGAAAGTCTGAAAATTGAATAGGAAAGTGAGGGGAAGCCTTGTAGCATTGTTATTTTCTGCTGTTGTGATTTTTCCTGATTGTTCTTGGTCTCACTCCCAGCTGCTCCTGGACCCTCCCAGGAGCTTTCAGGAGCTTCCAGGAGTATTGAGGAGCAGCTGGGAATGAGACCAAGAAGAATCAGGAAAAATCACAACAGCAGAAAATAACAATGCTACAAGGCTTCCCCTCACTTTCCTATTCAATTTTCAAACTTTCCCATCAATTCAGTTCTCATTATTTCTTGGGTCCCCGAAAGTATTTTCCATTAGCTGCTCCTGGACCCTCCCAGGAGCTTCCAGGAGTATCCAGGAGTATCCAGGAGCAGCTGGGAGTGAGACCAAGAAGAATCAGGAAAAATTAGAACAGCAGAAAATAACAATGCTACACAAGGCTTCCCCTCACTTCCTATTCAATTTTCAGACTTTCCCATCAATTCAGTTCTCATTATTTCTCGGGTCTTCGAAAGTATTTTCCATTTTTCTCCATCATTTCTTCCTCAATTTCGCAAATAATTATATATCCTGAAAGCACTTCAAAGGCACTACAGTTCCTGAATTTTCTTTGATTTTTTCCCTAATTATTTTTTCAATTTTTTAGAAGTCCCTATTTTTCAAATTTTCCTCATTTCCCTCTATATTCCCCCCTCATTCTCCCCCTCATTCTCCCCCTCATTCTCCCCCTCATTTCCCCCTCATTCTCCCCCTCATTTCCCCCCTCATTCTCCCCCATTTCCCCTTCCTCCATATTCTGCAAGTCCGAAAGTGATTAAGTTGCCAGATTAATCATATATCAGGCCATAAATTTTGATTGTGTATTGGTGAGTTTCAGTGTCCTTGATGTATAGTATAGTGTTCGACCTAAATGTTAAGTAGTGTCTTGTTGTGTTAGTCTTGTGGTAGGAGGTATTCATGGGGAGTCTTCTCTCTTTTTTTCCTTTTCATTTTCAAATGCTCCAGGAGCTCCCAGAAGCTTCTCACCCCTATACATTTTGAAGCATTAAATTGTATTTACTGGATATGTTTGTGCACAAAGCAATGCTCCATGCCCTCCTGGGAGTGCCCTGGAGTACCTGACCAACTCCAGAGGAAATGAGCTGTTCCTGGACCGGCCAATCTCCTCCTGATTCTCCCAGTGCTCCCCATACTCTGGAGCACTCAGGAGCATAACAATTTTTTGCTGATGTCACGCCCACCACTCAGTCAAATCTCAACCATTTGGGACAAATTTGGTATTGGGAGAAAGCTACAAACCCGGGGAATCAAATGGAGAGGTTGGGAAGAGATGCTACAGGTAGGAGGAGATGGATGAGTGTGGTGTGATGATGGAAATTGGTGGAGGATGGCAATTATTAGCGGATATGGCCCACTTATCACTCCTGTTTTCTTTTATTGAACTTCCACATTGACCGTTGGACTTATCAGCCATACATAACTGTCTACATGGTGCTCGTAACAACAATCTTTCATTTTATATTTGTTGGAGGAACCGTGTGCTATGAGGGTACTCCAACGGAGCTAACCTGAACAGCCACATTCCTGCATTAGCGTGGGAACATTCTGGGAGAGCAACTCGCCCAGAATCCACCATGTGACTACTTAGTCACAAGACCTCCTTTATATTATTTCGGACTAATCCGTGCCAGACCATGGATATATTCATTCATTTGAATTCATTTCCTTTTCCCTCAGTTCTTCACGCATATTAGCTGAGACTGAGGTTAGTTACATTCCCTCATTGTTTTATCATTGTAACTTATATTATGTATATTACCTCTAGTATTTGCTCATAGGTAATATATTTAGTTCTTCACGCATATTAGCTGAGACTGAGTATTTGCTCATAGTCCAGCTCTGAGATCACAAGTGTCGCTCATCAACAATATTTTCTTTTCATTTGTTTTTCCACATTATTGCCATTCCATGTGTTTAAAAGCCCTGTACACATAGGAATGGAAAGAGGACCTCCCTTTTGACTACAAATGTTAGAGATGGGCGGAAACGGACGACTCCGGAGTGGAATCGGAGACTTAGCGTGGAGGGACCTTGGCCTCAGCGACTCAAGCGGAGCGCTGTGCCATTGCTGTTTGTCCATTTGGTCCTTAATTTCACAGTAGGTGAGCAGGAAGTCTCTTGGGGGCATTTCAGGTCGATTTCGGACTGAAACCAGAACGAGTATGTACAAGCGCCGATATATATATAAGGAAGGGGCAAAAGCACAAGGAGAAACAAAGGGCGACCGAATCGGAACGAAGACGTCCGAACGGGAACAAAGGGTTAGAGGGAGCGGAGCGGTACCGAAGGTCATAGGGCAAGACCTGTGATACATCCGAAAGGAGGTAGAGTGGGCGAGGCCCAGAGGGGCAGGAGGATGAGGGGAAGTGGGGGTGATGACTAACTGGCTAGAATAGAAGGAAGCAGTAGTCCAAATAGGGATGAGGGGGAATTGCGAGAAATACATTACAAACGGCGAGAGTGCCGGAGGCGGTCCGCGAAGCTCGGGGGTTGCGGAGCTTACGGAGGTTACGGAGGCGGGGTTGGAAGTCCGAGGAATATTGGCAATGGTGTTTACGTAGTATGAGGTCACCAATGCAATGGACTAAGACCGAGGTGGAGTCAAAGTCCGAGGTATGGACTATGACGGAGGCTCGGAGTAAGGTACGAACGGTGTCCGAGTGTGAAGTACGGAACAGCGGTGGATGGTCGTAACTTGGCGGAAGGGTGGCGGAGGAGTGACGGAGGAAGGAGAGAGGGGACAGGTAAGGAAGAGTAGTCAGGTCCGAAGGTGGATATCGGAACGGACGGAGAAAGCGTAGGGGATGACGGGAGGGTGGAGGTGTGGTGAGGGGGGAGCGGAGTTGTAGGAAGGGTGGCGAGTAGGGCGATGTTCGGTCCGAGATGAGTATCAGAACGGACGGGGAAGGGGTCGGAGAGGTAAGAGGAGGGGTGTGTTGCCAAGACCGAAGGTGAGTATCGGAAAGGCAGCGGTAGGTTATGACTCCGGAGGTGAAGAGGGTGGAGGTCCGGAAGTCGGGTCGGGGTCGGGTATGCACGGATATGACAACAAAAGAGACTGTAGTGCTGAGAGATCCAAGTAGAAAAGAAACCCTAAGCTTGACTCCTTGAGTATTGTCAGGGCATGCTGCTCTGCTCCACACTTGTAAGGCCAGTTGGGGTGCCGACCTTGGTGCCTCTTCAGTCCTCAGGTCAGTTGATATTGTCATATCCATACAATCCCGACCTCCGCTCCGGGCTCCTGGAACTCCGAACTCCGACTTCCGGAGCCCTATTTCCCTTCCATCACTTTCTCCTTGCCGACTCCCAAGAGGTTATCCCACCTCCGGCTCGGACACCACCTTCGGTCCGACTCCGGAACATTCCGGGTCCGACCCCAACCTCGACACCTTCCAGACGAGTACGCAAAACCTATGCTCCTGACTCCGGACCTCCGCTCCGGTATCCCGTTCACGTCTCGTCTCTGGAACCTCCGGTCTTAGCTCCGACCTCGGACTTTGACCCCACCTCCGCTTATACCCATTGTATTGGTTAGCTCATTCCATTTAATTACCTTTGCCAATATTCCGGAGTTTAACCTCCGAGTTCGGACTTTCCGGACTTACTCCGGACCTTGCAACTATTGCATTGTCCATTTCAATTCCGCTATTCTCCCTCATTCCTATTTGGGCTGCTGCTTCCTTTCTATTCAGTCAGCTAGCCATTCCCCACTCCCAACCTCCTTCCTTCCTCCTTGGGCCTTGGCCCTTCATTCCTCCTTTGGGAAACACCATTGAGTCAAACACTTGACCCTCGGTGTTGTTCCTCTTTCCATCTCCCTTTGTCTCCTTTCGTCCTACCCTTGTTCCTTTTGATTCCAGACCCCTCCTTATATACAATGTACCTAGTAACTTGTAACCTCAGTCCAAAATCGACTGGAATTCCCCCCCAAGAGACTTTCCCTCTGCTAGATCCGAAATTAGGGACCCCTAGGACAACCAGCAATGGCACAGCGCTCCGCATGAGTCGCTGAGGCCGAGGTCCTTCCACGATAAGTCTCCGATTCCGCTCCGGAGTCGTCCGAATCCGCACATTCTAACAGATATCTAGGTTGTATAGAACTTAGTATTCGACGTTGGTGTGGAGAAGAGTAAAGAACCTTTTACCCGACTCCGCACCATACATATGTAAATACAAAAGTACAACAAGGAATAATAAAGGAATAAGTAAATCACCACCCCTTCCTTACATTCGGACAACTCCAGAGTGGAATTGGAGACTTAGCGTGGAAGGACCTCAGCCTCAGCGACTCAGGCAGAGTGCTGTGCCATTGCTGGTTGTCCTGGGGGTCCCTAATTTTGGATCTAGCAAAGGAAAGTCTCTTGGGGGGAAATCAAGTCGATTTCAGACTGAGGTTACAAGTTACTAAGTACATTGTATATAAGGAGGGGTCCGGAATCAAAAGGAGCAAGGGTACTCCAAAAGGAGACAAAGGGAGCTGGAAGGAGGAACAACACCGAGGGTCTAGGGTTTGACTCAATGGTGTTTCCCAAAGGAGGAGTGAAGGGCCAAGGCCCAAGGAGGAAGGAAGGAGGATGGGAGTGGGGAATGGCTAGCTGACTGAATAGAAAGGAAGCAGCAGCCCAAATAGGAATGAGGGAGAATAGCGGAATTGAATGGAGCAATGCAATAGTTGCAAGGTCTGAAGTAAGTCTGGAAAGTCCAAACTCGGAAGTTAAACTCCGGAATATTGGCAAACGTAATTAAATGGAATGAGCTAACCAATGCAATGGGTATAAGCAGAGGTGGGGTCAAAGTCCGAGGTCGGAGCTAGGACCAGAGGTTCCAGAGATGGAGACACAAACAGGATTCCGGAGTGGAGGTCCAGAGTTGGGAGCATAGGTGTTGTGTGCTTGTCTGGGAGGTGTCAAGGTTGAGGTCGGACCTGGAATGTTCCAGAGTCGGACCGAAGGTGGTGTCGGAGCCGGAGGTGGGATAACCTCTTGGGAGTCGGCAAGGAGAAGGTGACAGAAGGGAAGTAGGACTCCAGAAGTCAGTTTCGGAGTTCCAGGAGCCTGGAGTGGAGGTCGGGATTGTGCGGATATGACAGAGACAGTGGTTTGTTGGCTGAGCTTGCAAGGATGCATTTGTTTGGGTAAGGGCTGTGTGTGTGCAAGTGCTGAGTGTGCTGAGTGTGTGTGTGGTGTGCAAGTGCTGAGTGTGCTGAGTGTGTGTGTGGTGTGCAAGTGCTGTGTGGGGTGTGAGTGCAGTGTGTGAGTGTGGTGTGTGAGTGCAGTGTGTGAGTGCGGTGTGGTATTATGTGTGTGAGTGCAGTGTGTGAGTGTGGTGTGGTATGTGGTGTGTGAGTGCGGTGTGTGAGTGTGGTGTGCTGTGTGGTGTGTGGTGTGTGGTGTGTGTGTGAGTGCTGAGTGTTGAGTGCTGAGTGCTGAGTGCTGAGTGTGCTGAGTGCTGAGTGTGCTGTGTGCTGTGTTGTGTGTGCTGTGTGCTGTGTGAGTGAGTGAGTGAGTGTATGCATGCCTGGAAAGTAATTGCCCATGGGTTGGGTTGGTGGTTGGGGGTTTGGGTTGTGGGTTGGGGGTTTGGGTTGGTGGGTTGGGTCGGGTAGGGGTTGGGAAGTTGGGTATGGGGCTGTGGTGTGGTGGGAACGTATCTCTTTAATAATGCCATATGGAGCAGAGCAGGACAGCCCCTGCAGTGACCAATGTGGAGTAAGGACAGTGAGCAAGTGCAGAACACATGGCTAGCTGTCTCTGATTAATATCAGGTACACTATGATGGCAACTTAATAACATTGATTTCCCTGGGTAACATGTATATATGCAATCCTGCTTCCATTTTTATCAGTCACCTGCCAAGACTTTAATGTGGAGGAGTGTCCATGCACCCTCCCTCTACCTGACATCTAGGGCTCCTAGCAGATCAGACCCATATTGGCATATCTTTGTGGGCCAATCTGAATGTCAGAGACATAGCATATGACTACATATATCACCGCATGTAGCTGCATCAGCCCATAACTCTCTCACCCCTTTCCCTGATCTGACTCCACCCCTTGATCTGAGTATCTCCCTGTTTTTATTACTTTGTTGCCTACCTCATCATTTAGTTCTGTTGATCCTTTTTCTTCCAATTGATTCATATCTCTCATGTATATAGCCCTATGTGTTGCTGAGGGTTGGAACCTCAGCTTTGTCTATGACTAGGTTTTTGGGTGATACTTGACTTGGACTGACAAGCGATCCCTGACACTGAATGCATGGATATGGCTCAGATTCTTGGATTGGGTATGTGAAGAAATTCATGTTGCTAGTGCTATAGACTTATGTCATGAATTCAACTAATGTAAATCAGGTGACTGGATGAATGACATAAAATGGACAAGCCTGGTATCGAACCCAGGACCTCTAGCATGCATCCATACACTACTCACCCATTATGCCAGGGAGGTTACTCCATCCCTGATGGTTATTCCAACAGTATGGAGTTTATTTACTGCAATCAAATAGACCATTGCCTGAACTAAACACTTTGCATACAAATGAAGATAGCATATTTAATTTGAAATTGCAGTATGGTTTGTTAGAGGGTTCCTCCCAAACTGGATGGCCAAGCTTGCAGCGCAGCGCCGAAGGCGCTGCAAGCTCGGCCATCCAGTTTGAGGGGAACCCTCATAACAATTGTAGCCTGGTACATGTTCAGGGAGTTTCCTTGCATCGGCAAGTTTTTTTCAAGTGTTTGCTTGGGCTCAACTGTACATTCGCCATAGTTTTTTCTGTTTTTTCTGTTTTTTTTTTTTTGGGTGGAGGAGAATGGAGAGAAGGTATGAACGTTTACGCATTAGGCGGGAGTGAGGACCCGCAGGAAAGGAAATGTGGGGGGGTTATACAGGACCCTTTGCAAAGGACAATTGAGTCGTGGAGAAAAAAACGCAGGACCCGATAGCATCCAAATCGCCTCTTTCAGCTGCGGAGACCTCGGGATTATCCCAATCATCGAAGGAATCTTGTAAACACCAGAGCTGATAAAGGTGAAACACATGAAATGCGAGTTGGAAAGCACAGTGGGCTTTCCTTCTGCAAGCCGATTTACGAGACAATACATCAAGTAGCCAGATTTGCGTTTAGGAGCGTGATTGTGCAATGATAATCCAGCATGAACCCACGCGCCTATTCCAGGTTGTCCAATAAGCAAAATTGGTGTCCGGAAATCACGCCTAGCGACGTCTGATTGTTTCTGCTCCTCCACGAATACATCGAGTTCACGGTATTCATCCCGCACATAAAACTTCTTGCAAAGCACTTCTGATATCAAGTACAACACATTCGGGATCTTCATCAGGTCGTTAAACAATGCTTGAATGTTCGCCTTAGCATCATCCATTGCGACGTCCTCTGTCTCAGATTCTTGAGGTTGAGATGCCTCATCGTTCGCCGAAGAATCATCCATTGCGACATCCTCTGTCTCAGATTCTTGAAATTTGTAACTGACAGCAAGGCTGGGCACCTGGATTGAGGTTTCAGTAATAATTTGACCCAAGTAAGGCTCGTTTTTCCAGAAATAGTTGTGGATGATAGCCAAGTCGCCATAGCGTGGATCCTGTTCAGTGATAAGAGGGCTGTTTGAGCAAGTCAACAATGCATAAACTCAATAAGAGGCCATGTCACGACCCGGCGTTCCCCGGGGCCAGACGACCTCCTCCCTGACCTTCTCCCACGCCCGAACACTCCCCGCACACTCCGCTCGCCGCCCGTCGCCATCTAACCACTTCCCGCCACCTCTCCACAACACCTTTCCCCTTTGTCGTTGAACGACCTAGCGGCGCAGAGCGCCGCGACCCGTTGTTCCATGTTTCGCCGCACCTTGTTATCTCGCGGCGAAGGTCACGCTTGACCTTCGTTGTCTTGAGCACGTGCTCTTTGTTTGTTTTCCTGCTTCTTTTCTCCGCCCGCAATCTCCGCGAGATCTGGCAACTTATTCCTTATTCAGTTCCCTAGCGCTTATATACGGCTTGTAACTAATGCCTGTACTGTAGTTCGAAATCAACTAGAATTCACCCCCTAGGCTTACCTCTGTCCCCCGTGAGATCTCTGACTTTCTGAAGTATCGGGACCGCGTCGAGAACAAGGCGCAACGCTCCTCCTCGAGTCGTTGAAGCCGAAATCCCGGCTCACTCGCCTAAGTAGCCTCGGCCTCGAGATCGGTGGGGTTTATTCCTCGCTAAAGCTCGGTCGTGTGTAGGACGCCTATTCCACTAGCGGGCAACGCTCGGTCGCCTACGGCTACCCTCGGCGAAGATTCGCACGGTTCTGACAGGCCAGGAGTATATGCATTGCGTACCTGTATTGGCAGTTGGTTTGGGGAGCGCTACAGAATAGTTAGTCTGGCGTGCCAATAGCTGAACTGAACTAACAAAGCGATACAACTCACGACGCTGTATTTTGACTACCACATGGACCAGGCCGTTACCTGAGTCTTGTCCAAAAATGTCGCTTACTTCACTATCACCGCAATCAAGGGGATCCTTTGTAGCTATGCTGACTGTCGCTCTATCAATAAGAACTCCATCACCGCTCCACGTCAAATTATCAGGCTTCTTTGGATGAGCACAACTTTCTTAAAACAGAAGTGCCTACCTACTTACCTTGTACAAAACAAGCTCACTGTAATCATAATCTTCGCGAAGCTGCTTGTGCTTTCCATAAATCTTACTATGGAGTTGCTCGACAATCTCACCACCTTTGAGATCTAGAACAAAAGATGTTGTTGGGACAGATGACGAAGTATGTTAGACATTTCAGAGGCTCCGGGGTGGTTGACAAAGTCGGTTGGGCGCGACGACGACGATGTTCCAGAAATTGCGACATGGTTGACGTCGGTTGAGTGAGCCACTATGACAACTAGAGTGCTTGCGGTGCTTCGACCAACTCTGCACAACACTGTGTTACATGCTCAATTTCTTGAATCAAGTCATGCCTCAAATCCATATCGCGAGCGAGTGTCCACACTCTGGTGCCGCGATGGAGAACCTTGGTAGCATCGCTGCCCAAGCCACGAGAGGTGCATAAATGGGTAAAGGTTTTACATGGAGTTGGCAAGAAGTGTATGTTTCTCAGCGAGTTGTCAGTTACATGCCTAGGAGTACTGATCTTTCCCAGCGGTTATGCCATGGAGCAGAGGATTGAGGATAATGCTTGGCGTATTGCATTCACTACTGGATTGTACGCAACCGGAGGTAGATAGCGACCATTAAAGGCTGGACCCCGACCCATCTCTTCCAGCAAGTGGTGACACATAAACCAGAGGAACAGCCACCGTCTGGTAGAAATCAATCCCCTCCAAGATGCAAGAGGTTTGAACCGATCGAGCTTATGCATGCGGATCCATATCTTCACCAAGCTCATGGAAAAGAGGGAGTCAATGCTTCAGCCCAATACTTCTACAATTGTATGAAGGAGCCCTCTACAGCCTCCACTGCCGCCCTGATGTTCGAAGCTGTTGGGCATGTCTATGTTGTCAAACGTGCTAGAGGTGCCCTTTGCATACGAGCACTCAAAGACGGCAATGAACAGCAACTGCATTAGGAAGACATCGACCCCACGAGGTATTCTCCCATTTTCCATTTGATAAGGTCCATCGTCCGGATGCTGCAACCAAGTACACTCTTTCACCCCCCAATGGTTCAGATTTCGTTAATCTGAACCCTAGTGCCACAAAACTTCACAAAAAAAATGTAAAGTATGGGGAAAGTGAATACCCACTGATGACGGCAAAGATTATAAAGGATGTCTAGTGAGAAAGTGAGTATGTGAGGAAGCACGAAACAAGCCTCAATGGTCTCTTGTGACATGATGTGACAGCCCATTCACTCACCATGGTGTTGTGTGACGTAGTGTGACAGTGCACTCACAGAACCCACTTTTGCATTCTAAATCCTGTCATCCCCTTGTACCGAGAGCTGCATCTGAGATGTAGAGACATTATTATATTAAAGTTATGGAATGCAGCAATGGTTATTACATTATTTGGGGGAAGTGGTGCAGAGTAGGTGAAACCGCACGCTTCTGATCACTTAATCTCGTCCATACACAAACAAATGCCAGCGTGTGTAGCTCTGGCTTTAGGCACACTGGCTGCTTGGGAAGCCCTTGGTGAGGTGGAGATGCCTACATGGTATCAGAATGGTTAAGTCGCACATACAGCGACCTTTCATGTTCATGTTCCTCATGTTTCCTAGAATTTCTCGTTCATTTCAGGTTCGCTTGACCGCAAATTTGCTACACAGGTAGTCCTAGTAGTTATTCATATGCATGCCAAATTTTACCACGAAATGTGTGCATTGTGTTGTGGTGAACCATTGAGGGGTGAAGTTCATTGGCCGGTTTCTGGTAATCTCATTGGCATCGACTCGTTAGGGATGAGAATCACACCATCACTGGTGTCGTCATGTTTCAGTATACAATCTCTACCCAGCATTCAGTCAAGATTAAATTCATTAAACAGCTTTGGGACGTGTTGAAGAACAAACACCAAGAGGCATGCATGGCAATGGAAGCTTGTATTTGTCATCCCAAAGGATAAGGACCGGAAAGCGTTTGGGAAAAAAATGCCCACTGAGGCCTTGATGACAGCGGTGTCTCAATTTGCGCTGGAAATCGATCTGGGGGATATGTGGGGGACAATGTGCCACACTGAATGAACAATACTTGCAAGGCCACTTTCATCGGATCCGCATAATTCATGGGAGTTTTATCCTTTCACCTGCCGATGTTGACTGACTCACGGTCGTAACACTTGAAGCATGTAATACAACCGTGATAACCTATGCCCTTGCATTCCTGGATTTTGCAAAGTAGATCGTGGCCGTGATGATTCTTAGTCGGGAAGCCGCCAGACTGGAGTCATTTTATTCCCAAACTAGCCGGCCGTTTTTCTGCTTTGTTCTCCGAATTAATTGGCTCGCAGTGTCCCTTTCTCCAATGCACAGCGCAGCTCGGAAAGCTCAAGATGGCCAGAATGGGAGTGAAATTTAGTCTGATGCTACTCATCCTCCCGGGTGTTGCATGCTGCCTCTTCTGCGTCGATCACTCGTCTGATTGCAGCCGTTGGCATTCTCCTGGGGATTCTCACCTCCAGTAGGTATTAAAGTAATCTGCCCTCTTTTCGCTACCCATGCACTCTCTTCCTCCCAATTGCTGTTGGTGCGCGTCGTCGAGCATGTTTCCGGGATGGGTGATTTGAAGCTGGCAGTCCAAGACGCAAAATCTCCACATAAAATTAACCCAGTTCTAAGATGTTAGAGAACTAGTCGTTAAAATGACAAAGGCCACCAATTTACACGGTTATCTCAGTGAAACGGGACAAGAACGCGAACGAGTTTCAAGGAGGCTTGATGATTTTGGATCCATGAACAAGCAACCTCGTCTCCTCTATCCAAATAGCCCTACCTATATGAGAACTAACCAGACTCGCCGGACAGTTCTCGTTTCACAGCAATGCCGCAAGCCTATGAACCGAACCCTCCATCCAGGTCATCATCGACACTATCCAAGAAATCCAAATATCCTGGATCGACGAATAAAGGACTAGAGGTACATGGTAATGGTGCCGGTTCAGGTGGTAGGGAAGCTGGACCAGGCAGGACAGGTTACTGGTGTCAATGGAGGCGTCGATCGTCGGAGTCGGTGCATTTTGGCGTGTCTACTGTGAGGGGTTGTCGATGATGGTGCGGGCGAGGGAGGTTTCTGCTCGTCTTTAACCTTGGAAGGGACGCAGCAGTCATGTTTGCATCGTCCCTGTTCTTCCGATGGTTGAGAGGAGTTGAGAACGGCCCCACAAGAGGTCAAGTAAATGAGAGGGACGATGATGAACCGTCGGATCGTCGGTCTTCTTCCCGATCCCCTCCGGCGTGCTTGGTGGAGCAGTCGCTTGAAGTTTGAGCCCGGGACGATGCCGATGGCGAAGGGAGCGTTTAAAACCCGTTCCAGCGATTCCACCGGCTGGAAACACAGTGTCGTCACGTCGTGCCTGGGCACCATGTAAAGCGATTGCGAAAGTAAGGCCTTGGCGAGGATTCGGAGTTTCGTTGTCTCCGAGGGTGACTTTGTATTGAGTAGCAATATATTTTGAAGTGGCCGACTCAATTGTCGCTCATGTCAACATTGGATGAGCCTTTACCAAGCGAGCAGAGCGCAGTGTACGAGAGCGAGGGCCCCTGCAGTTCGGTGATGACGCTCAGAAACCGTAATCTTCGATTTGACATGTGAGGGCAGCTAGCTCCAGAGGCTGGTAACCTGCCTAAGCTAGCTCCAGGCAACCGGTTAGAACTTAGGCACAATCAATAATTTCCCCACAATTTCAAAATGCTCGAGAGTTTGTTCGCCTCGCCTCTCCACTCCCCTGACACTCTTTCTCGTTCTCTACCTGCCACTCTTTTCTTCACTGCATGATGCTGTTTGCATCCTCACTCATTCCTTTGGTTTTTTCACTCGCGTCGTTCGTTGTTGCGTTAGATCATAGTTTAGTGCCGCTTCAGGCGCTAAAGGAGCGATTCCATGATTTTCAAAGATCACACTTCAATGGACTTATAGGTTCATCTCGCCATCGCCGCCGTCTTAAGACACGAGCTGCATCGCTTCCAGCTGGCTGGTCATTGCTATCATGCCTCACGGACAAGTGAGTCGCCCCAAGTTTCCACCGTCCTGCCCAGGCTGCATCTTCATCAATCCTTCAATAGCACCTCGAACCGTGTTTTGACTGGTTATTCGTTTACTTCTTCGAGTATGACGCCTCAGCTCTGCGTTAATACATGTGCGGGGAAAAGCTTCATCAAGGCCGGTGTGGAGTATGCGCAGGAATGCTACTGTGGCAACGCTACCGTAACTTCCTCCTCTCCTTCTACTGGTCAGCCCGCCCCTGCAAGCGACTGCTCGATGCCCTGTGCCGGAGATTCAACTCAGACGTGTGGCGCTGGGTATAGAATAGCCATTTATACATACACCCAGCCGCTTCCCCCTGGGTGGTCTTCGCTTGGTTGCTACACTGATGACACGAACAACAGGTGAGCCTCATCCATTTTTGCTTTATCAATACTTAATGTTTTTCGAAGAGCTCTGAAGGGATATTCTACATCGGTATCGTATAACACACCGGGTTGGTGCATCAATACCTGTGCATCCCAGGGATACACTTATGGCGGCGTCGAATTCGGTTAGTTTTTTCAATTTTTATCGTTCTTCCACTAGACCTTCCCTCAAAAATACCTATATTGCCTATAGGCCAAGAATGCTATTGTTCGAACTCCATTACTACAACGTCGACCACTGGCGTTGCTACATCAGCTTCAGACTGTTCCATGCCATGTTCTGGGGATTCGTCTCAGAAGTGTGGGGGTGGTAATCGTATCGGTATATACAAATCTTCTTCGTCAACGTCTGGTTGGGGATTATTGGGGTGTTACAATGACGACACTAGTAATCGAGCGCTCAAGGGGTATTCTACCTCTTCATCTTCCAATAGTGTCACATCGTGCGAGTCGACGTGTCAGGCTCAAGGGTTCAAATATGCTGGAGTTGAGTACGGACAGGAGTGTTATTGTTCTAACAGTATCACTACGACTTCTATGACTGGCACATTACAATCTCCGAGCGATTGTAACATGCCATGTTCGGGAAACTCGCAACAAATCTGTGGTGGATCGTACCGAATCAATATTTACTCCTTCTCAGGAACCTCCACTCCTCTCTGGACACGCTTGGGTTGTTTCACAGATACATCTTCCCCTCGCACCCTTGGTTCATATTCTACTCAATCAAACTCCAATTCCCCTACGTATTGTACGAGTTTATGTGCAGGGATGGGTTATTCTTTCGCAGGAGTGGAATATGGGAGAGAATGTTATTGTTCGAATAGCGTTACGTGGACTTCGGGTGCTAGTCAACCTACTCCTGATAGTGATTGTTCAATCCCATGTACGGGGTTGGGGAGTGCCACTTGTGGAGGTGGGTATAGGATTGAGATATATGCGCCTTCTGGGTACTCGACGTCTAGCTCTTGGAATATGAAACAGAATTATGTGAGTTTATAGGGGGAATGGGAACGCTTGAGCGGTTTGGGGGCTGATATCGTGAGTTTAGACTGGAAGCAACTTCTTTAATGGGTGGACGTTCTTTACCTACGCGGACCCCACACATGGTAAAGTGCTTCTCGGACTGTTCAGAGTTTTTTTTGTTCGCTGATTCTTTTTTCTTTTGGTTGTAGGCGTCGTCCAGTACAGGAGTGCGGCTGATTCGGTGCGTAATCTCCTCACCCGTTCTTTCGCACCGTTTCCTTGTGTTCTATTAGCTGACTCCCTACCTCGTAAGTGGTCCTTGGGCCTCGTATCCATCAATAATGCTGGAAATGCGATTATGAAGGTCGATACGACACCCACTGTTTCTGGGAATCGTAACTCTGTCCGAATCCAAACCAGTATTCAATACACTGGAGGGCTGTGAGTTGTGTTCCATTCCTGTTGTGCCAAATGTTCGCTGATTTTGCCCTAATATCAGCATCATCCTGGATGCTGTAGGCATTCACTCTAAACCCTTATCGTGTTTAATGCCAATCTATCCTTTTGACATATTAGGTGCACATGCCTATCGGTTGTGGTACTTGGCCCGTGAGTCATCATCTCATTTTTGGGGAAGTGGATATGCTGATCCCGTGGATGAGCTTTGCAGGCGTTCTGGAGTGTAGGACCGGCGAACTGGCCAAATAATGGCGAGATCGATGTTATTGAAGGCGTTCATTTCGCCACAAGAAACCAGGTATGGTGAACACGACTTTTCTCTAAAATTTCACAAGAGTGAAGGTAGGATTGTGTCGTAGATGTCAATTCATACAACGGCTGGATGTACGATGCCCGCTAATTATGGCGCTAGTGGGTACCTAGCGTCTTCCGGTCCTCAGGCAACAAATTGTGACGTCGTGGCTTCCGGAGGGACTGGTAAGTTCCATTTCGCCACTATTGGTAAAGCAATCTAAATCTCTCTGCTAAGGCTGTGGCATCGTATCCCCCACGCCAAACGATTATGGAACTGGCTTCAACTCGAATGGTGGTGGTGTATATGCCATGAAGTGGGACACCTCGAGTGGCGGTAGTGGTATCAGCGTGTGGTTCTTCCCTCGAGGTGGGATTCCGTTCGACATTTCGACGAAGGAGCCGCAGACGAGTGGGTGGGGTATCCCGCAGGGTCATTGGCCTGCTTCGACGTGCAATCCGAGCCAGTTCTTTAATAATCATGTGCTTGTGTTCGATACTACTTTATGGTATGTGCATATATACCACACGATCTATTTCCCTAATTCCCTAATGTCCGAGGTGTTAGTGGTGATTGGGCAGGAGCATCGAGCGTGTGGAACTCGGCGACTCAGAATGGGCAAACGGGTGGTAGTTGTGCTGCCCGCACTGGATATGCGAATTGTGCGGATTTCGTTCGCGCGCAGGGAGGCACCTTCAGCGAAGCCTGTGAGTTGCTTCATTTTCCCTCCTCTCTCTTTGTATTCCTGTGCGAATGACTGGACTGATGAATCGTATTTATTTATTTTTGTCCAGATTGGGAAGTGAAAAGTGTGCAAATGTATCAATGATCCACCGTCTGTCTGCTCTGGCCCCGTTAATTCAGCTCTTGGACTTCAGTGACGTAGAATGCTACTTTTTTTCCTGACGTCGTACAGCCTAATTTTCACCTGGGAGTGTTTATTTTTACACAGACTGCGGATGGATTTCTTCCCTAAATATTGTGTAGTGTTGGACCTGTTTTGTTGAATAGTATGATTTAAGAATGATGTTTAGCGAATGGTATCATTGAGTCGCAACAAATCGGTCGGTCGTTGCAGATTCATGAACTTGTCAGACACTGGAATGCTGCTGTACTGACGATGTTGCTCTGGTCGATAATAACAATGAGATTCACCCAACTCAGCCACTAGGCCGGGCATGACTTAAAAGTCAGAAACTATCAAATGAACAAACTTAAACATTATCTGTTAGGATTCTTGTACTGTGGTGTACGCTATGACCAACTCACGTTTGGTGATGTTGAGTCGTGTGGCGTCTAGATTTACACTTATTACTTTTCTTGGTGACATCCGTGCCAAAGTCAGTGCGCATTCATAGCGCCTGACTATAAACCCAATTTTGGACAACCAACCTTTCCTCAGTTCACGTACAACGGACTGAGGTATGTTGGTTATATCATGTTTGTCTTTCATAAATCATGTATTATGTAAACATTAGTCCACCAGCGATAAACTCGCTAGTGATTACTTTCTAATCTATTCTAGTTCACGTACAACGGACTGAGCGCTAGTCCATCATTTCATCTTATATTATCCATGGATGAATGGATGCGTATCCCCAGTGGGACGTTATCTCACGTGGAGGATCGATCGGGACTTGCCCTCACCTTACTCAGATTTGTCATTCTCGATAGGCCGAAGGACCCCCATGGCTCCCACTGCAACCTTCATTGCGAAAACAGCTCCTGGGGACGCTGAAAGAGCGCAGAACCAAGGGCCGAAGCAGGTTCTTGTTATCGGGTCTTTGAACACTGCTCAGGATGGAACGTACCAGTCGTTGATCTCCGACCTCACAGCTAGTCACGACAACAACGTAGAAAAATTGCTTTTTGACCGTATAATAGATCAAGGTGGAAAGTGGAAACTTTGTTCCTTTAATGTTGCTCACATTTTCTGCCGGCTGCATTTAGCTGCTCCCTTGGTGGCGTCGAGTCTTGACGAAATCCATGTTCTTCTGTCCGACTCTGATTATCGGAAGCTGCTAATTCCCCATTTTGAAACCTTCTTATCAACCCTTCATTCATCTCTTGCTCCTTCCGGGACGATATGCATCATCAACCCAGCCCCTAGCGTGTTACAATCCGTCTCAAGTCAACTGGCTGCCTCTGGTTTCACAATTTCATCGCAAACACCTTCATTGTTAACTGCCAAAAAGCCGTCTAGTGCGGCAGCATCTTTGAAAGTAAAGACAACTGCTGCTGGCGTTGTGGAGTTGTCGAATTCCACGCCTCCTTCAGTGACGCTCAGGAATAGACGAAACATCGATCCATCTCGTAAAGCCAAGGCAGCAGCTATATGGGCAGTTTCGCTAGCTTCAGCAGCCACCATAGACCCAGACACTCTCCTCACCCCCGAGGATCGAGCACGTCCCATACCCACATGCGAACCTCCCTCATCCGCTGATGGCCGAGCTGTCAAGCGCAAGCGTGCATGCAAGGGATGTACGTGCGGACTGGCCGAACTTGAGGCAGAGGAAGAGGAGGCAGCAGCAGCTCACTATCAGCAGCAGCAGCAGCCTGTTGTCGTTCTTGACACGCGCGCTGACAATGAGGGTGGGTTGATCAAGGAGATGAGTTTGAGTGATAGGGAGAAGCTGAAGATCGCGGCTCAGAATGCTGGTAAGGCCACTAGCAGCTGTGGGAGCTGTTTCCTTGGGGATGCATTCCGATGCGCAGGATGTCCTTATCGGGGCGAGTGTCTCTACTTGGGCTTGACCCATTTCTTTTTGAGTTGCTGATATCGTGTTATCAAACAGGATTGCCGGCGTTTGAGCCCGGCCAAAAAGTGGAAATCGATTTTGGCATGGATGATTTTTAGCATTGCTTTGTCGGGGATCTTTTGTGGATATTGTCAGATCATTGTTGCGTCTAGGGCTAGATTTGGTAGCTCCTGATGAATCGATTTTGATCACACGTGACTCATTTTCCTGCGACATCCCATGCAAGCCTCGTATGAAGTGTCGCTTTATGGATCATTCCCTCCATCCGATCTTGAGCCCATCCTTCAGCGGATTACCTTGAGGTCATCATCCTCCAGGATAATCAAATGGAAGGAGATTGTCTTTGACCCTATTCCCCGACCGCCACAGTCCGTGGTTGGTGCTCTCAGCAATGACGCCGCGAGGAAGGAACAGATTCGCCTAGTGTGCTGGAAGGACCTAGACGCTTCAGGAATGGTCGAGAAGGAATGGTGAGCCATCACATGAATCCCTGTCTATCGCCTGCACCCGTGAAATGAAAGTGGGAGAAGCAACGCGTCTTCCACTCGCGTGTCTGCTGCGTGTCCACCCTCCATCCTCATTCCACTTGTACTCTTCTGCTTCCTTACCAGATTATTTGACGACTCTTCTCATTTGTAATTGACGTGTATCAAGGACCCTATATGCTCATAGTAAAAAGCCGGAGCCAGCACGAAATGAGACAACGGTTCGCCAAGCGTCATACATGCAAATCGTGGCCGGAGATGCACTAGGCTTCGTTACAGCGTTGGGATATAGGTGAGCATATGACTTTTGAAAAAGAAGGGAACGAGCTGAGGACTCATGTCCATCGCTGGTCACACAATTCTATCCACCTCCTGTCTATGGTTTCGGCGGCCACTTTGCTTGCAACTGCTGTTGGTGCTGTTGCTTGGTATGACGGTTGGCGCGTCAGACGCACGTCCGAGTGTCTGAAACATGGATACGAATTCGAGAGGGATCAGCTCAATATACAAATTTTCAAGATCGATACTGTGAGGAACTTCCCCTCCCTCATGTGTCATATGGTTTTTATTGTATCGTTAACACTCTTACTGATAGATTGATATGAGGACGAAAGAGATCAAGAGAGCTGCCCCAGACACATTTTGGCAAATCGAAGTTAAATCTATGCCATCCTCCCGGAAGGGCGTTCCCGGCTCTTCGGGTAATGCTTCCCCACTGAATACGGGCACAATCAGCGGAACTGGTGCAATTGCGGCATCCACATCCTCGGAGATTCCACTAAAAGAGGAGACGGCTCTAATCCTTGAGTTTAAGATGATTCTCAAAGGCCTTCTTGACTTGAAGCCCCTGGCTATGACACCAAAAGAAGCTCTCCGCTAGGCAGATCCTTTGTCTCTTAAAGTTGACGGGTAAGGCTGACTGTATCTTATCTTTGAATTATGATTAGATTACTTTTAACTGACGGGATTGTGGTATCGAGCAGTACACGGAACTATAGTCTGTCGCTCTCCGCTATGCCGCGCTGAGCATACAACTGAAGGTGTGGTGCCTGGCGGGATCTGCTCATTGATCAGTAATCAAATCGGTGACGTCGTCCTCGACACCAGAAGACCATACAGAACTGGAGTCACTTTCGGTACCATCGCCCAGTACTCCGGGTATCTCGCTTTCCGCCTCACCGATCTCACCAACGTCGTATTCTTCCGAAAATCGCGTTTCGCCAAGGTTGTCATTGTCGGTACCATAACCTAGTATGTCAACCCCAACATCTTCATCATCTGTCTGGTCTCTATCTTGGGCAGGATCGCCCTCATTGTCAGTGCTCCCATACCCGCCCAACATATGGTCAACAAATTCTGGATGCTGCTCGATTCTGGGCCTCTTTGCTGCTGGCCTTTTTATCACATCTATGTCGGGGGACTCAGCGATGATGAGGATTTCATTGAGGCTAGGATATGTAGCAAACAGTTCAAAGGTTGGAAACTCAAGGAATTCCCGATCACGAAGTATTTGGGCGAGTGTCTGAGAGGTGTCGATTTGGTAGTAACCATTCGAAAAATGAGCAGAGGGACCTAGGTTACGACCAAAAACGTTTGCTGAGATCTCTCGAGGCTGTGGAGGGTACTGGGAGAGAAAGGCGGGGGTTGGGGTAACTGGAAGAGAATCTATAAGTTCGAGTATCCATGAAGGCCACGAGTCTAGCGATTTGTCAGGAGGAGACGACGAGTAGAAGTGATTTGATAATAATGTGTGGAATTGTGAGCCGAGATTGTTGTTTTGGATGAGGAGTTTGAATGAGGACGCATTTGAAGCGCGAGGTGGATGAACTTTCAGCTCCAATGTAAGGTATATACTTCTTGTTCTTGAATGAAGGTGAGGTCAGTCTTGAAGCCCTGAGCTTGAATATAACGAATAGATGCGCTTACCTGAAGTCGAACCTAGACGAGTTTTGCGTCCTCCGCTCCATACCTTCCGGTAAGAAATCGACGTAGATATCCTTAAAGGATAGTTGCATTTGAAGCGTATCTCTCTTACTTCTCTAGCTAGAGGGGTGGGTCTGCCTCGTCCTTTACCTCTGTGACCTCTGTGATGTTCAGAACGAAGAAAGCTTCCACGAGCAATGGCTCGACCATGAGACTCCACGAATCGTCCTACATCCTCCAGGAGGACATAATCATCCATCATAGAACCCCATCCGTATTGATTAATGGGTATGTAAGCCGCTCGGTCCCTTTGGCCATTGCATGAGAACAGAGTTTTGTGTCTCGTCGAGCATTGTGCAGTGCAGGTCTTCTTCTTGCACTTAGGGCAAGTGTAGATGGCTGTGTGTTGATTACATATTTCGCAAGAGGTAGCGGAGGATGCTGATGGAGGGGAGACTACTTCCATTGTCGCCGTTTGGTGCCAAAGTTTTGTGGCCTAGAGTGGAATAGATGTGGCTGTGATGCAACCCAGCCCATGCACTTTGCTTCCGTTGAGTTGGACGTGTGCATCCTCGGTTCCAGCAGAATAATCCACAGAGTAGTCCGTTCTCAGCGTCCGTGTTTCGAGATAATATGCTGAAACTGAGGCCTAGTGTTAGACGAACAAACATTGGTTGGGGTCCTGTGAAACAGCGATGACTTCCTTTTTACTTCAAAGATCATTAGCCACTCATTCAAGTGTTGTTTGAATGCGGGCATGAACACGTACCCACGAAACCTGGAGGCCGATGCCATGCATGGGATTTTCAGAAGCTGAAGAGTTCTGAGACATTTCTTGCTACTACATATGCGTTTTCCCGGTCTCTTGATCATTACATATAATTAGCGCATACGTTATTCGGGCCACCTCTGGCTCTGGGCAGCTTGAATTTATTGGAAGAAGACTTGAAGTACAGTGGCGCAGCGAAGCATATTCATAAGAATAATAACTTCTGCACGAACTTGGAATATTGGAAGCCATCGCACCAGAACAGGAACGTAACGATTGTTCGTGAGATTAAATGTACCTGTTCCGCGGAACCAATGCATGATTGTCATCTGCATCCATTTCTGCCCAATGCGCCTTAGGAAAGGGGAACCGTTGCGTGCGGGAAGGCTGGAAAAACATTGATGTGGCAGCTGGGCGCTCTAACCAGAATTAATCAAGCTTCAGTTGCTTCTTTCTTCTCGGTCTAGCCCACAGTGCTAGTGCTGGTGCACGTGTTTCTGCCCAAATGCAGCGAGGGGCACGATCTAAGATAAAAACGGTCGTTATCAGTGAACAAACAAAGGGAAAGTGCGCACGGTCAGGGTCCCAAGCCGACGAGCAATCATTCACGCCACGAGTTCGCGGTGAATCTGCAATATAATTCGGGACGACAAGCCCATAACCGCTGAAGAATATGCAAATAGTGCGTGCCACTATCCGGCCAAGCTCACACAACTCCCACCACATTTGGATGAGGCGAATCCGTCATTATGTAATCCGAAAGGGATGGATCTGCTTGCAGTCAGCAACGCGTTGTTTGCGTTAGAATCAGGGACCCAGAATGTAGTATTTTCCACTCGGTTAGATAGAGTCCAAGCGATAGCCTTAGCCTGAGAACCAAGCAGAATTGATGAAACCAACCAAACCATTGTCATGTTGTGTACGCGGGCGTAGACTTTATGTAGCAGAATTGTCCTCGAGATGGGACGTGAATGGCAGCGCTTCTAGCGCGGTGAAAGTTATGGGCGAATCGCAATCATCGTCGGTCGTTCGGACTGATTTTGTGTAGGAAGGCGGGCGTGTGGGAATACCCGGTGCAACATACTCATTTGACACCTGTAATAGAACAATGAGCCAATACTGGGACATAACCGGATGAAAGAATTGAAACTCCTTTCGTCGGACTCGAAGCACAAGATCTTGTGGTGGCTTCGAGGTCAAAGGATGCACGTATGGTGCGGAATGGCGCGAGGACGCTGGTGGGCTTGAGAGACCATACCGGTCGTTGAGCATGCCCCTAGCAGGGGGCTTTAGCTTTGCATGGAAGCCGCGCGCGATGCAGGAAGAATAAGGTATGGATCTGCAAAACTGAAAGGTGCCAATCTTCAACCCCATGCCAATCAAGCACAGGCCCTATGCTTGCAGCAGAAATACCCTGAGAGGAGTTGAGCGAGAAAAGGGGGGGAGTTGGGGTTTTGTGAGTAGTGAAAAACGTTATTGGGACTGTTGGATATCACAAAGTACTGATGTCGGAGGCGCCCAGTGGTAGGTACATCGCATAGCACTGTGCTCCCAGACAAATTGAAAGGGCTAGCACCCTTCTCCCTTGGGAGTGGTCACTGTAGATGTGACAGAACGCTTCGTTTTGGCGTGATGCGAGGATGACGGGGGAAGAGACGTGCCCAACGAGGCAATAGCACAGGAACCCTTGGTGACGGGCTAGTCACCCTCCATCTATCGGCTCTGCAATGTCCCTCGACAACGGCAGCCAGCGGGGCAAATAGATGGTGTAGATCATTCCTTCGGCTTATTAGGACCTGAAGTCTAGATTGAACCGGAGTTGCCTGAAGAAACTGCAACTGCCGACTTATTTGACTAACAGCAGACGCAATATATCCCACGCGCCCAGGATTAGAGTCTAGACGTCTTAAAAAGTGGGGACAGCAGCCTTCAAGTTGCTGAGGAAGCATCTGCCCGTGCGCCGGCATCGAGCCCCGAACCGACATTCTGGGCCTCACCTTGAGAAGGAAGATGTATCCTGACTTAGGAAGATATGCTGCGGAGGCATGGGATAGTTGATCACAAGTTTACGAGAAGATTAATATTCGGAACGTGCTCAGCCAAGGCCTAGAAGCGTTTTTGGTGACCACGCCCAGCGGGATCAAAACGCGAGCCATTCCAAAACGGACGAAGGGAATGCGCAGAGCTGGCTACGACGATCATTTGTTTATTCGGGCTAGCTGTCCAATGGGAAGTACTCACTATGTCAAGAATGGAATGTTAGCACCCGACTGTGTTGTGCCAGTTACTCTGGAAATCCGGTATTCGGAAACAGCCTCCGCCTGTTCTTGGACCTTGTCATCCGTGACCGCCCCAGCAAACCGTCCTGCCCTTCTTCCGACACTTGTGCGCCATCCATGCTCCCGCTGAACCCAGATGACGCACTTTATCGATCTTGTTTGATCTTCAGACGGTGGCTGCAGCGTCCTCAAGGTCCCACCCCCATCACCTCAGTCGCCCATTTTTGTTCATATCGTATGTATCTCTTCCATTTTTCCAAGACCCAATTTTTCGTAGGAAACTGGTTACATTATGATCCGTTTTTGTCGCCTTCTATTGTATCGGCAACGTGGGCGTATTGAACTATGAGGAAACAAAGCTTGGATATATTTCATTCACCGCACCCCAACCTCACTCTCGATCCGGTCAGGAATTCCTTCACCACAACTGCATTTCCACAAATGCCAGGAATTCAAATCATTCGAGGTACAAGCTTTCACACATTGGCTCGGACGTGGTATATAAACCGCTGTCCCGAAAGTTCACTAATCCTACTCACAACCCTCTCTCCTACGTCTTTTCTTTCCTCGTCCAACTTGTTGCGTGGCTTAGTGGCAAGGCTTTTCCAAGGTATGCTTGCTGCACTGGTGACTTCTGCCACGTCTTTGACGTCAAACTTTCTCTCCGCTAGGCGAGCGTTTACATTGACAACGTCGGAAGTAGGGATTATGTGGGGTGCACCAAGGTCCTGCGCAATGGATAATCCTGACCCGGCTTCCTCTGGCTCCACTCTCAGACCTTCAAGGGACGTGTGCGCAGCAGGACGTGACTCCAGGAAAATTTCCAGTCATTGCGCGACCAGCGTCCCAGCGCCATCGAATGCCGGGATGCTTAACTCGCTCTCCGCAATCCATCGATACCTCCCTGACGAAATATTGATAGCAATATTTGCCAAGGCTCAGTCCCCAATCACCCTTTCCGCCGTTTGTCATCTTTGGCGCGAAATTTCAATCAATACATCCACTCTTTGGACAACTATCCGTTATGCACACGAAAGGAATAAGTCTACTTCTCTTGATAAACTACGCATATTCGTGGCGCGTTCCCGAAATGCCCAAGTGTCAGTGGATGTTTCAGTACATGGGGACGTGGGTGGACTTGAACAGGTGGCCGGTATACTTGCACCAACCTTCCCGCGTTCCCAATGTCTGTGCTTATCCTTTACCCATCTCAAACCCGCAAAATGTTTTTTCCCACTCCCCCACAACATGGCGGATCTCAAATCGCTTGTCGTCACTCTAGGGTCATCTTCCGATGATCTGATCTTTTCTCGCGGGCAAGATGAACTCTACATCAACATCTTCCAAAAGAGTTTCTCCCCGCCGCGGCTTCGGTCATTTCACCTATTTGCTCCACAACACGTAACTGTCAATTTTCCAGACTTTCTCGACATGAGCGGGATGTCAGCATTGAGTCTCGCTATTCGTATGCCCCCCGCCAAAATGCTTGGATTGGCAGCGCGCGCACCAGGGCTGCGAACGCTTGATTTGATGGCGCATCAATTGGAACCGACGGACGACCACCTAGTTCCTTCATCTTACCCGAACTTGGAACGCCAGAGTATCGCAGGTCATGGCTGGACATCGCTAATTTTCGCCCCATCGCTGCACACGCTCGCACTTTTGGATCAGGCGGCACTTTGCGCTGTTGACAGGGCGATGTCAGTCCGAGGGCGCCGGCCCCTCTTTCCTAACCTACAAACATTATCGCTGATGACTCCTGGGCCTGCGGTACTTGATCAAGGCTCAGAATTCCGCAGTTTGGCGAAATTCATTCAGGAACATAATCAGCTCACCGACTTGGACATCATGGCATGCTGGTCCCCTATTCCCAGAATTCTGTCACTTTCTCTCGGACTGTCTGATCAGCCATCCACGCCTAGCCCATGCCCCAAGTTGCGCATGCTGAGGCTTAGTCTTCTCTACGATGTTGAGCTCACACCCCTCCTCGCAGTGTGTGATAGCCTGCTCACCGAGAGGAGTGTTCTCAAAATCGAGTTTCGTGCGTCGGCAGATTATTCGTCAGACGAACTTAACGACTTTCTCTCCCGTTATCCCCAACGCGTCATTCTTCTCCGAAGGTGATGGCGATCAATCACGTGTTTGCATTTCCATTTTGACGCGCCATTCTGCCGCGCCACTTTTGATTGGGACCCTTGCCTATCGCCATGAGCTCTGGAGCATTACGTGCTAGTCGCGCTGGAAAAAGTACTTCAGTCCTAATAATCTTTCCGTAGTCGATCTGTGACATGCAGTTTTCACCATTTCTTGCACTTTTGTAATGCATTTCTAGTTCTTGCCACCTAGAGATCTCTACTATCATGACCTGTTGGCTAACCCCAAACTCGCTTCTGTGATCTACCACCCCTTTCCGCTCACCTTGATACTCCACGATAGGCCTACTGTTTACGTAAGGCTCTGCGGTGTGGCGAATCAGAAACTTTTGTGGCGTTGTTGTCACCCGCTATTGATATGATCCTGATTTAAGGCAACTATGCCTCTGGGAATTGTCCTAGCTAACATCTCTTATCAGCTGGTGCCCATTGGCAAATCTTGTTCCACATCGAGGAGCGTTGCTGCCGGGAATCGCGCGGCCAGTGGCTTCATCTATCAGGAACCGGCACTGGGCGAATGTTGCAATGTAATGAAGGCAAATCTGGAGGATCACAACTTGTACATGCGTAGCCGAGTGGGGGATGTCGATGAACTCGCTCGGGACACTGCAAATCTTTCAGTTCATGAGGCTGGGTTCTCCAACTCTTCAATCGGTCGATATACAAGAATTCAGCGTTCATCCATCTTATTCTCGAGGCCACCTTGACTCCACTACGGCAGGAGTGGAACAGTGAGTGTGCTCTCTGTGGCCATATTTGAGGCGCTTTCATTCCCTGAAAATTAGTTACCGTTGTCCAACGTGAGACTACACTGGGCATGGCCACTCAGGTGTTTAGCGTTCATTTTACGCCCTCTTGAAGGCTTTCCGACCTATTTCGAAGACGGGGACAGGGAGAACGGAGAGCTATCCTCTCCAACGTTAACGATATAGGCAGTTTACTTTGTCGCGACCCATTTCTGTCTTCGGGTGACGAGACAGATTGAGTGATTTGAAATGCTGTTCACGATTTTCGTGAACCTCCGAATTCCATTAGGCTGGTAACCTGCCTAGAATTCCATCCAATTTGCGAGTTGCGCTGAGCACTCAGTTTGGTGATGCCATGTTAATTATACCCTCATGCACATCGCCTCACGTCCGTTTAGGACGTACTTCCCAGGCGTTTTGTCGTTGCTGGCTCGTCTTTGGGAATATTATGGCCTGAGGACAGTTCCCGCGAAGACATGCTTCCGCACACTTATTATGGGCTGGAAGATTATTCGGGTGAGGGATGCATGGACTTGAAGGGAGCGGCCGGACGCTCATTCTCGAGCTGCAGACATCGTATCGAGGGCACTCTCTCATGGACACGAGGTGGTCTGAGTTTGAGCGCGCGAGCGGAAGGATGCACCATTCCTTTAGCATGATTGCCGAAGCTGACAAGCGCAAACAGGATGTTTGTCTTCAGCTCCTCGAGCACGGCTTTCTGCCCAGTGCCCTCGAGACATCACAATACGTTGATCAACTCGATCCATTTGTTAGGAACCTAAAAAGGGTTTTTCTGACTGACTTTACACCAAGAATCTTGTCGCTGCATAATCTCATACGACATGAGCTTGCTGCTCATCCGAGGAGAATCATTAGGCAGATGGCAGAATTAGTTGGCTGAGGACTTGTGCTTTCTAACATTTCGAGTGGTAGAGTATCTTGAGGCGATCTAGCCCCTGCTTCCTTCGGGGGACTTTCTGGCGAGTTCTGCCTCATGGTTCGGACCCACCCCTGCTTGCCTCGGGTTGTGAAGAATGCCGTCTCAAAGGAGATCATCACTTCCCAGACGGTGCTTGTTGCGATGGACGACAGTTCAACCTATTTAACTGGTACTCAAGATCTCGCTCGTTTACCGCAGCACGCCAGCAAGCCCTGAATGACCCTAGAAGCCAGTGTGCCAGGTGTGGCGAAAGTCAAAAGAAGCCTGCGGATCTTGACACCTCATCCATCACTGCTCGACAGAATGTCAAACGAGGCATGCACATGTTCTTTCCGACAGTCCTATTATTCATCCGCGATTCCCCAACGACTGGAAGAGGATGCATCAATTTGATCGCATCTCGGAAGGTTGACCAATCGCTGTGTCTTTCCTGGTGCCAAGCTCTGGATGTGCTGAATGGAACCATAAACCTAATCCGTGGGTGAGCGAGCCCAATTCATCGGGAAAGGCGTGAATGAAATATAGAGTAAGGGCACATGAGAAATCATTTACAAATGCAGTGAAGTGGGGGCAAAGATGCAAGGGAATGAGGTATGCGGTGAATCATGCAAGATTGAGATGCGGGAATGAATCGATAATGAAACATGGCAAACAGACGTGTTCAAAGAATAGGAAAGAAAAGCAGGCAAGATTCGGAGAAACTTAAGAGCTGAACCAATTTAATTATTTGATGATTTTTGAAGTAGACTTGCCACCCTCCTGGGTGGTAACTGTAAGTAGATCAGCACTGGCCGGGAAACTCATCTAAGCTAGAACCCGTACCTCGGAATCCTAGTTGCTTCAGCACAGCAAGCAGGTCAGCGCGTTGCACTGGTTTGGCGAGGGATGCCACGAACACCCCATTCGAGGATTCGGAATCTAACATGCTGTACGCGCTGACAGCGACGGTCGGAGTGTTGGCGTTTTTATTGTTGGTGCTTTTGATGTATCTAGCTGCCGTCTCGCCATCGACTAGTAGAGCGTCAGTGAAATGATCAGGCATGAGTACAACGTCATACCATTCGGCATGTTGAGATCCATAAGTATTAGATCGAACTCTGCATTACATAAATAAGTTGACACGAAGAGTGAGCGGGAAGTGACATCACATACTTATATCCCCCAGTGCGACAGAGATTGCTTCGGCGCCGTCGCTGACCAAGACGCAGTGGACACCCATCCGCGTCAAAAGCGTCTGATGAGAAGCCATCAGCAGAAGCTGCATCTCGACATGGACGACTATACCTCAAGAATCTTAATGGAGATCGGATTATCCTCGGCCAGGAGACATGTGACAACTTTATCGGAAATGTCCTTGTGCTTACGTTCAGAAACGCTTTGTGACAGGGAGGTATGCGGAGTTTCTGCAGGTGTCCTCTCAGTTGGCCAGGGTTCCACGCCGGCGAAGTCCGAACTAGACATGGATGAGGTACGAAGACGACTGGGCATCGAGTTTCGCCGATGACCATCCATATCAAGATGACTGTGTTTGAATCTCTCGACTGGTCCAAACTCAGATGGACGACGGACATGATTGTTTGCGCTGGCGGGCGTGGATGGACCACGAGAGAAGGCTGACATCCCCGAAGATGTTGAATTGGAAGGAGATGGAGGAATCTGTATCGCCGACGCTGGATTAGGCATCTGGGAAGGGGTGTCGGCTAACATTGGTGACCTCGACAAGGATTCACTCACCCGGTCGGAGGGAATCGGTATCGGAGGGGGTGGCGGAGGCGGAGGCGGCGGCGGTGGATGAATGTTAAGAGCCTTCGGCCCTCGCTGTGAAATACTTCTCCGACGATCGATATGGGACGTAGGTGGTTCGGTGAGCGGTTGATTAAGGGACGACATTACTGGACTTGCGGTTTCTGATGGCGGTGAGGCTTGCATCTTCCGAATGAGTTCGTCGTTGGCTTGCTTCAGCACAGGCAAGTTCTTGAAATTGAATGTACCAAACTCGTCGGTGTTGGAGGTAAATACCTCCCGGACAGGGGATTGCTGGTGTGATGACGGAACAGAAGGATTCTCGTCCTTCGTGCTGCCGGCAAATGAGGGCCTCCCTGTCACAGCCACCAATTCGTCATCATGAAACAGCTGAGGAATTGCTCCACGAGGATCAAAGTAATCCGTCGACTCAGGATCCGTGACGGATGGTACGAACTGTGGTTCCGAAGTCATTACGTTATTCCAGTCGACGTCAGCCAAGAACGGATGCTGCTTCACTTCCTGTGGACCATTGCAGCCCAGCCGTTGTGTGGGATCGGTGCACATAAGACGTTCCATGAAGTCCCTGGCCTCAGGTGAAAAGTCAACCCAGTCTTCGTGCCAGTCAATCCGCCGGGAGATAATGTTCTCGAATACTTGCTCCGGTGCGTCGGCATGAAATGGAGGAGCACCATATAAAAACTCGTACGTGATTACGCCAAGAGCCCACTGTAAAGATCAGAATGGTGAGCGTCAGAATGTTAGGACGTAATCTCGACGAACCCAGTCCACCACCCTGTCCTCTCCCCCGTATCCGAGAATAATCTCTGGTGCCAGATAATCCGGTGTACCAACGAACCGCGGCTCTTGAGGAGTACTGGTTGTACTTCTTCCCAAGTGAGCATTGGAACTGGAGTGGGATCGGAGATCATTGGTGAGATCAGCGAATGATTGGACAGGACTATCTTTCGGCTTGCGCTTAGTCGAAGAAGACCGTTTAAGGAACATACTTGATATGCTCTCCGACCCACTAGATTCGCTGACATCATCCCCTGTGTTGGTCAGATTTACAGCAGATGAATTGGTTCGCGAATTGAAGTAGGTCTGGCTCGTGGAGTCAGAGACACTCTGAAATGGTGATCCAAGGCGAGGAGAATCAATGGATGTAGATCTCGATATACTACTGCCATGCCCGCTCCCACGGTGATCTGGAGCGCGGGCGTCACGAGTTTGTCGGTTTAACAGCCCAATCCGACTAAGGCCGAAGTCGGTCAACTTGAGATGCCCACGTTGATCGATAAGCAGGTTGTCCGGTTTAAGATCACTAAGAGGGAAATTATTTCTGGTCTGGGTAAGCTGAATAAGAAATTTACCGGTGAATGACGCCACGAGCATGTAGATATTCCAATCCGAGAATTATTTCAGCAATATACGCCTTAGTCCATTCTTCTGGAAGAGATCCAAGGGCCTTAACGAGGGCTGCGCAATCGCCCCCATTCAAATACTCCATCACGAGGTAGAGGTTATCCTTGCTTTGAAATGTGTAGAAGAGCTTTACGACAAACGGCGAGTCCGCCTGCTTCATGAGAATCATGCGCTCAGCCTTCACATTAGTGATCTGATTCTTCGCAATCATATCCGCCTTACGCAAGACCTTGATCGCATAATAGTCACCAGTAACTTTTTTCTTTGCAAGAAATACCGAACCGAAGGCGCCTTTGCTGATAGGTTTCACGATATCGAAATCTTTAATCGAGGCAGGTTGTGTCTTTGGCGGTCCGATAGTGGAGATACGAGGAGAAGGAGGTCCGGGAAGTATAGCGCTCCCAGCGACAGAAACCGCTGGACTGAGCATAGGGATATTCGACAACCGCCGCTTGTGACGAGGGTTGTCTTGAGCTGATATAGAAGGTGATACCGGGGGGGTGAGGACAAAGCGCGGTTCCCCACCTGTCGCAATCATCGTGGGAGCTCGTGTTCGAACTGTCTGAGCACTATTTTGCAATGGGACCTGGATTGATGACATACTCCCAGCTGCACTCGGAGGCAGCTGAAGTTCCAGAGGATTGTCTGGTGCGGAATCGATGGACGCAACAATTGGAGCAGCAATAGCCAGCGGGGACGAGATGGAAGGAGGCGTAGATGCGCGGGAGATTGAAAGGCGGGATGACGAAGGGTGGAGTATGGCACCTATAGCGCTCCGCCATCCGCCACGTCCCCTACTAGGAGCAGGCGACGCAGGCTGTATAGGTGTCGGGTACATACATTGGTCAGTATCAGCGGCATCGAAAGCATATTCGGAGGTGGCGCTCGAAACGTCTCCTCGCTCGGAGCTGGCTGCGATAGATGACGGATTCATTATGGATTGCTCTTTAGAAGCGCTCACAGCGGCCTCCACATCTGCTTGTCGCTGGAGATAATCATCCTCCCATTCCTGTCGGACTTTTTCAGAATATCGCACCGTATTCGAAAGGCGGTTCACTTCCTCCAGCTTGGACCGAACAAGCATAGCGGCGTCGTTAACAAGGTTTGCAAGCGCGGGATCATCTGAGGTCGGTCGAGTCCAATTGCGTGCGCGGATCATACGCTCTACAGAGTCCGGAGAGAGCACGCGTTGGCGCTCAATCGGTTCATGGGCCTGGTCCTCCCTAAGCCCCGGCATTGAAATATCCTGAGAGGTCTGAAGTATCTCTTCAATTTGACTCAGAAGCTTTTGTTGCAGCTTTCGCACGCTGGCCTTCTGAAGCCGAGCGGAGAGTGGAGGCTTAAAGAACTGGGTGAGTGATGATGAGGGAGATGAAAGTGCCGGTGAAAATATCGGTTCTCCACGATATTCAGGAGCACCATTCACAGCAGGTCTGTCCAAAGCCGTCTTGAGCTCGCGCACTGTATTTCGTAACTCAGCGATGCTTTCGTTAATCTCAGCGATCGAAGCCTCTATGCGGTGCTCCTCCATGCACGTGTCGTTATGTTTAACGAAGAACCAACTTGGTATCTCCACCTCGCAGATACGGCAGAGGATGGAGCCCGTAGGCACATCCTTAAGATAGGGAAACGGCGTGACGGGTTCAGTGATAGCCCGACGGTGAAATCCAGGACCCGCTGACGCAGGCTCTCCTAGTGCATCTGGGTGCATCCCATCACCAATCTCTGGAGGCCCAAGAGGCTTAAGTACCCACATCGTGTGGGAAGGAGTGGCATCGGCGCGATCATACATCAACATGCCTTTGCCTTCCATCTCACGATACCATTGCTCGCCATCATCAACATCCGATGGTTTCACCTTAATCCGAAAATGGACTTCAAGGGTGTGTGAATCATCCTCCTGGAGCTGACGAGTCGCTTCGGCAAAGACGTCGGAATCAGATTCAGCGAGATGCTCCGATATAGGCGTCCCAATAAGTTGCTCGGGGTCGGTACTATGAGCAATAGAACGTTAGCCGGACTGCTCCGAGTTACGGACACGCAAGTGGGACGAACCCAATGACATCAAACCAGGCTGGATTGATCCAAGCAAACTGCTGCCCATGCTCACCGTCCAACGATAGTTCGAGCACAATGTTCAAACTTTGGGCTTCCTCAGCCTGTTGACGTAATGTTTCTGAAGCTTCTTCCCTCGAAAGCTCTGGAGGTTCCGCAGAGGGCAAGCCTGGAGATTCAACCGCTGCAGACTGCTCCGAAGGGTGGACACCCGCGGAAGCGGTAACCTGCGGAAGCGATGCAGATCTCTGCAAACGCTTCAAATTGGAAGAAGACGACGCCCTTGTGGATGTCCGTTCGTCAGATTGCTGTGACGGAGAAGACGGGCGGGACTTCGGTTGATGATCAAATCGACCAGTGGCGGAAGCAGTAGAGGGTGCAGAAGCATCATTAACAAACCCCTCTCGAGTTTGCGGCTTCAAAACAAAAGTAAGTTGCTCGGTCGCGTCCCCTTCGTCTCCTTCGAAATTCCAAAACTGTCGCTCCGCCTCGAACCACTCCACCACCCGACTTAAACTGGCCACTGCCAGTAAGAGTTGCACATACCAATGCCTACCATGCCAATCCGGGTGCTCATCCCAAGCTTTTCCAATCTTCTGAACATTCTGAACAAGTTCGGAGCAAGCTTTTGGCTCGGAGGTCAGTTTGGATATGGGCATATCGATGATATCCGTAGCAATCGCAATTACGGCCTGAAGTGTTGGCATGAAAGTATCAGCGGGAGGAGTAGGGGGTTGGTAATCCTCGTATTCATATCGTGAGGACCCTCGATTTCCCACGCCCAAGCTGGGTGACGATGATAATACAGTACTTCCAATGAAAGCATTGGTGTCACTATAGCTGGTTGACGTTGTCTGACTTGTCTGAGGCATGGGAGAGCGGGACCGCGATGGTGACCGGGAACTAGCACCAGAAATGGGTGCCACGGGAGCCCGGACACTTCTAGAAAAGCGACGCGATAAGCCACTTCCTCCGCTTGACTTTGTTGGGGTCTGGAGCGGCGTGCGTTTGGTAGGGCTAATATCACTGTTACTAGAGTGGGGAACTGTAGACGGGGACGCAGTAGGATTTCGATGAGGGAGAGAGGAGTGGCGTCTGAATGAATTCGGACTTGAATTGGCAGTGGAGGCTGAGGGAGATAAATGTGAGAAACGATGCAAGATAAAACGCGGGGGTGAGAAATGTTCGGTATTGAACTTACGGTGCCGACCGTGAAGACTGCTCACGGGAAGGTCAATATCAGCTTCATCACCTCCATCCTCACTGGCGGTATCCAAAGGCATGACTGTGGGGGGAACATCATCATAGTCTGCTTCCTGAATGCGCTCCTCCACATAAGTTGTAATCGACTGAACGACTTTTTTAAGCTCTTTGTCGCAAGATTCCTTCGCGTGCCCCAATCGCCGCCGCACATGACGCTTGATATACAGTTGATTTCCAGCATGAGCAGCTGGCGTCGTTGCGGGCGTTGGCACTACTGGCGGTGTGACAGTAGGCGTTTGCAGGATTTGGTGGACCTCCTGAGTAGGCGACGTTGTCACGGGGGAGTGATGGAAGGACCAGGGTCGGTCGAAAGCAGCAGAGGTTTTGAAGGAAGCGTGTCGTGAACAGAATCTCCAGTGCCACTGCCAGGATTGAGATCCATCTAGTGGGCCCGGGAGGGCTGGCGAGCTGCCAGGAAGGTGCTCGTTATTGTGTACGAGACGAAGCAGAAAGAATGTAACCTCGAGATGGTCGTTCGCAAAGCGGCTGCAATGAAACCGGACACTCCCATTAGTTATTTAATTGAATTGACTATTTTGCACGCAATCTTTTGAACCTGGTACTACTCAAGTCTCATGCTAACTGCTCAAAAGAGTAAAAGGGACAACCCCCCATCACCTGGCGGCGTCTCGCGTCTGGCTAGCTCGAAATTCTCCCTGCCATGGACGATGGCCTGATTCTCCAAAACAAGCTTCCGCCATTCAATGCCATCACCGGCAACTCCCGTAACCGAACCTCAATTCCCACCAGATGCAACGCCTCTTGCGAACGTCGATTGTGACATTACCGAGCCTCAAATCAAGATCCCTCCATATATCTCCACCCACTCTCTACGCCGTCAGGCCAGCGTCTCACACCGTCGGCTATAAGGCTGGCCCTGATCCACCAGACATACGCAATGACTTGAATGCCGTCGCGGACGATATTCAGGCAGAGGCGGACAAAAAAGAGGCTGGTGTGTTATAGGGGCCGCTTCGGACTCCCTCTCTTGTTTTGTTACTACTCAGCTAAATGTTGTAATGCCAGAATCTAATGAGGCAGAGTCGCTGCCTGCAGCAAGATACAAAGGGTTCAAGGAAGGGCAGGTGGGTGACCCATTTGAGTTATATGCCCCCCCTGCTTCCTCGACTTTCGCGATTAAATATATTATCTTTCGGCCTTTAATCTCGTTTGATGTATTCCCGGTCTTTCTATCACACCTCTTGATCCCATAATGTGGTTTCCAATCATGAATGCCTCTTTCTCGTGTTCCATCTCGACCAAACCTTTCATTCCAATAGGAATACAAGCCATTCGACTTCAAGAAGAACCGCAGGCTCGACAAGCCCCAACGCCAGCCCCAATATGTCCCTCGATTTGGTCCTGGTGCCCGACTGGCTGCACACAACGATCCTTTCTTGCATCTTGACATAGATCCACTCAAGGAAGCCATGAATGACGCACTGTTGAGCAGATTTCTCACTACTATGGGGAAAATCAAGAGGAGGAATGAAACTGGCTTGTCGAGAAAAAGTCAACGAAGAATTGGCAAAGCAGTGCGGCGGGCTCGGTCGATGGGAATACTTCCAATGATGTCCAGGCCAATAACATCTGAACAATACAGATCACCTTAATGACGCTCCCGTTAACTCTTTGTCTCTCGTCCCATCATATTGACCATTTCGATGTCTATAACAATATAATTCAAACACAATTACATAGCTAGCGAACCAGCAACACATGAACCCAACGCATGCGGATGTGCCGAACTACAGGGTCCGTCATACCCATCATGGTCCCAAGACCTGGTCACAAGGACACTCTTAACAAAGGTAGTCCCTTCTGGCTGCCTACTGTCACCTGAGCCGCCCTCACCAAAAAAGGCGCGTCCGTCCCGATAAGAAATCGTATAAATGTACTCAAAGCCGAGATCGGGGAAATAAAAATTTAATTTCGCGACATATCCTCATGTACGTGAGACGATCCTTACATGGCCTAAGTGGCATTTTCACTTACTCAGGGGCTGCTAGTCTGAAGGGGGCAAGTTGCCAACACACAGCCCCATGGCTAACATATTTGCAACCATGACGAAGAATCACTAATGACAACTCAGATTGAGCATGATACACAGGATAAGGATAAGGAAAACGCAAGAAAAATTACAGGTATGTTGGCAAGATTTGATGAATGCTGGTTGGCCCAGAGCCATCTCCCTGGACTAGGAGATCAAGGAAACTATTATCTTTCGCAACGTTGTCATTTTTCAGTTGTTCGACCTTACGCGATGATGGGATTCGTCATATCAACCAAAATTCAGATTATATCTAGCCAGGATACGAAAACACGTACTTGATCTCGCGTTACTGTCAGCAGGTTCGTGGGTAGTTTCTCAAGCACGAACCCTTGGGCCTTGCCAACAACGAAAGGTAGCGAAAGAATTGGACGCTTGCGGCCCGTGTATTTAAGTACCAGTTCCATCATTTCTCTATATGTGAATACTGCCAACAGTGGCATGTTGAACGCATATAATGATAAGCGATAATGACGCACCCTCAGGGCCTCCTGCCTCGATGACCTTTCCAGCTGTGTGGTGCGAAATATTACTCCCAGGTCTAGTGGAAAGGTCCATAAAGCGGGCAATGTCACCAGCATACACTGGCTGAAATCGTGTCGATCCCCCTCCAAACACTGGTAAGAACGGAAGAAAGCGTGATAGTGCAGCAAATCTCTAGTAGGCAAGGTTGGAATGGGGTCTCGGAAGATGTATGACCACACACAGCAAAGAATCCATCTCCTGGGCCGAAAATGAGGGATGGTCGTATTATGACAGCATCCGGCACCTCCTGACGCACGAATTCCTCAGCAAGCCCCTTTGTTCGAAAATAGGGAATCGAGCCTAGTTCATGTTATTCGCTAATTCTATTCGTCATAGGGAAAAGGAATAACTCACTGTTGGGGTCCGCTCCAATCGCACTCACATGAATCAAACGAGCTCCAGCTTCCTTAGCAGCCGTAGCGACATTTTGTGCGCCCTTCCATTGGATTTCTTCGAACTGGCGCTGTGTCCCATGCAACACGCCGACCAGGGAGACCACAGTGTCCGCTGACTCAAATGCAGGCTTCAGGGTAACTGGTTTCGTGACATCAAGTTGAAAGGGTTGTCCGAAGCGAGAAATGTGTGGCGGTTCGGGAGAAGGCTGCTCTGATCTACCTTGACGGATGATCCTGTCATGAAGTGGGTATGGGGCACGCGATGCTAGATGGATAATATACTGGGGATTGCGGGCAAATTGATGGGCGATATATGAGCCTTGACATGAGCGATCGTAGGGACTCCTTTGAGGATCAGGGATCCATATAAACTCACCAAGGAAACCAGCCCCACAAATAACGACTTTATTGGTGGCCATAGTGAAAGTGCAGCTCCCCAAATCTCTAGGCTTTCCTAGCTCACCATTCAAAATGAGTCATCCAGCGCTCGACCAGTCGCGTGACCCACACAAAGATGAACACCAGTAGTGCTCGGTCGTTGCTCTCATTGTTCTTGTTGTTGGGAGTAGCATTAGGTGCACTTGCTTCGGAATCAGCACTTTATAAGATACATCACCGCGTACACTCGCTAGAGTTCTCCTTACGGGCTACTGTGACACTCAGGAACAAGGATGGCGTCCTGAAGGCATTCTACGAAAGTGTGAAGGATAGAGGCACTATTAGCCTGGTTCCGGATAGCGAGGAGGGATATTACCAGGTCGCTCTGGAGTACCCTTTGGGCACCCCTTCTGAGAACTGGCCACTTGTGTCTGCCAAAGCAGTGAGTTCTGCAACTTTCCTCCAATCGTTCTGATAATCTTAACGTTATTTTTCTAAGTGTCACCTATCTCCTCGGACCTCTGATGTTTTGACACTAGTAGCTGATGGGAATGGGATTGTCTCTCGCCTCAACTACCACATCCTAAATATTCCGCAGGACGGCTCATGCCCGAGCGTTCGCCCATCTATTCCACCCACGTTCAATACGACCGTTCATATAAAGCATCCTAATCCTGTACCAACGTCAGTGATGAGTCTTGTAAGTAACTCGTATCTCATCTGTTCTTTTCAGCCCCATACTCCGTCCTCTGCCTGCGATCTCACCCGATGGTCGACCCGTTCAACCGCCTCCGGAAAAATCATTTTTACAGAAGGTTAGCTTCTCCCGAAGGTGATATTTTCATCTGTTGACCCTGTAACTATTGCAGTACTGGATATATATTCTTCCACTCTTTATCATCCTGCTGATCACCCCAGAGGACGAGCCGCCGCCGAAGAAGTAATTATATTATCATGTTGGGCTGGATACAATAGAACCGTGCCATACCGAGTAGCCCATCATAGCAGGACTCTAACGTCCGGAATCTTGATCCCTTACCCCCTGTCGTGCGACTACTCCCGATCCCCTACGCGTTGATCCTTGCAGCCTATTAATAAAAGGATTCTTCATGGAACATCCGCATGGATTGAGAGAAGCACATCTGGGATCAATTCCTGGAGGCCATTCACTGCGCAGACTCTCGGGCACATAGTCTAGTTCGGCTCATTCACCCTCTCTCATTGCTGCTGCCTCGATATCTGCTATGTCACCCCAATACTGTATGACTCTCACTGGCATGCTGTTCGTATCTCAATGGCCAAACCCCGGAGTTTGTTGACACTGAAATTCCTTTATATATTTCCGCCGCAATTTCGCCCGAGATCTAGTTGAGAAACCCCTTCGGACACTATCTACACATTAGGTTGAAACAATGGAGTAGTGTTATACCGGCCCTAATCGAGTATATTGTACCGGTCTGGACTGTTGCGAGGATTGTCATCATTATGTGCACATGTTCAACAAGTGGCGGTCACAGACGCGAACGCCTTAATGGAGAAAACTTCACATTGTCACGGCCACACATCTTCCACATTCTCACTGACAGTAGGTTATGCGTTTGTTACATGTCATTGACGCCGACACTACATATATTCGTCAAGTTGCACACTCAGTAATAGCGATAGGGGTTCTTCTTCGGTTTGTCCTTCCCCCAGGGCTCGTCAATGTCATATCCTTGCATGGTTGCCACCATGCATACGGTACCGTAGTCCGCATGAACCGAGGCAGGCTCATTGCCGTGAACAACATAATCTACCCTGACGAAAAACTGAGGATTGCCAGTAACCTCGATCATTCCTAGCTGTCGAGGGCTGCGACCTCCTTGGCAAATGACGATTCCGTTTAATCCGCTTTCACTTTCCTCGCCCCACGCGTCGAGCTGATCTACAGATCGAGGGAGTATTGCACACACTTCACCCTCGTCATCTTCACTCAAAAGGCCACAGTACTCGGGATCGCCAGGGAAGAGAACGTGGTGAAAGGTGACGGTGACGCCCGTTTGAACCAGCAAATGGTAAAGCACGGCGTCACGACCTTTGAGCTGAAAGGAGAAATGAAGTATGAATATGAATATGTTATAGGGGCCGAGCTGAGTAATGCGTCGTCCCTACCTTGTGCTTAACTGAATCAGCCATATCGCTCATCCCATCTATGGGCTAGTCAAGTATGCACGTCAGCCGTCGAAAAAGTGCACAAATGACCAATAACTCACATATCTGTGTTCCAAATGGAAACACAGACGAGGGTGATCTTTGGTGAATATGCCAGGAGCAGTGAGTGCACGATGTAGCAGTTCAATCTTGGGATCTCGAGATTTAGCTACGATCTCGGCGCCGAATGGTTCAGCACCGTTGTTGGGGTAGTCAAATGAGAGCGTGAATGTGAGTGTCACTCTGTCGAATATCAGAAACGATCCCAACAATGCATACTTGAACATGCTCACCGGTGGCCGCTTGTGACTGGCAAAACTTCATGCTCACAATCGGAAAAGAAGGCAATCCACTCGAGATCTGTACCACTTCCCCATTTCGTGGTGTACTCATCGCGTTTCAGGTCAGTGTCGTTGCCTGTTATCGTCGGCGCCCTGACCACAAGCTGACCTCCCTCGTGTCTGACGGGCAAGTTGACTAACAGCGTTCCGAACATGTCTGAGGAGCGAGCGGCGCCGACGCGTCCCCCGAAGAAGTCTCCCTCGGAGTAAACGTTAAGTTTGTCCAGTCGAGCAATGATCCGAGCGCCTCCAACGTCTTCATCCTCATCCACAGTATAGTAGATGTCCGGGCGATCGGTCAGGTTTTTGGTAAGAAGGGAAAACGAAGGAAGAAGCATCCTCGAAATTGAATTGAGGATTCCCAGATCGTGGGGGTCAAGACTTCCTGCAGGATAGATCGCAAAGTCTTTCTTCTGCAGCACGAGAGCGCGACGGTACGAAGGATCAAACACCTCTTCCCCTCTCTTCCCAAATGACGCCTGACTGGACGCATTGATGAGAGGCACGATGTCGCTCTTATTCTTTAGTGGGAAGGAGACAGGGGTGAATTTGGGTGGTAAATCGCCAGACGCGTCCTGAACCAGAATGGCAATGGGCTTATTCTCATCAAATGGCAAGCTGCCGGCGCAATAGAAAGGACGCTTGGTCGCCTCAAGGGCAGAGATAAGGCTCTCAAACCCTTCTGGGATCTTTTTGCTTTCAGTGTTGTCCGTCATTGCAAGGAGGCAGAAGAAGTGGACAAGGTACTGGGTCGATGGACTTGGGGAATAAAATCTTTTTCCATGTCCAACTTGACCCAAGGTTTCGGTGCCTAGCTACGTGCCGTTAATCCATTCAATCCAGGTTTGCGGAACATCGTGTCGTAAAGGAATATTTCTTGCAGCCAACCAGTAGAAGATGAACTTTGTGGTATGGCGTTTCGCAATTCAGGATCGGAAAAGGCATTAAAAATTGATATAACTTCAACGATCTGACACTCGTGTGGCACAATGTCGTAGTTACATGGCTGATATCATATCGGGGCTGTCTGGGCTCTTTGGGCTGGTGTAGAGAAGCTGGTCACCTGCCTAGTCGGCAGTGGAGTGTGTAGCACCGCCCTGGCCGTCGGGGATGATCACCCTTACTATGTTCTGCATGCAACCTGCACTCGCGGAAGAGGTTTCAGGCTGAGGTTCGCGAACCCCTCCACGCGCGGTGGTTAGTTGTAGGCAGTGCCTATACGCATACATTCAAGGATTACAAACATTCCAGATTGACCACATATCGTCCATTCCGGCGACGCCCAAACCTCAGTCTGATGGAGTCTGAGTTTCACTGGTTAGCAATAGCAGGACCCATTTCGAAGTCAGAAGCGGGGTCACACAAGATTCAGGATCCGGGGATGTTCCATATGTACACGCTCTCAAGCGCCATGGCCGAGATCGTACAACAAACCACAACCTTGATAGAAGAAAGGTGGCCCTGTCTTACGCAGATCGCAGGCGGTCAAGACGTAGACTACTCGTGTATATATACATCACCATCATCGTCCATAACACTCAATATACCTTTTGACGCCTCCATGGCTCATAAACATCAAATCTTTGCAGGGTTGCATGTCACCATGCATACAGTACCACCAACCAATCGTGTGCGGTAAAATTCACCCCTAACGAACTTTTTAGGATCTCCATTCACCTCGATGATCGCTCCAACCCCGATGCGCTTATTCTATTCGTCGCAGAGCAAAGGAGTAACGCAGGGTCCGCTCCAATATGAACCAAACGTGCCCTAGCTTCAGCAGCCGTAGCGATATTTTGTGCGCCCTTGCATCAACTGGCGTCCCACACCGACCAGGGAGACCACAGTGTCCGCTGACTCAAATGCAGGCTTGACATAAGGTTGCTCGAAGCGAGAAACATCGGGAGAAGGCTGCTCTAATCCACCTTGACGGATGATCCTGTCATGGGGCACGCGATGCCAGATGAACAATATACTGAGGGTTGCGGGAAAATTGATAGGTGATGTACGGGCCCTGGCGTGGGCGGTCGTAGGGGCTTCTTCGAGGCTCACGCCACACCAGAGGCTCTATTGATAATGCGACCGTTATTCAAAGTGAGTCATCATCAAGTTGGATGGTCGCGTGATCCATACAAATTCCGCCAAGTTGCTCTTGCAGCATTAGCAACCCCGAGGATCATAAACCCCGACGACACGCACCCGTACACCCTTCTCTCGTAATGATGATCCCCTCATGGTACCAGACGGGTCCGGATAGCCGCACTGCCACGTGACAACGAGGCCGCGGGGTAATAACCAGATTCTCCTCTTGCAGCATTAGCTGCACTCGCTTCGGAATCAACACTTTATCGGATACATCACCACATGTTGAATAGACTAGTCAGTTAGTGACGTAGCGCTTGCGGCTACACTCGCGCTATAACGAAGGGACCTGAGGTAAGACCAAAAGATACTTTTTATTTAAGCCTAGCTAATTGTGTATTTATACTACATCGGGGCTATGCTACGGATCGACCGACGCACGGTCGCGTCGGGGGGGCGGTGTCGTATCGCCTCTATGACTTGTATTCCAACAACATACACTCACTAGAGTTCTCCTTATGGGCTACTGCGACACTCAGGAACGAGGATGGCGTCCAGGAAGCATACTACGAAAGTGCGGATGATAGAGGCACTCTTTCTGGATAGCGAGGAGGGATATTGCTAGGCCCATCTTGAGTACCCTTTGGGCACCCCTTCTGAGAACTGGCCACTTGTACTTGTGTCTCCCAGACTTAGCAGTGAGCTCTGCAACTTTCCTCTAATCTTGCTGTTATTTCTCTAAGTGTCACCTATCGCCTCGGACCTCTGATGTTCTGACACCCGTAACTGATGGGAGTGGAATTGTCTCTCATTTCAGCTACCAAATCCTAAACCTTAGGATGGCTCATGCCCGAGCATTCCCCATCCACGTTCAATTCGACGGTTCATATGAAGCATTCTACAACGTCAGCGATGAGTCTTTTAAACACCTCCTACCCCATCTATTCTTTTCAGCCCTATGCTCCGTCCTCTGCCTGCGATGGCACCCGATGGTCGACCTGTTCAACCGCCTCCGGAAAAATTATTTTTACAGAAGGTTACCTTCTCCCGAAGGCGACATTTATATCTGTTCACCCCGCAAATTATCGCAGTACTGGATATATATCCTTCCACTCTTTATCATCCTGTTGATCACCCCAAAGGACGAGCCGCTGCCGAAGCAATCATATTATTATGTTGGGCTGGGTACAATAGAGTAGCACTTTGTTCCGTCATATGTAGTACTCCGGATCCCCTTCACGTTGATCCTTGTGGCCTATTAATAAGAGGGTTCTTTACGGAACTTCCGCATGGATTGAAAGAAGTCTATCTGGCTCAATTCCTGGAGGCCATTCACTGCGAGCCAGGATTTAACTCGACTCTCGGGCGCATAATTTCGGCTCGTTTGCCCTCTCTCATTGCTGCTACCTCGATATTTGCAATGTTACCTCAAGTACTGTCATCGGCATGCCGTTCATATGTCAATGACCACACCCGAGAGTCTGTTGACATCTAAATTCCTTCCGCCTACCTGTGCAATTTTGCCCAAGGTCTAGTTGAGAAACCGCGGACACTCTCTACACAATTAGGTTGAAGAGTCCCTAATCGGGTTACCGGTGTTCCTTGGACTGTGCACATGTTCGCTAAATCGCGGTCACAGAAAGGGCCCCACGCGAACGCCTTAATGGAGAAATTTCTCATTGACAGTAGGTTATGCGTTTGTTACATGTCATTGACGCCGACACTCGTCAAGTTACACACTCAGTAATAGCGATAGGGGTTCTTCTTCGGTTTTACTCCCTCCAGGGCTCGTCAACGTCATGTCCTTGCATGGTTGCCACCATGCATACGGTGCCGTAGGCCGCATGAACCGAGGCAGGCTCATTGCCCTGAACAGCATAATCTACCTTGACGAAAAACTTAGGATCTCCAGTAACCTCGATCATATCTAGCTGCCGAGGGCTGCGACCTCCTTGGGTAATGACAATTTCGTCTAGTCCGTTTTCTTCTTCCCCATGCCCTTCGAGCCGGTCTACAGATCGGGGGAGTATTGCACACACTTGATCATCGTCATCTTCACTGATACCGCATTCCTTGGGATCGTCAGGGAAGAGAACGTGGTGAAAGGTGACGGTAACGCCCGCTTGAACCAGTAAATGGTAAAGAATGGCGTCACGGCCTTTGAGCTGAAAGGAGAAATGAAGTATGGATATGGATATGGATATGTTATAGGGGCCGAGCTGAGTAATACGTCGTCCCTACCTTGTGCTTAACTGAATCAGCCCTCTCGCTCATCCCGTCTATGGGCTAGTCAAGTATGCACGTCAGCCGTCCAAAAGTGCACAAATGACCAATGACTCACATATCTGTGTTCCAAATAGAAACACAGACGAGGGTGATCTTCGGTGAATATACCAGGAGCAGTGAGTGCACGATGTAGCAATTCAATCTTGGGATATCGAGATTTAGCCACGATTTCGGCGCCGAATGGTTCAGAACCGTTGTTGGTGTTGTCAAACGAGAGCGTAAATGTGAGTGTCACTCTGTCGAATATCAGAAACGATTCCAACCACGCATACTCGGACATGCTCACCGGTTGCCGCTTGTGACCGGAAATACTTCATGTTCACAGTCGGAGAAGAAGGCAATCCACTCGAGATCTGTACCACTTCCCCATTTCGTGGTGTACTCATCGCGCCCCAGGTCAGTGTCACTGCTTTTTACTATCGGTGCCTTGACCACAAGCTGACCCCCCTCGTGTTTGACGGGCAAGTTTATCAACAGCGTTCCGAACATGTCTGAGGAGCGAGCGGTGTCGACGTGTCCCTTGAAGAAGTCTCCCTCGGAGTAAACGTTGAGTTTGTCCAGTCGAGCAATAATCCGAGCACCTCCAGCGTCTTCATCCTCGTCTAGAACATCGTATTCATCCTCGTCCGAAGCACTAGACATTTCTTCATCTTCATCACTCATCTTTTTAGCAGGAAGGGAAAACGAAGGGAGAAGCATCCTGGAAATCGAGTTGAGGATTCCCAAATCGTGAGGATCAAGGCTTCCTGCAGGACAGATTCCAAAGTCTTTCTTGTGCAGCACGAGAGCGCGACGGTACGAGGGATCAATCACCGCTTCCCCTCCCATCCCAAATGACGCCTGACTAGACGCATTGATGAGAGGCATGATGTCGCTCTTATTCTTTAGTGGGAAGGAGACAGGGGTGAATTTGGATGGCAAACCGCCAGACGCATCCCGAACCAGAATGGCAATGGATTTATTTTCATCAAGTGGCAAGCTGCCGGCGCAATAGAAAGGACGCTTGGTCGCCTCAAGGGCAGAGACAAGGCCTTCAAACCCTTCTGGGATATTTTTGCGTTCAGTGTTGTTCGTCATTGCAAGGAAGCAGAAGGAGTGGACAAGGTGAGGTTCGATTTAACGAGTTCTCGGGTTATTAAAGCTAGCACGCAACTCGGAACCGCGTCCAGGTGGACACGGGTCGATGAACTTGGGGAACAGAACCTTTCCCATGCCAACTCGACCCACGCGACAAGGTTTTAGTTCAGCTTCGGTGCCGTGACGTTAATCTACTGATCAATCCAGGTTTGCGGTACATCGATCTTACAACTCACGAGTAGGGGGTGAACTTGATTATGACTTCGATGGTCTGGACACTTGTGTGGCGGAATGTTGTAGTTACGTGACTGGGACTGAGGGGAACGCGAGTGTGCAAGCACCAATTTTCGTACAGGTTGCACGGGTCGCTGGGGATAATTATCCTTACTTCGCACTCGCGGAAGAGGTTTCAGGCCGGAATGTCTGTGATCCTTGAATATGACTGCCTAGATTGACCACATTATCCAATAGCAGGACCCATTTCGATTCAGAAGCGAGTTCACACAGGATTCAGGACCTGCGGAAGTTCCGCACGTGCAACAAACCAGGTTACCACCAACCCCTCCCCTTTCTGCCGCCTCAGTTAACTGTGCTCCTTAGACGGAGTTGTATGGAGGGAGGAGGTGCGTGGAAGAAATCGCGCGTTCCCTGCGGTATAAGTACATTCTGGAGAACGCATTGCATGAGAGTGGGATACATTTGGGAGGAGGTGAAAATCGTCGCTTAGTGGAAGTCTTTCGTCAATCACGAGGAGAGTTGAGATCTGGTAAGCGGAGACAGCCAGATGTGGGTTTGTTTCATTGGTCACGCTGCAACGCTCTTGAGCCAACTCTGCATGAATACAAGTTGGCAAGTTCAGTATAACTGGTGACGCCGCCTGACGCCACTCATTCGGCCTCGCAAATCTCCCAATTGTTTGCATCTGCATATCCACAGGGGTCGAAAATGTTGCAGGTCCCGCTACAGAGTAGAGGGAGTTGTTCTTCACTCGCTTCGGAATCAACATTTTATCGGATACATCACCACCTACACTCACTAGAGTTCTCCTTATGGGCTACTGTGACACTCAGGAACGAGGATGGCGTCCAGGAAGCATTCTACGAAAGAGCGGATGATAGAGGCATTATTTCTGGATAGCGAGGAGGGATAACCGATGAGCTCCTTCTGAGAACTGGCCACCTGCACTTGTTGTCTTCCAAACTTAGCAGTGAGCTCTGCAACATCGTTCCTCCAGTCTTGCTGTTATTTCTTCAAGTGTCACCTATCGCCTCGGACCTCTGATGTTCTGACACTGGTAACTGATGGGAATGGAATTGTCACCCATTTCAGCTACCAAATCCTAAACATTCCTTAGGATGGCTCATGCCCGAGCATTCCCCCATTCACATTCAATACGACCGTTCATATGAAGCATTCTAACCCTGCACCAACGTCAGCGATGAGTCTTTTAAACACCTCGTACCTCATCTATTCTTTTCAGCCCTATGCTCTGTCTTCTGCCTGCGATGTCACCCGATGGTCGACCTGTTCAACCGCCTCCGGGAAATCATTTTTATAGAAGGTTACCTTCCCCCGAAGGCGACATTTATATCTGTTCACCCCGCAAATTATCGCAGTACTGGATATATATCCTTCCACTCTTTATCATCCTGTTGATCGCCCCAAAGGACGAGCCGCTGCCGAAGCAATCATATTATCATGTTCGGCTGGGTACAATAGAGTAGCACTTTGTTCCGTCATATGTAATACTCCGGATCCCCTTCACGTTGATCCTTGTGGCCTATTAATACGAGGGTTCTTTACGGAACTTCCGCATGGATTGAAAGAAGTCTATCTGGCTCAGTTCCTGGAGGCCATTCACTGCGAGCCAGGATTTAACTCGACTCTCGGGCGCATAATTTCGGCTCGTTTGCCCTCTCTCATTGCTGCTACCTCGATATCTGCAATGTCACCTCAAGTACCGTATGACTCTCATCGGCAGACCCGAGAGTCTGAAATTCCTTTATTTACTTCCGCCTACCTGTGCAATTTTGCCCGAGGTCTAGTTGAGAAACCGCGGACACTGTCTACACAATTAGGTTGAAGAGTCCCTAATCGGGTTACCGGTGTTCCTTGGACTGTGTGTTACGGTCAGGGATTGTCATCATTGCAGTGTGCACATGTTCGCTAAATCGCGGTCACAGAAAGGGTCCCACGCGAACGCCTTGAAGAAATTTCTCATTGACAGTAGGTTATGCATTTGTTACATGTCATTGACGCCGACACTATATATATTCGTCAAGTTGCACACTCAGTAATAGCGATAGGGGTTCTTCTTCGGTTTTTGCTTCCTCCAGGGCTCGTCAACGTCACATCCTTGCATGGTTGCCACCATGCATACGGTGCCATAGGCCGCATGAACCGAGGCAGGCTCATTGCCCTGAACAGCATAATCTACTTTGACGAAAAACTTAGGATCTCCAGTGACCTCGATGATATCTAGCTGCCGAGGGCTGCGACCTCCTTGGGTAATGACGATTTCGTCTAGTCCGTTTTCTTCTTCCCCATCATACCCTTCGAGCCGGTCTACAGATTGAGGGAGTATTGCACACACTTGATCATCGTCATGTTCACTGATACCGCAGTACTTGGGATCGTCAGGGAAGAGAACGTGGTGAAAGGTGACGGTAACGCCCGCTTGAACCAGTAAATGGTAAAGAATGGCGTCACGGCCTTTGAGCTGAAATGAGAAATGAAGTATGAATATGAATATGTTATAGGGGCCGAGCTGAGTAGTACGTCGTCCCTACCTTGTGCTTAACTGAATCAGCCCTCTCGCTCATCCCGTCTATGGGCTAGTCAAGTATGCACGTCAGCCGTCGAAAAAGTGCACAAATGACCAATGACTCACATATCTGTGTTCCAAATAAAAACATAGACGAGGGTGATCTTGGGTGAATATGCCAGGAGCAGTGAGTGCACGATGCAGCAGTTCAATCTTGGGATATCGAGATTTAGCCACGATCTCGGCACCGAATGGTTCAGCACCGTTGTTGGTGTTGTCAAACGAGAGCGTAAATGTGAGTGTCACTCTGTCGAATATCAGAAACGATTCCAACAACGCATACTCGGACATGCTCACCGGTTGCCGCTTGTGACCGGCAAAACTTCATGCTCACAGTCAGAAAAGAAGGCAATCCACTCGAGATCTGTACCACTTCCCCATTTCGTGGTGTACTCATCCTGTTTCAGGTCAGTGTCACTACTTTTCACCATCGGTGCCTTGACCACAAGCTGACCCCCCTCGTGTCTGACGGGCAAGTTTATCAACAGCGTTCCGAACATGTCTGAGGAGCGAGCGGTGTCGACGTGTCCCTTGAAGAAGTCTCCCTCGGAGTAAACGTTAAGTTTGTCCAGTCGAGCAATAATACGAGCACCTCCAGCGTCTTCATCCTCGTCCGGAGCATCGTATTCATCCTCGTCCGAAGCACTAGACATTTCTTCATCTTCATCACTCATCTTTTTAGCAGGAAGGGAAAACGAAGGAAGAAGCATCCTCGAAATCGAGTTGAGGATTCCCAAATCGTGAGGATCAAGACTTCCTGCAGGACAGATCCCAAAGTCTTTCTTGTGCAGCACGAGAGCGCGACGGTATGAAGGATCAATCACCGCTTCCCCTCCCTTCCCAAATGACGCCTGATTAGACGCATTGATGAGGGGCATGATGTCGCTCTTATTCTTTAGTGGGAAGGAGACCGGGGTGAATTTGGATGGCAAATCGCTAGGCGCATCCCGAACCAGAATGGCAATGGGTTTATTCTCATCAAGTGGCAAGCTGCCGGCGCAATAGAAAGGACGCTTGGTCGCCTCAAGGGCAGAGATAAGGCCCTCAAACCCCTCTGGGATCTTTTTGCTTTCAGTGTTGTTCGTCATTGCAAGGAGGCAGAAGAAGTGGACAAGGTGAGGTCCGATTTAACGAGTGATACTACGCAACTCGGCACCGCACCCACGTGGACACGGGTCGGTCAACTTGGGGAACAAAATCTTTCCCATGTTCAACTTGACCCACGCGACAAGATTTCTAGTTTAGTTTCGGTTAATCCACTCAACCCAAGTTTGCGGTACATCGGTCTTACAACCCAACCCAACTCACGACTAGAAGATGAACTCCGTGTACGGCGTCAGGCTCGTGGCTGCAACCAGACAGTCAACCTCCTTGAAAAAGGCAATGCCATATGAAATTGATTATGACTTCGTTGGTCTGGACATTCGTGTGGCGGAATGTCGTGACTGGGATTGGGTTCTTCGGGCTGGAGGGGAACGTGAGTGTGCAAGCACCAATTTTCGTGCAGGTTGCACGGGTCGCTGGGGATAATCATCCTTACTTTGTTCGCACTCACGGAAGAGGTTTCAGATCGGAATGTCTGTGATCCTTGAATATATAACTGCCTAGGTTGACCACATATCATCCAGCAAGGACCCATTTCGAATCAGAAGCGGGGAAGGTCCACACACATGGGATCGTGCAACAAACCAGCAACCACTGACTCGCATTTACTCAAGCCATGATAGAAGAAAGGTTGTCTTAGTTATTCATGCAGATCGCATACATAATATACATCATCATCGTCGTCTATTTCACCCTCATACACCTTTTGATGCCTCCAAGGCTCATCAACATCGAATCTTTGCAGGGTTGTCACCATGCATACAGTGCCATACTCCGTCGCCAACCAGCCTAAATGAACCCTTTGGGATCTCCATTCACCTCGATGATCCCTGGCGCCCGAGGGCTCCAACCCTTATGGACACGGATGAATCCGTTTACGCCGTGTTGTATACTACACCACGCGCTGGGTTTGTCAAATGGAGGGAGTATTGCATGAATTTGATCTTGGGTGTCCTCATCTTCAGCAGCAATATCGCGATACGGTGGCTCGGGGAAGAGGACGTGGTGAAAGGTGACGATGAGGCCGTTTGAATTAGCATGTGATAAAGAACTGCATCACGACCTTTGAGCTAAGAGAAAAGATGAAGCACGAACGTAAATACCACACCACGGCACAGACCATGACCTACCTTGTGATTGACTAAATCTACACACGCTTTTGCCGGGCTAGGTGAACAAGCTCATGAGCCATCGAAATTGTCGGGATGGTCGCACGGCTAGACAATGACTCACATATTGATGTTCGAGATAGAAGCATAGACAAGGGTGTTCTTTGGTGAAATAACTGATGGGCGCCGCCTGACGCGGCAGAACCCGCCACTCTTCTCGCCCTATTTTTGAGTCCCCACAGTTACAGGGAGTGCTGTGAACACTTGCTCAATCACGCTGGGATTGGAAGGAGGATCAATAGAATGACCAGTGGACAAAACATCATCGCGCAAATGGACAATCCGCACGATCAGGGCCTCTTTGATGATGGTCAACTCAGCAAGGTTCCGGAATGGGTCCGAAATATTAATCGTTAGCTATGGCATATGACGAGGTTCTAAAGAGCGATGACATTTGCGGCGAATAGGAAGCATGACATTGGAGGAAGGCGTATCCTCGTGACCTTCCGTAACAAGGGGCAGGATGAGGTGCGGCCAGTGCACATTGACCTCGGAGTAAAAGTACATCATGAGACAAGAGACCGAAAGCGTGTCAGACGCTGATAAAGATCTTCAGATGGAGAAGTAGAGGTAGAGATTTCAGAAGTAAGACGGAGCAATGCAAACCGTGATGAACTCGGAACTTTGAATGGTGATCTTTCGATCCGGATACAGTAATAGCTCAAAATTTGTTGGAAACAGCGGAGGGGATGTCGGATGTCATCTCCGTCCAGATCAGAACTATCATCAGAGCATAAAATGCGCAAAAGCATGGCAGATCAATTTCCGATATTGAATCGGACCTGCAGACGAGAGCCCAAAAAGAAGTACATCCAGAACATACTGGCCATTGACGGGGAAGTGAGAGAGAGACAGGCAGGAGAATGGGTATTGGATTGTAACAATCACCGAACAGAATATGTGCAACTGAATGGTCACGAACATAGTGATTGGAGGACCCTGGGTTATGCAGAATTGGCAATAATGGAGGACCTTGTCTGAAAACGAATTCAGTCCCGGGCGAAAAATTTGCAGGACCCGCTACAGAGTAGCGGGAATACCAGGAGCAGCGAGTGCGTCGTGTAGTGGACTGAAATTGAGATTGGGACCCAAGGATTCAGCCAAGATTTCAGCGCCAAATGATGCATTATCGTTACTGGTCCTGTCGAACGAGAGCGTGTACGAAAGCGTCACTCTGTCGAATATTAGACAGGGTTCCGAAGATGGTTGTTGGACACGCTCACCGATGGCTGCTCGTGACCAGCAAAACTTCAGGTTCACAATCAGAAAAGAAGGCTATCCACTCGAAATTTGCACCACTTCCCCACTGAGTAGTATACTCCTTGCGGTCCAGGCTAGTGTTGCTGCTTTCCGCTACTGGTGCTCTGACCACAAGCTGACCTCCTTCATGTCGCACAGGCAAATTAGCAGCGTCCCGAACGTGTCTGAGGAGCGAGGGGTGTCGATGTGTCTTTTGAAGTCGCCAGTAGCATAACGCTAAGTTTGTCAACACAAGCAATGATCCGGGCCCTCCCAATGTCTCTACCCAGCACATCCAGAAACTCCGCTTCATCGTCCTCTCTGTTGGGAAGGCACGTATTCGAAGGGAGCGGGATTTTCGATATGTAACCAATAATACCTAGACTGGGTCCAGGCCACCTGCAGGAAGAACTCCAAAGCTCCCCTTGTGCAGCACGAGGGCGAGATGGTATGGACACGTCTTGCTTTCCCCTCCCGAATGAGGCCTGGCTAGACGCATTGACAAGTGGTGCGATTTCACCCTCATTCTTCAGCGGGAAAGAGACGGAGTAACGGGTACGTTCCCGTCCAATGGGATGTTACCAGCGCAGAAGAAAGGGCGCTCTGTCGCGGAGGTGAGGGCTTTAAGTTGTTCTGAGATGTTGATGCTCTCAGCGTTGTCGCCATTCCAAGGAAGTGGAAAATGCAGAGATGGAGGTGGTTGGACTCAACAAGTAATAGCCGCAGACTCAGGTTGTTTGTATTCAGACTTAAGTAGTCTAGGCATCACTTGAACCGCTCCACTTAGTCAACCTCCAGCTGGGTCTTGCAGGTTATCCCTGACGCCACAAACCAGACGATTATGCATTAACCTGCAAGACACCACCCGCCCTTCCTATTTTCACGTCTTGATGACCTCACATGTAAACTCGGTGTAGATTACAGTTAGGCAGACGCGCAACGTGCGCACACGCAATTTCAAGTTGGGTTTATATTGAAAGTCACAGTCACCTTTACATAATACATGAGTAGTCATCTTTGGTATTATATGTAAAGGCGACTATTGTAGCGGAGGTGTCCGAATTTATTGTTATATTGTTATAACAGCCCGTGATTGGTTGGTACTCTGTTTACATCTCCTGCTTGTGCTTGTGCGCTACCCTCCGCCCTCCCTTCTCTGCCGCCTCAGTTAACTGTGCTCCTTAGACGCCGGGTAGTGTCCTCAATTCAGAAGTCCGGGGCTGTCTTCACGCTGCAACGCTCTTGAGCCAACTCTGCAGTTGAGCTAACATGCAAGTTCAGTATAACTGGTGACGCCGCCTGACGCGGCAAATTCCTTCAGCCTCGCAAATTTCCCAATTGTTTGCATCTACAGGCTGAGGGAGGGTCGGAAAATTTGCAGGACCCGCTACAGAGTAGCGGGAGTTGTTCTTCACTCGCTTCGGAAACAACACTTTATCGGATACATCACCACCTACACTCACTAGAGTCCTTCTTATGGGCTACTGTGACACTCAGGAATGAGGATGGCGTCCAGGAAGCATTCTACGAAAGTGCGGATGATAGAGGCACTATTTCTGGATAGCGAGGAGGGATAACCGATGAGCCCCTTCTGAGAACTGGCCACCTGCACTTGTTGTCTTCCAAACTTAGCAGTGAGCTCTGCAACATCGTTCCTCTAGTCTTGCTGTTATTTCTTTTAAGTGTCACCTATCGCCTCGGACCTCTGATGTTCTGACACTCGTAACTGATGGGAATGGAATTGTCATCCATTTCAGCTACCAAATCCTAAACCTTCCTTAGGATGGCTCATGCCCGAGCATTCCCCCATTCACGTTCAACACGACCGTTCATTCTAACCCTGCACCAACGTCAGCGATGAGTCTTTTAAACACTTCGCACCTCATCTATTCTTTTAAGCCCTATGCTCTGTCTTCTGCCTGCGATGTCACCCGATGGTGATGGTCGACCTGTTCAACCGCCTCCGGGAAAATCTTTTTTATAGAAGATTTCCCGAAGGTGACATTTATACCTGTTCACCCCGCAAATCATCGCAGTACTGGATGTATATCCTTCCATTCTTTATCATCCTGTTGATCACCCCAGAGGACGAGCCGCTGCCGAAGCAATCATATTATCATGTTGGGCTGGGTACAATAGAGTAGCACTTTGTTCCGTCATATGTAGTACTCCGGATCCCCTTCATCCCTGTGGCCTATTAATAAGAGGGTTCTTCACGGAACTTCCGCATGAATTGAAAGGAGTCTTATCTAGGCTCAATTCCTGGAGGCCATTCACTGCGAGCCAGGGTTAAACTCGACTCTCGGGCGCATAATCCAGTTCGGCTCATTCGCCCTCTGCTGCCTCGATATCCGCAATATTACCTCAAGTACTGCATGACTCTCATCGGCATGCCGTTCATATGTCAATGACCAGACCCGAGAGTCTGTTGACATTTATATTTATTTATTTATTTATTTCTGCCTACCTGTAGCAATTTTGCCTGAGGTCTAGTTGAAAAACCGCTTCAGACACTATCTATGAAACAATAGCGCCGGTGTTCCTTGGTACGGTCAGGGATTGTCATGGTTGCAGTGTCCACGCGAACGCCTTAATGGATAAAATTTCTCATTGACAGTAGGTTATGCATTTGTTCCATGTCATTGACGCCAACACTATATATATTCGTCAAGTTGCACACTCAGTCATAGCGATTCTTCCGTTCTCCCCAGGGCTTGTCAACGTCATGTCCCTTCATGGTTGCCACCATGCATACGGTGCCATAGGCCGCATGAACCGAGGCAGGCTCATTTCCCTGAACAGCATAATCTACCTTGAGAAAAAGCTTAGGATCTCCAGTAATCTCGGTAATTCTTAGCTGCTGAGGGCTGCGACCTCCTTGGGAAATGATGATTTCGTTTAGTCCGTTTGACTCTTCCCCCCCCACCCTTCGAGCCGGTCTACATATTGAGGGAGTATTGCACACACTTCACCCTCGTCACCTTTACTGGAGATACCGCAATACCGGGGATTGTCAGGGAAGAGAACGTGGTGAAAGGTGACGGTAACGCCTGTTCGAACCAGCGAATGGTAAAGAACGGCGTCACGACCTTTGAGCTGAAGGAGTATGAATATGTCATAGAGGCCGAGCTGAGCGATACCTCGTCCCTACCTTGTTCTTAACTGAATCAGCCCTCTCGCTCATCCCGTCTATGGGCTAGTCAAGTATGCACGTCAGCCGTCGAAAAAGTGCACAAATGACCAATGACTCACATATCTGTGTTCCAAATAGAAACACAGACGAGGGTGACCTTTGGTGAATATGCCGCGAGCAGTGAGTGCACGATGTAGCAGTTCAATCTTGGGATCTAGGGATTTAGCTACGATCTCGGCGCCGAATGGTTCAGCACCGTTGTTGGCGTTGTCAAACGAGAGCGTAAATGTGAGTGTCACTCTGTCGAATATCAGAAACGATCCCGACAATGCATACTCGGACATGCTCACCGGTTGCCGCTTGTGACCGGCAAAACTTCATGCTCACAGTCGGAAAAGAAGGCAACCCACTCAAGATCTGTACCACTTCCCCATTTCGTGGTGTACTCGTCGCGTTTGGGGTCGGTGTCACTACTTTTCGCCATCGGCGCTTTGATCACAAGCTGACCCCCCTCGTGTTTGACGGGCAAGTTGATTAACAGCGTTCCGAACATGTCTGAGGAGCGAGCGGTGTCGACGTGTCCCTTGAAGAAGTCTCCCTCGGAGTAAACGTTAAGTTTGTCCAGTTGAGCAATAATCCGAGCACCTCCAGCGTCTTCATCCTCGTCCGGAGCATCGTATTCATCCTCGTCCGAAACACTAGACATTTCTTCATTTTCATCACTCGTCTTTTTAGCAGGAAGGGAAAACGAAGGAAGAAGCATCTTCGAAATCGAGTTGAGGATTCCCAGATTGTGAGGATCAAGACTTCCTGCAGGACAGATCCCAAAGTCTTTCTTGTGCAGTACGAGAGCGCGACGGTACGAGGGATCAATCACCGCTTCCCCTCCCATCCCAAATGACGCCTGACCAGACGCATTGATGAGAGGCGTGATGTCGCTCTTATCCTTTAGTGGGAAGGAGACGGGGGTGAATTTGGATGGCGAACCGCCAGACGCATCCCGAACCAGAATGGAAATGGGTTTATTTTCATCAAGTGGCAAGCTGCCGGCGCAATAGAAAGGACGCTTGATCGCCTCAATGGCAGAGATAAGGCCCTCAAATCCTTTTGGGATCTTTTTGTCGTTCGTCATTGCAAGGAGGCAGAAGAAGTGGACAAGGTGAAGTTCGATTTCACGAGTGCACCTCTCGGGTTATTAAAGCTAGTGCATCCACGCGGACGCCGGTCGATGAAGTTGGGGAACAGAATCTTTTCCATGTCCAACTTGACCCATGCGACAAGGTTCTAGTTTAGTTTCGATGCCGTGACGTTAATCCGTTCAATCCAAGTTTGCGGGACATCGTGCTATGCAATGAGCATATGGGTATGGCGTTTCGCAATTCTGGCTCATTGCTGCAACCTGACAAGCAACCTCCTTGAAAAAGGCAATGTGTGAAATTGGTATGAGTTGAATGATCTAGAACTTGTGTGGCGGAATGTTTTAGTTCCGTGACTGGTGTCGGTTTGACTCGGGGGACTCTCTGGATTCTTCAGAACGTGGTCAGCAGTGGATACGTGCGAGTGTGTGTTAAAGATCTCGGAAACTTGGGTGTCAACCTGATGTTTCCTTTCTTGGTATTCCTGCTAACCAATGTCGAGCGAGGTCTCACACACTCTCATTGGATGAGGACGCTTACTTCAGCTCCCATTTGGGAAACCACTGGCTTAGGTCATCGCCCATTTAGGGCTGTTACGCTAACGTCCTCACCCGTTTTGGTTATGCTTGCTTAGATCATCACCGATCCGGTGGCTTAAGTCATCGCCCGACGTGTTATCGGTCGCGTTTGAATCAGCCGATGTTTTCATCACATGCGTCATCCATCTCATTGACGGCGCACTTCTTCACATGCCGCTCCCCCTTGCCCCCTGACCCCAATTTCCATTGCACGCATGATCCATTCGCCTCTCGTTCACTTCCGGAGTGTAACTTCTGCTGGATTCATCAACTCGATATCATCCTCCTCCCTTGCTCCATTCAACCTCACATGGCTCCAACTTATTCCTGGATCCGCTTTCAGTACCGTTTCCAATTCTTGGGCCACTCACAAATCGGACGGATATGCGACATGCATTCACAAACTATAGATGAACGCTTGCTCATCTTACGTTCAGCAACTAAATCCTATCAACTCCAGGACAACGACAACAGATTCCAACGACGACCATGTCACTTCCGACACAGTGCACTGCATACCAACTAGCTTCACAGGCTCTCCAAAGTACTTATGCTAATCGTGTCGCTGGTGCTCTATGTTTGGCTCGCCAACTAGGGAAACCCAATCTATTCGTTACTGCCACTTGCGGCCTGAACTTCGCGAAATGACACGGGGACTTTCTGCTACAGAAGTCCCTCAGATAACCACTCAAATTTTCAAGGTACTCTCATCGTTTCCAACCCAACATACATTCGGAAGATTTCCAGGTACGACTACAAAAACTTCTTCATGAGATCACACGAGTTTTTCAAGTTCGTATATGTGGTGAAATTTCAAAAACGTGGACTGACACACACTTCGGACACCATCTAATGCTGACTCGCAATAGGTTGAAGCAATAGCCTCGGAGTGGTGATCCAAATCTTGCAACCTAACCCAACTCACCAGTAGAAGATGAACTCCGTGTATGGCATTTCATAATTAAGGCCCGTGGCTGCAACCTGACAGTCAACCTTGACTCCTTAATATTGATCATGACTTCAATGATCTGGACACTCCTGTGGCGGAATGTTGTAGTTGCGTGACTGATGTCGGTTCGACTCCCGGGACTAGGTCGCTGAGGGTAATCATCTTTACTTGTGTTCGCACATGTATTAGTCCTGTCGAACGAGAGCGTATGCGAAAGCGTCACTCTCTCGAATATTAGAAAAACGGTTGTTGGACCCGCTCACCGATGAGCCGCTCGCGACCGGCAAAACTTCAAGTTCACAATCAGAAAAGGAGGCTATTCCACTCGAAATTTGCACCACTTCCTCACTGAGTAGTGTACTCCTTGCGGTCCAGGTTAGTGTTGCTGCTTTCCGCTACTGGTGCTCTGACCACAAGTTGACTTCCTTCATATCAGATAGGCAAATTAATTAGCAGTGTCCCGAACGTGTCTGAGGGGTGAGGGGTGTCGACGTGTCCTTTGAAGAAGTCGCCAGTAGAATAAACGCTGAGTTTATCTAAACAAGCAATGATCTGAGCCCTCCCAATGTCTCTACCCAGCGCATCCAGAAACTCCCTAGACTATATGGGTCCAGGCTACCTGCAGGAAAAACCCCAAAGCTCCCCTTGTGCAGCACGAGGGCGCGAGGGTACGAAGGATCAGATATGTCTTACTTTCCCCTCCCAAATGCCTAGCTAGGCGCATTGACGAGTGGTCTGATTTCGCCCTCATTCTTCATCGGGAAAGAGACGGGGGTGAATTTGGGTGAGGATCCCTCGGACGTATTGCCGGCGGCGCTTGTTCGCCTCAAGAGCTGTGATAAGGGCTTCAAATCCGACGCTGCCGCCTTGGGTATTGTAAGGTGAAAACGCCAAGATGGGGCTTGACGGGTGGGGAGCACCACCGTTGAGACTTGGAGCTCACCGCATCGCACAAAGTCCACAATGTGGTCATACGAGGACAAAAGTTTCGGTATAAACAGGCGGAATTCTACTTGTTTAAGGACATTCCCTGTACAGTGATGTCAGTGCAAAAATGGGCCCCATGGCGAACACAATTGATCAGGCTGCTGGAGACCTTGAAAAGGCGCCCTGCAAGCGTGACGTGAAATCAATGCACATCGTCGGCACAATATTCGGTTTGAATGCAAGCGAGCACAGGGACTCGGAGTTCTGTTGTGTACCGTTCCCAGCTTCCAGGCCTATTTGAGTTGCCCCGGGACCCTGTATCTCATCGTGTTCATCTAATCCTCGGATCCTGGCAGCGATCTAGGGAAAGTATTTTGTTCCAGAGGGAATGTAATGGGGCGGGGAGAAATTCGAGGCACTTTGTCTTTGTCGCAATGACCCCAGCACTTTCCTTGATTGTTCCGCGCGGTTGAAGCTAAACCTGTAGACACATCGTTTGCAAGCGGTGGACTCCAGATGTCAATTCTGCCGTAGCTACTAAGTACTAATATACGATTGACTGAACAACGCATCACAGAGTATCAAACGTGAAGGGGTAATTGCATCGGTGTCATACGTCTGCTTCCAGGCTCAGGATATAGAACGAATATTCGTAGAGTCAAACTTACGTGAGTTATTTCATCTAGCTGACACCCAAGACTAAACGACACAGTTAGGCCCAATGTAGGCAAAATGCACACCAGGCATTAACTGTTCGTAAACCGCAGACCAAAACCACAAGATCCAGGATTCACGGGAGTTCGCAAAAAGGGATCGCTAACATCATGAAACTGAGTCCACAAGATTGCTGCAAGCACTGCGGGACAGTTCGATACAGTACCAAAATACCAGAGTCATCTCGAAACGCAAGGCGTCTTCTGAGGAAATCCAATCCAGGAGCCCCGAGCCACGAATTTCAGTCTTTCGCCGATGTCGGCGGGGGAAATAGAACAACAAGCAAAAAGCGTCGAGGAAGGGAATGTCCCAATATGAGCCACGGCGAGGACCGTCTTAGCAACAGAGAGTAAGTAAGCACGCCCAAAAGAGACCTGGACCGTTTGGCAAGGGCGAAGGGGACCGAAAGCGTGAACGGCCCGTTTGCGGGTTGTCGCATGTTGACATCGAGGGTAGATTCCTACGGTGCCTTCATCACCTTCTCCTTGGACGGGAATTAGAATCGTTCACAGCTTACGCCCTGAGGCATATATTTAAGTAGCCAGTGCGCTCTGTATCATGGTGGTCAAATCGTTACCCCAGCTCCGACAGCTACTCCGTCCGTACTGGAGGGTGCTGGCATGGGTACCATTCGGAGTTCTGGTAGTGGATCATGTAGGAACGCTAAAGACAGTCTCTGGCAGGAGTATGTCTGTGAGTGCATTCCTACACACTACTGGGGAACGTTCTTGACCTCCCTGTCCAGTAGCCTACTCTGAATCCGGACACATCAAAGTTTGCAGATGTGGTATTCGTGAACCGGTGGATCCCTCAGGTCACGAATAAGTTTAGCAGAGGAGAAGTCGTGGTCCTCAAGTGAGCATGGCTGTTATCGTCTCGCCTAGGCTTGAACGCGAATGACTATCTCCACCCTAGGTCCCCTGTGAACAACGAGCTTATTGTCAAGCGAATTATTGCATTAGAGGGGGACGTCGTATGTAATATTTAGCTCATTGACTGGTGGCAAGTGGGAGAGCGTCATCTCTTAGGTCCAGACTCTCCCACCTTACCCGGACACACTCGTGCGAATACCCAAGGGTCATGCCTGGGTGGAGGGCGACGAGCCTTTCCATTCACGAGACAGTAATAAATTTGGACCAGTGAGTGTTTCCATGCCTCTGCTTCTACTATTCGGACTATGTGACAAACCGTCCTCACCAAATGTTTAGGTTTCCCTCAGTCTCATCGATTCTAAGGTTCAGTTTATTATTTTTCCACTGACCCGGCTCGGGCCACTACCACCTTCACCTCGCTCTACAATTAGTCGTCGACGTGTCACACCCTCTGGGCTTCAGCGAGTTCCACAAACATTTGAACGATTGGAAATGGGCCACGATCCGGTCTCATCGCCACCGCGAACGGACATTCCATAATTGGTCGAGGCATTCATCGACGCCACCTCATCTGAGATTGACCGCCCATGTCACCCTTCACCCAATGTGTATTATAGATTTGGCTGTGACCTTTTGAGATATGCATAATTAAGGATCGGAAGGACTTTGTCTTGATACATACAGCAGTCTCGTGATTGATGTCCGAATAAGGAGCCACTTGCAGTGAGAACTTGAACCCGTCCCTTACTGCAGCTTGAAATTGACTTGCAGGCACTCTCAGGACTCATTTCTCGGGCAGTTATTTTCTCCGAGTGCCCTGGCCAAACAAAGAACCAGCTTGTGTTGTACTTGAGGACATCACCTGAATCAGACCCGACCCCTCACGATGACCGAAGCAGTATCGACCCCGACCCCACCACGTCACTCGCCCCCAACATCACCAACCAGACCGAAGGGGATACTGAAGAACACTAATGCTGCTTTGCCTACAAGCACTCGGTAAGTCTCGATCAGATGGCCACTTGTTCGGCCCCGACCTCAGCTGTATCCCCCCTTCCAACATCCACTGGTAGCTTGCAATGGGACGAAGCCAATCTCGCAGCCACAGAGATTGGGAAAGATAGTCTAATGAAGATCACCGAGCCTAAAACCCCCTTTGTCCGATACAATGCAGAATTGGATCAGGTCGAAGGGATGACTGGTAAGTCCCTTTCCGATTCCGGCCATGCGTATACGCATTGAATCGCGGCTACGCAACCATGTTCGCGTCAGAAATTCCGCCATTCAACCTGGATTCCCCACTTCAGGATGCCTCTCCATTGCTTGGATCGTCACCCCGGGATATTGCTTTTGACAGCTCCAAAATCCCCCCAGATAGTCCATCGCGTCCTGGTGCACAACGCCCTGGGTCTGAAAGGGGATCGCGCCGCACGTCTTTCAGCGGCCGGCAATCAGGCAGCCGTTCAGCAAGTGCAGGAAGCAGAACTCCCAGTTTCAGCTTGCCATCCAACGAGGCTCACCTCAAAGACACCGATGGGCTGGGACTTACAATGGGAAAGGATGATGACGACGATGTAATGGATGCAGAAAGTATGTAACATGAACCATTCTCATCTCCCGATCTTTGACTCCTGATGTTTTTCTTTCAACTCTGTGCGATAGCTGCAGCAAAACATGCAGAGTTCGTTCATAAACGCGACAGACATTATTCCAACGAGGCTGAGGCTATGAAGGTGATCTCAATTTTCACAATCCTCATGGGATTTTGTGTGTAACCCTATCCTCTTAGCGCGCAGCGGCTCTTATGGCGCAGGATGATGAAGAGGAAGAGGGTGGCTCTAGCAGCTACAATCAGGAGCAACAAACATTGCCAAACGGACGCGCTGGCTAGTACTATGCACCTCGAATTCAGTTTACGAATCCTTCGCACAAGAGTTTATTTTCTTTCTTTTTCTTTGTTCGGCTGTTCTGCGGCGTCATGGAAGTGTTACTCCAACACCGCGGTTTCTCACTATTTGTCTGCATTCCATTGTAGGTAGCGAGATGCGTAACGCCACTTGTATCGTTAACAAACGACAAGAAACATAATTACTTTCCTCTTACGGTACTTTGCGGCAGCGCCGTTTTCCCACGGTCCAACAGATCGCAGAATTTTTTCGGGGCTCGCTCTTCGTACTCATCTTCTTTGCCGATCCCTCCGTAGACAGGTTTTCGGGATGGAGGATAGCAAGCAGACATTAGAGGGGAAGGTTTTTTTACCTTCACAGAAGCCCGCGTCCGCTGTTGGGGCAGGCAAATTGCTGAAAGCAGATCCCATCGCTGAGAACTTTAGAGCTGACATTCAGCAGAGCATTTCGGAATTCATATCCCGGGACGGAAGGCATCCCAAGCTCGTCGGCATTTTAGCCACTCAATCTAAGCCTTCGGAGATGTATGCGGAATTCACACGAAAGACATGTGTGGCTTTGGGTGTCGATTTCGCGCTGAAGCGCGTGGGGATTGCTGCTAGCTCCGCCGAGGGCTCTGAAAATGGGTCTTCGGAAGGTCTCGGAGGGGTAGAGGAAACTATCGTTGAGGCTAACTTGGACAATACCATCAGTGGAATCATGGTTCGTGCTTCTTTTCCCTCGACTGCCAAAAACGCAATCCACAATAAAACTATCAGGTATATTACCCCATCTTTGGTGGCTTGCAAGATCATTACCTGCAGCAAGTTAGGATGGTTTCCTCCAGTAGCTGAACGATGTCAATGACATATCATGCCAAGGTAGTATCCCCTGCCAAAGACGTCGAAGGTTTAAATGTGAAATTCCACTACAACCTTTACCACAAGTTGAGTCATTACTCTTGGGTTGTTTTTACGCTGACAATGTTCCGCCGTCAAGCATCCGGTTCATTTCTCCCCGCTCCTTGCTCTCTGCAGCAACTGTCACAGCGGCGCTGGACGAAGAATCTCCCCAGAATCTGAAAGAAGATAATCTTCCAAAATGGATCGTCAAATCAATTCTCCCGTGCACATCTTTAGCTATCGTCAAATGCCTCGAGTACGTTGGCGTGTACAACAAACTGCTGGATTATGGAGATCGTGCATATGGACGGACTGTTACTGTCATCAATCGGTGAGCATACCTTATGCCGTGAGCTTCTGGCTTATGTTTACTTTTTGATCACCAGGTCAGAAGTCGTCGGAAGACCGCTCGCAGCACTCCTCTCCAATGACGGTGCCCGCGTGTTCTCTATTGACATCGACTCGATACAGGAGTACAACAAGCGCCCACCCCCAGTTGCACAACCTGTTACTTCATTTGAACAACAGAAACCACTATCTCAGTACTACAAACGACATGTTGTCCATCCATCGAACATGACACTGGAGGAATGCCTTGCTTTATCGGATGTTGTTGTATCCGCTGTACCCAGTGACACGTATAAAGTGAAGACGGAAGCACTCAAGCATGGATGTATTTGTGTCAATGTCTCGAGCGAGAAGAACTTCGAGAGTAACGTCAGGGATAAGGTGCGTTTGCCTAGTCCCCTGTGCTTCAGTTCGATGCTCAAGTTTTTCCCATAAGGCGTCGCTATACATCCCTGCTGTCGGAAAGGTCACCATTCTGATGCTACTGAGGAACTTGTGAGTTCGGGTTTCGTCCTGCTTACATTCCATCTCACCTCACATCCCTCTAGGATGCGCCTTCTGGAGTATCAAACCATTCTAGCCCATGAATAGACGCGAACGCCTTGTTTCCTGTATGCTTAGAACGCAATCCCCCACACAGCGCATGACTCATATACAAGACTTCGAGTGGTCCAGTCGACATTCCTGTCTGATAGAAAATCCCCGTTAGAATCATTGACATTCATGATTAGATAAAAGGAGAAGCGATCCTGTCGACGAATGCAATTGCTTTTATAGCTGTCATCCACAAGATAGATGGTGAAAATTTGTTGTCTGTTTACTGTATGGACTCCGCCACAGGCCGTGGGTCAAGTCCCAATAACAATTTCCGGAGTTAGCCCCTAGGGTAATGGTGTTTTGAGGGCGAACCCGTATTTCCAATTGGTGTTCCAGCGGTCACCCGTTGATTTCGTACCACTGCAGTGGGGTAAAGAGGCATCAGCATTGAACCCGAAGGCCGCGAACGAGAAGTTGTATTATGCTCAGCTAGAGGCTGAATCAAGGTCTCCAAATGACCCATGAGCTCCTTGACTGGCAGAGTCAAAAGGTGATCGATGCCGAATGGCTTAAAACAAAAAGAACAAACAAACAAATGATGTATGTACTGTCCCTGTCTGCTGAAATCTTACAATGGTTGACAACAGCAACAGTCTGTTCAGGAAGAGCATTGACTTTGAGACCACCAGAAATCGATGATATCCACGGCTTGGGTTGTGCATGGCCAGCAAAGACCTCACGCGAACGGCGCGTTGGTCTGCCAGTGATATCATTCGTCCCACAAAAGATGGCTTTTTTTAGGGCTTTATTGCTAGAAAGCGACTTCCGAACTTTCAAGTTCGCCAACGAGGGGTTGATCGATGGCACATGATGTTCGGCGAGGCATTGGAGGTACGAATAGTATGGGGAGAATATATGGGGCCGCATCCAGGAAACCTCTAGCTGAGGCCGATTGAATCGATTGCATGCATGAAGATCATTGGGAGAGGGGGGGGGGGAGGAAGCAGGAGCTAGACGCGGCGCGGAAAACAAAGAGTGTAGGGGCAAGAACTAAACGCTTTGCAGCAAGGACGTTTACAACGTGCACAAAGTTATATAGTTTACGAGAGCTATAGCGCCGCGCGGGTGCGATGCCCAGTATAGAAGCAAAGTGAACGTGAACGTGTGCCTGCCCAATCTCCGCATTCAAAATGCAAGGGATAACTCGGAGCCTGGGCAACACACGTAAGTTACGGAGCCCCTGTCGAGTCACGCTAGCGCTAGCTAGGGAGTATATACGTGATTCGACAGTCGAGCAACTTAAGCGGCGGCCGCGCCTCGAGCGCGATAAAGTGCACCGGAAGCGATTTTTTAAAGACCAGCTGTAGTATATGAACTCGGAAAAGATTTGCTGCCAAAACGCAGAAGCTGGATGGCATTCTATGCACCCCCCAGTCACGATTAGTCAAGTCAAATAGGGCGTTACATAAACTAAGATGGCACAGATTGCACCGCAACAAGCAACCCGAATTCTCATCCCCACAAGACCCCCCCTCCTCCTCCACCCCCCACTGGCTGGTATAACGTTACCCAGTTAAGAACCCCATAGCTCAACCATTTCATCAGCGTTCAGAATGAGGTACGCAAAAAAGCGGATTCCATCAACAAACATAGTCGCTTTGACGGCTGCACAGCACAAATAAGTAATGCGAAGGGGGGAGGGGAGGGGGGAAGCTTTCACTGATCCGTCCTTGCATGTAAGAGATACGACACAATGATGTCGTTGAACTGACCTTCATTCGTGGTATGAATCCCTCCATATGCTCCGTCAATTGTGGCGTAGTTGTACCGAAAAATATTCCGCGTCAAGTTCCAATACCATATGGTATCTTCCGGAGGATTTAGTTAACCAAATTAACACCCCCCTCCCATATCGTAGAAAAAAGGGATAACGGGTAAGCACACGTACCAGTGTTACCGGTACCCAAGCTAGGTGCCACAATAAATTTAGGCTGCGCCGCATTCGCAGTACTAGTGCCGATAGATTCTTGAAGCCCGTTCGCCTCATAAGTAGCCCTGATAGTACCATGCAGGAGTTCGTATGGCAAAGAGTCCGTTGGAGATATGGGGGAAGGTTCCAGAGAACTGTTGAATGCATCAGATACCATAATGGAACCAGAGCTGGAGTCGAGATTTGGGCCGCCGAGTTGGCTGCCGAACGCATTGAAGGAGAGATTATATTGGTGTGCCAAAGGCAGAATTAGAGATGTCAAACGCGTCATCAACTCCTCCACCGAGCTGCGAGGGAAAAAAAAAAAAATAATCGTCATTTTTTGTTTTGTTTTGGAGTCCAGTTGAGCGAACGCTAACCTATCAGTTGAGATTCTGTGATTGACGACAGCAGAAGCCTGCTCTGGTAGGGCGTTTACCTTCACCCCTCCGATAATCAAATCGACAGCCTGAGTCGTACTCAAAACAGACCTAACGAAACCGCCCCGAGTAATCTCATTCTCAACCAATACCACCTTTTCAAGGTCCTGTAAGGCCTTGTCACTGTGAACCGACCGCCGTACGAGCTCCGAAAACGAAGGGTTTATCAACGGGGCGTGGTTAGTTATGCATTGGATATATGAATAGAAAGGTGACGCTCGTGTCAACCTTGGAGCGCTCGGATGAGCTTCAAGCTCTGCGATTATGATTGCAAGCAGGCCGATCGATGTGTGAGATGGTGGAATTGAAGAATGCCCACCAGGTGTAGCAACCCGGATATTCACGTCTTAAAGAGAACAATAGAATTAGTGTATTGAAAACATTGATCGTATGGACTCCCAACGCAAGTGCTCACCCATGTACCCCTTTTCTGCGACCTCAGGTGAGGCGACGATCGCACCGCCCAGTTCCCCGATACTGCCTGAGACGAGTGTTCAATACGCGACTCCAATGAATGTTCAGGAATTCATAAATCACCTCCTTCATCTACAAGCAGGGAAAATGCGCCCTTGCCGTAGGTTTTCTCCAGATACACACTCAAATGACCAGCACCCTAGAATAAGGATATATATATAAGCCCCATTCCGAGGTTTCCAGCACCGAATTGACGAGCCTGTATCGATGAGGATTCTTCGTCAAAACCAAAGGCAAGGACGATGGTCCTGCGTGGAACGAAACCACTTTCAAGTAATACTTCAATGGCAGACCTAAAGAACGATTTAAAATAAGCTTCCCCACGTTCGAGGAAGCGCGCATACAGTAAGCCAATAAGTCCATTCTTGTCATCGAGAGACCCTCGCCCCCATATGTACGTCCCTGCAATGAAGAGGAACACTTTCAGTTGAGCAAACGAAATCCGCTTTCAGGAACTCTACCTGCCATCAAAGAAACCAGAGTAGGGTGGGTGAACCCACTCTTCTACCGTCGTTGGATCCACGGGAACGACATCTTGGTGAGCTGTTAACAGAATGGGCTTAAGGCTCGAGTCGGAACCTTGCCAGTGATACACTAAGGCATAAGTGTTGACCGTTGTGCGTTGAAGTACTTTGTGGCTGTAGGTGAATTGGAACCCATCAGAGATATTGTCGTTTTAAGTTTAGGACTAAGAACGGAAGGGCTTACAGTCTCGGAAACGCATTGATCATGTATTGATGCAGATCCTGGAAGACGTCCCATCGAGGGTCGGTTCCAATAGTCCCCATATCATCGTAGCTCTCGGTTCTGGAGGCTACAAGTTAGCGGTTTTTCTCTTCATCACGGAAAGCAACAACGGTATTTTAATGGCCCCTCCGAGCCACTCATTGGATCGATTGAGAAAGGAGGCATGGGCGATTAGACTGTTCAGAGAACTTGCGACATTCCCACGAGGGAAAAGAGCAGGAGTTTGAGGGCATATCGGCTCGAGTGAGTGAGCAGGTCTAGTTTTAGCAATCCAAGAAACATGACCCGCCAAGGCCCAATTCCAAAGAGCGAGAACGGTGAGGACGAGAAGAAGTGCGGACACTTGGAGCAGTCTCCAAATTCGAATATATGCGGACGCCTGCGATGGGGATTTATCTCCTGGGAAACCCATTTACATAAAATGGTGAGGGCCGTATAGTACTTGTTGGACGAAACCGAAGGAATGGGAGATTATGTAAGATCTATTCAGTGCCGCCCTAGCTGTTCCCTTCTTCCTCGCCCACAGGAAAGTCCCTTTGATCACGAAATGAGGCTTGGATACTCTATGTGCCATTACTTAGATCAATTGAGGATAATGGTCGCCACCAGCTTTGCGGGCATGCATGGTCTCAACTTCTTTTCGCGTAGTGTCAACATCCTGCAACAAGACAGTAGAAGTACTCTGGGGAACAGGAAACTTGCCAGCCTTCCTGACCTGATCTCCTCATTGGCATTCTCTGAGGCACTCAAGTCAAAACCGGTGTGTACTGAATTGAAATTAGTGTGATACTCCCTATGACGTACCATTACGCCATAGCCACCTTTCGTCATTCCGATAATATCACGTTCGATGAAGAGAGTGATTCTGGAACCAAGTCTCCGGTTCATACGATTAGCTTCTGCCTTGGTCCTTCCGAGGGTTTCTATTTGAACGATTTATTCTTGGAATGAGTACTGGCAGTGTAGGAGTCGGGAACCGATTGCCACATGCAAGTTCAACGCATCGCTTGCGATACTATATATAGTCGTTTTCAAAAAAAAAAAAACCTGCCAACTAATTGGTCTTGACGGGAAGAGTCCCAGATGAACCGAATTCTCATTGCGTATCCCGTCTCACGAGATATGCAGTTTACGCCTTGTCTCAGAGCGGGCGGTCACTGTTTCAGGCGGGGAAAAGGTCCATAATGGATCACTCCATCTGAGTACTACCACTGTTTCTGTTTCGTCTCAAATGTCTGGCAGAATTGGTTGGACTTGAAAAGATTTCGAGGGTTGACCCAAGGCTTATGTTTGCGATGCATGGACGCCCACATAGAACATGGAAGGGATTATGGACTCTTCTAAGCCCCAGCCTATCCACTCTGATGCGAAATCTCCACTATCACCCTATCGTTACGAATGTCTTCACTCACCCTCAGCCTATCTCTCGTCCTCGCTTTCCACCACACAGGTATCGTCTTCGGAGGCCGGTACTCCGCTTGACTCGCCGGGCGTCCCTGGACTGGTCATCGACCCTTCGCGTTCCGTATTCTTCTCCACTCAACTTCCGAAGCCAAAGTGTTCTCAAGTGCACCCTTCGAAGGCTCTGTTCAGGAACGCGTTGGCGCACGTAGCCTTGGATAGAGCTCTCAGACCTCGTAGGGGGTCTCTTCCCGCGTTTCTTCATGCTTTTCAGGAACCCATCGACGGCGGCTATGAATCCGAAGCCGAGTCTGCAATTCCATTAGGACGTCGTCGAAATGTCTCTAATAAAGATTCTGGGGGTTTGAGACGCCCTAGATCTTTCCTGGCCCCGATGAATGTCAAAGCACCCAAAACGTCTGTAATGAAAGGTGACGGCACCAAGTTGCATGTAAGTCCACAAAGTCCAACTGTTCTGGAGTGGTCCCTATTTACCCTTATTCTATCCCTAGGCTGGACATGGAAAGAAAAAACTGCATACATCTTTTCCTGCTCCTTTTTCACCCCCGGTAGAACTGCCTGAATGTAACACAAGTCCTGAAGAAGAGTCTAGTGCCGAACCCTCGCCGGTTCGGTTATCCGCCATCGATACTTCATTGCCAAGGCCCCGGCTTTTCCGCTCGGACCGTTGGCAGAGTCTCAGGGCATCATCATCTCCAAAGCAGATGCCGGTAGATCTACCTGTACCTAGCCTTTCCTCTCCGAACCTTGACTGCGTTTCGGGTGGGTCGTCGACGTCCCCCGGCCAAGTGGCGCCTTTGGGTCCCGAACAACAACAACAACAAAAAGTAGACGACTCTCCCCCTCCGCCTACGGCACCTCGCATCGGCTGTACATCCCATCCCTTCGTATCACCACCACCTATGTTGGTAATACCATTCTCTCCCAGATTTCATCAACCAGGTTCGCGGTTGAACCCACAGTCTACAATTCCAATTCCGCTGTTAGTGATGACGCCTGCAAACACGCCCGGCGCGACGGAGGAAGACGAAAAACTCGATGACTATTTTCCTTCCATCACACTGCCTTCATTTGGGAAGGCGCCGCTCGGCCACGGACACCGACGACTTTGCCGTCGCAAATCGTCTATTTCTTCAACTGTGCTTCTTCGTCTACGCGGTCATCGATTGTCTCTGGCTAGTAGGAGCCATCTGATGCCTTTTGGATCTGTTCCTGCGGACGACCCTCCTGTCCCTCCGAACCTCAAAAATTCGCCGTATTTACGCAGTCCACTTCTTTCATCGTCGTCATCGTCGTCAGGCCCCAAGTTCGGTAACTTCCCTCCCGGTGGCAGCCTTACACCCAACAGCTCCATGGTATCCAGTGCCGGCTCCATCGCCAGTTCGGGATCCTCGACGATGCTATCGCCGTTGTCAAGTCCTGCTCGTCGGGCGAGGAATGTTTAGTGGCTGGCACTTTACCTTCCTCCGGTGGAAAAATGCAAGTGCTAATGAGGGGGTCCTGTGCGACCAAGTGCCGAAGCACTGCTTGATGGATGAGGAAATCTGAAGGGGAAGATTCTGCACTGGATGTTGAAGGCAAATAGAGGTGTTCATGCACTGTCACTTTTGGCTCAAATCTGTTGACTTGTGTGTCACTACTTGTTTTTCTTTTTTTTTTCGGTATTTAAGCGGATCGCATCGACTTTTTTTAATGGTCGTTCATCAATGCTACAGATGCCCACAGACATCGATCTTTACTCTCATTTCCCTCATGCAACCGTAAAAATTCGCACTGTAATCAGTGCAGACAGATGTGTCAGTGTCGTCAATTTCTAATGTTTTGTACCAAAAATGTGGAATTACATCAAAAAAAAACCCCGTTGATGGTGTGTGTGTGTTGGGGGGCGGGGGCGGGGGGTGAATGTCTGCATATTATGCTACTGTCCAGTATGAAAACACGAGAAAGCCAGTTGTTGAAGGCCTTCCACTCACTCAACTTGCCCCGGATGCCTTTTCGTCAACATTGGGCGTTGTAGCGTCTCGAGGCCCTTTTCCTTTACGTCGATGCTTTTTTCGATGACCTCTACGAGCCCTAGTGCCGCTGCCCGCTACCTCGCCCTCCTCCTCTTTCGTTCCACCCTCGCCTGCATCCTTGCCTGTGCCTTCATCCTCATCGGTGTCTGGTGACAATGGGCGCTTTTGGCTAAGACGAACTGTTTCGTGCTTCGCGTCGGATGGGTTAAGACCATTGGTGTTGTTGTTGTTAAATGTACCGTCTTTCTCGGTTTTCACTGATGGACGTGGTGCTGGTCTGAGTTTTGGCTTTCGCGTTTTTTTGTTGTTGTTGCTCGCTTTTTTGGGAGTCGCTACTTTGCGTCGTTCTTCTTCAAGTTCTTGGGGCTTGTTGCTCCTAGAGATCATCGCGAGCTCTGCTTCACTCGCCCTCAGACCACTTTCATCCTATTATCGTCGTTGAGAGATTCAAACAATCAGGGAAAAAAAGAAAAAGAAAAGAGTACTCGGAACTCGAGAGGACGTACATAAACTGCGAGAGAGAGCGTGGCATTGCTTGGGCGTCCCAACACCATTGCATGTTTATTAAAGTGGATCACTGGGACCCCTGCAATACGCCTGAGAGCCACGAACAATTCTTTGTTTACGGTTGCAACACAGCAGTGCCGTTCATTCGATGTGCCTGCAGTGGGGATTTTTTCCGAAGAAAAAGAAAAAACCAATTGAGACTAAGCGGGTCTGCTTTTAAGAGGTCCAAGAGAGAACGCACCAATGATACTCTTAATACATTCATCTTCATTGATTGCCGTCTGGTGATCGCATCTCCATAGTTCGAATCCCTTTGCAGTGCGTATGATGGGTTGTCCCTGTCCCTTATCTCCCAACCGATAAAGTCGAGCCATGCTGCATCTAGTTATCACTATATATTATATATGCCATGCCCCCCCTTATATATTTCGTCACTTCCTACTGATGAAAAAAAAATTATGACTCACTTAGCCGTGCGTCCCCTCGAAGTACGGTTTCAACACACTTTTGCAAGTTGTACTGCGTGTGATAACCGTGAATGCAGAATGTGGAATCAGTCAGAACTTGATACGGATCACGGAAGCCAAAGTACTGGCGGTACATGTTCATGATCTTCTTGTATATTTTCGCGCGCCGTTCACGCATTTTGGATCACACGCTAAAACAGATACGTGGTTCAGAATGCTCCCCGGCGCTTGGATTAAATTGAATCGAGTTTTTTTTCAGCGGCGTTGGCCGAATTCTCTCGATTCAAATGCATCCCATGCTTGATTGTCAAACTTGAGCCAAAATCGTCCCAGTTCGAATACTTAGTCAAACAAACAGGTCTCCTTCGAAGGGGACTCTCAAAGTGCAAGTTTTAGCTCATGTCTGAGGAGATTGTCAATCCATTCCCCTCTCCTTCGTCGTATTATAAACTCTACACTGAGCACAATTTGAACTTGCTTCATCTCCTCCGTACAAGAACATCGACGAGCGTTCATGATCCCATACCGCCTGAAGCACAACAACACCAATCGCTGTTTGATCAATCTCAAGTCCCACCATGGGACTTGACTACGTTAGAGAGACCCCGTGCTGACTGGATCGTGGAAGAGGGAAACTACGAGACCTTCGGCGACTTTTGGCCTGTGCGGAAAGCTTGGTTAAAAATAAGAAAAGAAAGATATTCATCTCCTTTGCCTGACTCTTTGCTGCACCCAGATACCCGAACGACATCCAACATTGGAAGAAGGTGGAATTCAACAACTGTACAAGGCAGGCAATGGTACGTGAGTCCTAATAAATCTCGTGGAGATTACAGACCCCCCCCACCGATGAACATGACCGCCGGATATATAGATCACCGGGAGGACCTGCATAAGATGCTTCGCACTATTCTCGTCACTTACCACCGCTTGGTCGGAGCGTTGTTGATCCCGCCTCATCCAGTCGCCCAAGAACCCGAGTGGGTTCAGCACATGGAATGGATCCGGATCGTAACCCTTAACATGGTTGCTGCGGTTAATGAATTGCGGCCAGTTCAGGTGAGTGGAGGAGGGGGGGGTTGATCATATTGTTATCATCAAATGGGATTTCTTAATTCCTTAGCTCGCAAGGCACGCGAAACGCTCAAAACTGCTTTGAGGACTCAACTAGAATCGAGAAGGCAGCAAACCAAGTATATTCATGCGTAAGCTCTCTCTTTCTAACTAAAATCATTGGAATGTAAGGCATTTATTTCGAGTTTTTTTTTTTCGTTTTTTGTCTCAGAAAATGCGATGAACTCAGCGAACAACTCGCTTCCTTGAAGTCACTGACTCTTCAGAACGTTTCTACGTTTATGGATGAAGGCGACCCTAGTAGGGCTCTTTATTCTCTTTCGGGTTTGCGTCAAGGTGGCTCGGACCTACCATTGCTCCCCCTTTCTGAGCTCGAGAAATGGGCGAACAGCCTGTAAAAAAAAACTTTCCCTTGCCCACCTGTGAATGTTTTTTTTTTTTGAACTCCCATAGAGGGAGGGGATCGGGGATCGTTTCTTTTTCTTCCTCGAGTTTGGGCATTTTCAACACATTGGAAAACTCGCGTATGATGATTCCGCCTTGGTTCGTTGCTTACATCACGCTTTTTCAACCACCGTGTCTTATGATCCTTGCGATAGGTCGTTCCCCAGGATATTATAATTTATACGCCTTTGGCGTCTTGGTCCGTTCCTATATTGAGTCGACTAGCATAATTCCTTGCTTGGCATGATGATCAGTGACGTGACGGTGCGATGATGCCTGGAATGGCTGTTATTAGCCTAGAATAATATACGCAGAAGAGCATCCCCCGCGTGCAGATCAACCGGCATGGCATATTTGTCTTGGTAACCGTTGCACCCAACACAACTCTTCAGAAGGAACTTTGCATAAGTATGCGGGACAACTTTTCACGTTGAAACAAACGCCAATGACAACTAAGCGGACTAGATTTGGTGTGAAAGGGCGTGTCTGGTGCGAGGCTTGAAAGTCTTGCGCGCCACATCTGAAAGCCAATATATCCAACCCTGCCCGTGAGCAGGAGGCTGGGATCCCGCCTGCGTGAGCAGCAAGTTCCTTTCAACATGAAATGAACGAGATGGATTGCGTTGCTACGGATTCTCATTACATCCGCCCCAAGATGGCTGCGTGGAATGCACAACAGGCCTGACAAACGCTTAGATGAACATGTGTCCGAAGAACTGAATCCGGTTCCGGCGCACAATTACTGCACTCATGAGCAACAATCCGTTCGGGGACGATGAGCTCGATGCGTCCTGGGGGATTTCTCCATCTGAATCAACAACTTCCAGTCCCATGAAAGATGCACTGAAGAAAGAAACACTCATTAAGTGCGCAGCGTTACCGTGAAAAGAGGGTATCTATTGAATACGCCTTCAGGGACATCCAGGCTGCTCAAGCTGATCTGAGGGGTAAGAGACTGAAACACTAGCAGAAGATCTCTATGATCGCTAATGCGTGATCTCTGTTCCCAGTGTTACTTGAACGCACTGAGAAGGTGCAAGGGGAAGTTGATAAACTGGTGGCTGGGAACGGAATGTTACAAACATACATCGACAATCTCACAAAGCAGCTGGCTCGCAAATAATAATGGTAAGCCATTCATGGCTTTGATATAACTCACGATCTAAGACCACTTGATTTCTAGAAGGGGGCCCGCCCGTTCACTTGACCAAAGTTGGCGAGACTATGAAGTCATGGGCTTTGGACAAATGCACCCTACGCCTACGAGTCTCTCAGTCCATTAAGCCTCTCATTGGAGCCTTGGTTCTCAAGTAGGAAACCCTGTCGGTATCCTGCGATTGATTTTACTCGTTTGCAGTTGTTCACGGGTGCTTGCATTTCTGTATTTGAATTGAAAATAAGCGCCCATTTGTGTTGCTCGCTTCCATTATTGTCCTGCATCACTGACATCGAAATGTTGCTGGGGTCCTATCTGGTGCTTGGCTCATGTGTAGTATAATGCTACATCGAGTGACGAGTAACGACCTACAGACAGAGAGTACGAGGACAGTGAGGAGGAAGAGAGTAAATGGAGTCATCACAGTGATGGTCCATCATACTACGTGCTACAACTCAAATCCTTGAATTCACGCCAGCTCATCATCCCAGTCGGTAATGAATGGGATAATGGTGTGGCCGATAATGGGCACTTCTTCTATGCTGGCAGCTGGTCAGGAGTGTCGCAAGGGGCTGAAAGTCCTCACCTGCTTGTAAGAAAAGCCTGGGCATCTGAAAGAGCTTGCTTAGCACCAGCTTTGTTCATTTGTTGGTACTTTTCGTCTGCATCTCGAAAATGTTCCAATGCCTGCCGGGCAGAATTCACAGCATTATCCCATTTGTCAGAGCTCTGCCTCCGTTTCCCCGCGACATTGGCCCTGTTTACAGATCGGTCACGGAAAGCTTCGATGCTCCAGAGGTGGGCGCATAGCAACAGGTCGAAGACTGTCTCACTTATCAAGCGCACAGCCTGGATGAAAGGAAGGGTAGTCTCATCGATAGTTGGATCTGGAAGCATGAGACCTCTTTGAAACTTTGGGGGATCACCAGCGAAGGCTCCGCGAAGAAACGAATGTGGAATCTTCTGAGCCCCGACAAACTTGAAAAATTGAAAGAAGGTACCATCCCAAAGAATCCCAAACACAGGCACTGCGAGACCTGCTATTGAATTTTTCCAATCGCATGCTGTGGCAACGCGTAAGTTGGCAACCAGAAAGACAACAGTGAATACTGACCATTACATTCAGCTATTACTTGACCGATAGCATCTAAACGCTCCTTCTGGTTTCCGACTTTCAGCTTGGGTTCGATGACAAGAACAGAGACGGAGCCAAACGCCCTGAGGCATTCGACTCTCCCTTTCGTAGTAATACGACCCACTAAAATGGACTCTGGGAAGTTTCTGAAACTAAAGCCAAACTCTGCGATGAGGCGGTGGAATATCTGATACGTGAAGGTGTGAGGTTGCTGCAGTCTGAAGAGGATGGGATCACTCAGACTGGAGAGAGGAGGCGGGATGTAGCCTCTTCGGTTTCATGTTCAAAAAGGGGGCCATATTGCTTTAACATAATATCCATATCTTCTACAATGGATCTTAAAAGGTTGGTAGGGATACGAGAGCGATGGAGCTCGAAAGTTTCGATATCTCGGAGGAATCGAAGAGGGTCGAGTCCAACGAACGGAGCGATGCGGTTGTACTTAACACCTGAGAAGCTTGCATCCAAACCTTTCTCTGGGTAAATTGGAGTTAAGACCAAAACTATATTCTAATAAGGTAAAGGACACACCCAGAATGATTTCTTGTAAAGACTCTAAGTGAAAGTCATACTCGTCGATAATGTAGAGAAGAGCAAGTGAAGCCGTGGGATGATTCTGGATGGCGTTGGAGAGGACTCCCTTGAGTTCCTCATTGGTGATCGCCCTATTACCTTCCCCCCGCCTCTTCTTGGTTGGAGGCCCAGACATGGCAAGCAACCACAAAACCACGGTACAGTGGGCTGGTCGTCTGTCTAAGTCGAGTCAGCCCAACCTCGTAAACCTGCCATTTACGGAAGAGGTTTTCTGAATTGTCATCCTGACGTCATTTTTAACCTTTCATATCTCCTCTCAGGGTCGACAATCATCATGGCCGCCATGCCAGAAGCCAAAACTTGCAGCATATGCAAGCAAACTAAAACCATTGTAACACACGTAAGTCCTCTGACAAAAAAAGGGAGCGTCAACAAGGGCGAGCTTCTGAATTTTTGAATGGACTTGCCTCTCTCTCTCGATTCTTGGACACACTTACCCTGCCTGATGTCCCCGAGGTCATCTTCAATGGCAGTCCACCTGAAATGCAAGCAACCGTGTTGCTGCCTCCACAGGATTTTTCTTGGGGCCAAGGCCATCACCTCAACACCGCTATTCACTAGCGCAGCAAAGGTAATCGGGGAGTACGTCAAAGTCGTGGACAGCCATGAGGCCCAACCTAGACGGACCTGGCCAAAGAGTACCAAAGAGCGAAGGGCATCCCCATACACGCTCTACCATCAAGTCTGAGCCGGAAGGGTAGCAATAGCGTGTTGTCAGGGTATTCAAGTCAGCCGGCTCAACAAATTACTCTTTTTAAGTTTTCTTATACGACATCACTTTTGACTTAGATTGCAGTTGGGCACTGAGGTATATACGTGGACAATTGAAATCAAGATCGATTCCTTCCCGCTCACTGTGCTCTGCCAACTTTGGAACACTGTCATTAAGCCTAAACCGGCCATGGTGGCCATGAAATCTGTTAAAAGGGAAAGAACCGTCCTGCCACCGGTGGAGTCGAGCGCGAGAGCGTTGATGAACCCTTTAACACTCATGACAGTGGTTCAGATTCAGAAGCGACTCAAGCGGTTCAGATAAGTACCGTTATTTCCAACGGATCATCTATGCTAATATTACAAAGTCATAGAAGTTGAGTCCTACATCTACACTTTGAAGAGGGAGCTCGAGCAGAAAGAATACCTGAATGCCAACTCATCTTGCACCTTCAATCCACGTTGGACAAATGAGCCGTGACAACACGCTGGTACGCATATCTGTGTGTTCATATCTTTACAGACATATACCCTTTTGCTTTGTGTGCTGCGTGTTTTACTCATTCACAATGCTCCAGCATTCCGCGGTGGTAGCACCTCCCATTATTTTTGTTTCATTACTTTCTACACCCTTTGCTGCTTCACCGCGCGCGCGGGGTTACAATATTATCTTGCTATCAACTCATACTTGCTTCCCCTATCTTCAGCGATACAGACATCTTGGAAGTCAACTCGATTCGCTCCGTGATACGATCGATGCTTTGGAGAGTCGAAAGTAAGGACACAAGTGTCCCGCTTCATCAGCACCAAAGGTGACATCAATATCTACCTCTGTCCATCTGCCTTGTCCAAGAAGGCATTTTTGTTGACGAAAAGCGGGCTCCAGAACCATTCTCAAGATTGGCAATGTGTGTCTAATTTCATTTAATTTTTTCTGGGTCGATATTCACGTCGCATGGTTCTCTCAAAATCAAAATCGATGCTCTCCTGCCTGCTGTGCTTTGCCAGCGTTGCGATGAACGGTGCCCACATAGGCATTATACACGGCTACTGTTGCTGCCCACAACAGTGGTTCAGGTTTCTGTTGGAATATCAACGCTCATCGACAACAGCCGAGCTGCAGCGTGGATTGGGGAGTCTTTATTTTAACTTAATATCGTCGTGACTAACAACGACTATACCTTTTTGTTTCAGAGTCGCGGTACCACGTGCTCCCAATTTACTTTGTCTTATATCGCTAGTTGTCACAGACAATCGCTTTAAGCGATATTGGCTCCAGTCGTATAAGTTACGCTGGACGCCGTAATTTTTCTCCCTCCCTCAGTTCTCTATTTCGAGACTGAGGTGATACCATTTCTTTCCTATCTGTGTTTGCGCATAACTCATTGTATTTTCATGTTATAGTTACGCGCGATAGGTAAACATCTTAATACTAGTTCTCTATTTCGAGACTGAGTTACGCGCGATAGCTCCTATTTCATTAGGTTATGAGCCCAGCCATGGCCACCTCAAACGATAGTTCTAAGAATATTTACAACATCGAGAAATTAAAGAACGATGGTCGTAACTATCGAATGTGGTCTATTCGCTGCCGCATGATTCTCGTCGACAGAGCACTCTGGGAATTTGTCGATCCCAGTTCCAAAACCTCCGACAAACCTTCCTCATCTTCCTCTTCCTCATCTTCCTCCTCATTGTCCTCTAGCTCTTCTGGCAAAGCGGCTGCTACTTCCCCTGATCCTGCTGTTGTCGAATGGGATAAGAAAAACAGCAACGCCCTTACCCAGATTGCACTCACCATTGAAGACACCCCTCTATCTATGATTGAAGGGAAAGACTCCGCTAAAGAAGCCTGGGTTGCCCTGTCGAAACGTTACAATGGAGTCGGTGCACAAGATGCAGCTAGAGTGATGACTCAACTTCATCATTACCAACTAGACGATTCCAAACCTCTTGAGCCTCAGCTGATCGAGATGCGGGGACTTCGCGACTGACTGACTAGTCTTGGCGATACTTATACTGATGCCAAGTTTGCTATGATAGTGTCCGAAGCACTACCAGAGTCGTATGATACCCTTAAAACGATAACATTGGCGGATCTCGACGACGCATCCACGATTGCCTGTGACAAACTCATCGCTCAGATTCTCCGAGAAGAGAAACGGAAATCCAAACCTAGGTCGTCTACCGCTCTAATTGCCAAATCTGGAAAGGTTGCTAGCAAAGAGTCAGATAAGTCGGATGGGAAGAAATCTAAAAAGACTAAAGATCGCCCACGTTGTACAAACACTAACTGTAAATGGAGGTTGGGACACACCTTCGAACAGTGTTGGGCGGAAGGTGGTGGATCTGAAGGCCAACGGCCGGCAAAGTCGAGTGATAAACAAGCCATGAAGGATAAGAAGAAGGACGCCAAGATCGACCTTTTTCTGGTAGAAGAACAGGTGGCGGTTGCAGGGAGCGATCGTGCACGGATGACTGAATGGGTTATAGACTCTGGGGCATCATCACATATCTGCGCTAATCGCAATTGGTTCTCTTCATACTCACCTTTACATCCTCCTCGTCCTGTCTACCTCGGCGACAAACGTGCCCTTTTTGCCACTGGTCAGGGCCAGATCGAAGTCATCCTCCACAATGGGACCGAAGATCGTTGCGTCATCATCACTAACGTTCTCTATTGTCCGAAAATCGGTACTAACCTTCTCTCCGTGGCACGCTTGACCTCAGTTGGGATACAAGTTCATTTCTCCGTCCACAGTTGCCGGATCCTCAATCCAAACGACGAAGTACTCGGCATTGCCAAGACTTCTGGCGGCCTTTATAGGCTACCTTGTATCGTAACCGGTTTAGATTGTGCGTACATCAGTAGAGATGTCGAGGACGGGAATGTCGAAGCCGCGCTGGTTGCTCAAACAACCACAGCGACAGCGTCTCTTGATGTTTGGCATGCCCGACTCGGACACATCTCGACGCAGTCGATTCTGAAGATGGTCCGGAGTGGAATGGCCAGGGGAATGGAAGTGATCGGGGATGGGAAGGGAAGTTCTACCTACTGTGAAGAGTGTGAAGCGTCAGGCCATACACGTTCCCCCATTCCAAAGTCGACACTTACCCGTTCTGACGAAGTTCTTGGACGCGTTTTTTCAGACGTATGTGAGGTACAGACCGTGACACGCGAAGGGTATCGATACTTCATCACGTTCGTTGACGACCACTCGCGATATCTCACTGTCTACCTGTCAGGGCACATACCCTGACTGTTACGGGGATGGGGGAAATTCCCCATTCCTCGATCCGTTCTTATAGTGGGAAGGCGAGAGTCATGTCTAGTTTGTACCATAACTGGAAGTGTAATCGATGAGTGGTCCCAGTCTGACCTGGGAGTGGGCGATCGAATTCCCATCGATCGCGATGGGTGATGTAGTGAGCTATTAAGGGATTGATGATTGATAGTCGGAGATATCAGGACAGAAGGGTCAGCCACGGATACTTGGCGCTCCTCAATGGAGCGTACCGTGTGCGAGGTCGCGACTGGTGAGATGGGTGAGAGCCTCGCGTAGTTGCCATCGGGTACTTGGCGTTCGCAGTGCGAACGTACCGGTAGCGGGTTGATATCGTAGGCGTGCAATGAGGGCTGACTATTAAGGCCTTCGGTGACTTGGCGTTCCCAAAGGGAACGTACCGTTGGCGGGGACATGTGATGACTGGCAAAGGAAGAAACAGACGGTGGATGGGCGGCTACTTGGTGTTCGCGTAGCGAACGTGCCGGCATCGAGGGTAAGTGGGCCTCATAGTGTTCACGATCACCCTGATCGTGATGGGACGTCGTATGTTGAGTACTGGGGGGAGAGCGGAGTGATGAAGACCCATAGGGTACAGGTTCAATAGGACGATACACACGTCGAGAGTCTTCGACTCTCGACTTCGAGTTCTCGCGGCGAGGGCCGTTAGAGGACTTGATATAACCCGACTTATAAGACATAGTGAGAGTTGTACAGTCACACAGGTTCAGTTGAGTCACAGGGAGGGTTGTTACAGAAGACGGTACACGAGACAGTTGTAGAGCAGTTGTTAGTTAGCGGGAACCGCCTTCGGCGGTTTCCGTACATGACGCGTGACTATCTACAAATGGTAAGGTCGCGGGAAATCCCGCGAAACACAAACAACCTCGGCCAGCACCAAAACCCCAATGGGGAAAGCTTTGCACGAGGGGGGGAAAGGGGTAGAACGGGTAAGGAGGATAGGGTAGCGGGATAGAGGACGGAAAGGAGAAAGAGGGGAGGAGCGATAGAGAGGGGAAGTCTTTGACCATGCGACGGATATGGTTGTTGGAGACTCCGTATCCGTAACACTGACTTAGCCCGGACCCGGACCCGCGTCCGGACCCGCTCCACTTCCCGCGCACTTCCTGCGCCGCACGCTCCGCGCGCTGCATGATCCGACCCCGGATCCCACCTCATGTGACTTCCGGGTATCCCCGGAAGTTTTCGCCATATTGGGGCCACTGTGGGAAAGTGAGAAGTTAACCTTCTTCTCACTTTCTTACCCACAGTAGGCAAGTGTAGCCTACTCTTCATTTATCTATACACTTTCTTACCCACAGTAGTTATGCCCTGAGATGGGCTGTGTTTACAGGCTAGACTGTGGACTGTAGAGAGGGGTCATGGGGACCCGGGGTCCGTCCCCTGACACTACCCTATCAAGAAGAAGAGCGACGCCCTCGAGAAGTTCAAGGAGTTCCTGGCTCAAGCTGAACGTCAATGCGGGAAAAAGCTGAAAATCTTACGTACCGATGGTGGTGGTGAGTACTTCTCTAACGACTTCACCCAATACCTCAAAGACATCGGCATCGTCCATGAGAAAACCAATCCCCACACCCCCCAAGAGAATGGCGTAGCCGAGCGTGTTAACCGGACTCTCGTTACGATGGTGATTGCGATGCTTGAAAGCGTCAAATCCCTTGTTGGACGGACCGCTTGGCCATACGCGCTCAGGCATGCTGCACTCGTCAAAAACGTCGTTCCCCATTCCGCCCTTCCTGATGATGTTTCTCCCTTCGAGCTATGGACAGGCAACAAACCATCAGTATCCACGATACGCACCTTTGGATGCAAGGCTACTCTTGCTGTTCCTGAAGGTCAACGGGATAAACTTGCTGCCCGGTCCATTACGGGAATCCATCTAGGTCTCGCCGTCGGCAAAAAGGCCTTTGTAATATATGACCCCGACGCTCGAAAAATCCACGAGTCTCGCGACGTCCACTTCTTCGAGGGTTCACCTGATTCTGAACGTGTTACGATCGAATCTCCTGTGGTGGATTCTCTCTCGCATGTGGTTGACAGGGGGAGTATGGTTGGATCTGGTAACGGGGAGGTAGAGAGGGAAGATGATGATCACAGAAGTTGCATGGATGGTGACGAGAACGGTGGGGAAAGGGACAATGATGATGATGGACAAGTGGATGGATTGAATAGTGTGATCAGTGGAGATGTCGGGGAAGAATCCATACCGGAGGGACCGCGACGATCGAGACGTGAACGACGCGTGCGCACGAGAGATGATGACGATCGATATTTCGTGAGTTCCTATAGCCGATCCAATCAGCCCCATTCCACAGACACCCAACCAGTGGGCGAATCCCACGCCTACGTCGCCCAATCCGATATTCCACTCACCTACAAAAGCGCCATGAACCGCCCCGACTCTGACGCCTGGCTCGAAGCTTGCCAAGACGAACTATTGTCCTTGAAGGAAACCCGGACCTATGTTCCAGTTAGTACTGACGAAGTTGATGTTCGAAATGTCGTCGGTTGTCGTTGGGTATTCGCCTTGAAGAAGGGAGCGGATGGCTCCGTTGAACGTTACAAGGCAAGGATTGTTGCTAAAGGTTTTGGTCAAATCTTTCAAGTTGACTATGATGAAACTTTCGCACCTGTGGTCAAATGGGTCTCTATCCGGATCCTACTTGCCATCGCCGCGCGACTCGATCTCGAGGTCCACCAAATGGATGTGAAGACCGCCTTTTTGAATGGCGATCTCCAACATACTATCTACATGGATCCACCAGCGGGGAGCGCGGACTATGGGAAGGAGAATGTGGTATGGAAGTTAGAGAGGAGCCTGTACGGTTTGAAGCAGGCCTCGCGGGAATGGTACAAAAAGGCTAAGAAAGAATTCGCGAAACTCGGCTTTCTCCGGTGTGATTCGGATCATGCCGTGTTCATCCATCGTGGGAAGGGACATGTCTTCTGCATTATCGCACTATACGTCGATGATCTGATGATCTTATCCAACGATGTCAAGGTTCTTAACGCCAAGAAGTCTCAACTCATGATGGCCTTCAAGATGAAGGATCTCGGGGACATTCATTGGTTTTTAGGACTTGAGATCACACGCGATCGATCCCGGCACCTAATTTCAATATCCCAGACCCGCTACGTAAAAGACATTCTCTCACGTTTTGGTTTTGCTGACTCTCGTCCGATTTCCACTCCCATCGCATCCAACTTCAAACTACCCCGTCTCGATGCCCCTGAAGTCAATGTACGCGATTATCAATCCCGAATCGGTAGCATCATGTACACGATGCTCGGTACACGTCCTGATATTGCGTATTCAGTGGGCGCGCTGAGCCAATACTCCGCCAATCCTGGGAAGGAACATCTCGCTGCCGTTAATTGTGTATTCAGATACTTGAATTATTCACGGAACTACAAGCTAGTCTATAACGGTAAAGTTCCCGATGATGATTTTACAGGCTATTCCGACTCCGATTGGGCGGGTGACTCGCGCGATCATCGATCCATTTCCGGCTTTGTGTTCAAGATTGCCAGCGCTGCCGTCTCTTGGAGTTCAAAGAAACAATCATCAACGGCTCTTTCCAGCACAGAAGGTGAATACATGGCATTGACTCACGCGTCTAAGGAAGCCATTTGGATTCAGCAATTTCTTGGCGACATCCTCAAACCCCCTTCTATTCCTCACACCATCCTCGGCGACAATCAGGGTGCTCTTGCCCTTGCCGCTAATCCCACCTTCCATGCGCGGACTAAACACATTCGCGTCAGACAACATTTCATTCGAGAATGCGTCGACAATGGAGACGTAGAGCTCGATTACGTCCCGATGGCCGATCAGGTGGCCGACGTTCTTACTAAAGGACTTGCGCTGGCTAAACACGACAAGTTCACCAGAGGTATGGGAATTATCGATGGTCATGATCGTTGAGTGGGCGTGTTGGAATATCAACGCTCATTGACAACAGCCGAGCTGCAGCGTGGATTGGGGAGTCTTTATTTTAACTTAATATCGTCGTGACTAACAACGACTATACCTTTTTGTTTCAGAGTCGCGGTACCACGCGCTCCCAATTTACTTTGTCTTATATCGCTAGTTGTCACAGACAATCGCTTTAAGCGATATTGGCTCCAGTCGTATAAGTTACACTGGACGCCGTAATTTTTCTCCCTCCCTCAGTTCTCTATTTCGAGACTGAGGTGATACCATTTCTTTCCTATCTGTGTTTGCGCATAACTCATTGTATTTTCATGTTATAGTTACGCGCGATAGGTAAACATCTTAATACTAGTTCTCTATTTCGAGACTGAGTTACGCGCGATAGCTCCTATTTCATTAGTTTCAGATTACTTGTGGCTTAGACCGTCCCCGCGCCATTGACCATTTAAATATGGTTATTTATCGTAATAATATATGAGCTATCTCTAGTTGGTCTGGAATCAATTTCCCTCATTTTCGAGACATTTTCCATGTCGAGCACATGACTATTGTCCGTTCCACTATGGGACGTTATTAGGTTGAGTTTGGTCGTGTGAGTACAGTAAATGGAGTCATCATGATGGTCCGTGCTACAAATCAAATCCTTGAATTCACGCCAGCTCAATGTCGTTATCATCCCAGTCGGTAATGAATGGGATGATGGTGCGGGTGGTAGTGGGCACTTCTTCTATGCTGGCAGCTGGTCAGGAGTGTCGCAAGGGGCTGAACGTCCTCACCTGCGTGTAAGAAAAGCCTGGGCAGCTGAAAGAGCTTGATTAGCACCATCTTTGTCCATTTTCTGGCGCTTTTCGTCTGCATGTCGAAAATGTATCAATGCCTGCTGGGCAGAATTCACAGCATTGTCCCATTTGCCAGAGCCCTGCTTTCGTTTCCCCGCGACACTGCCCCTGTTTACAGATCGGTCACGGAAAGCTTCGATGCTCCAGAGGTGGGCGCATAGCAACAGGTCGAAGACTGTCTCACTTATCAAGCGTACAACCTGGATGAAAGGAAGGGTAGTTCCATCGGTAGTTGGATCTGGAAGCATGAGACCTCTTTGAAACCTTGGGGGATCACCAGCGAAGGCTCCGCGAAGAAACGAATGTGGAATCTTCTGAGCCCCGACAAACTTGAAAAATTGAAAGAAGGTGCCATCCCAAAGAATCCCAAACACAGGCACTGCGAGACCTGCTATTGAATTTTTCCAATCGCATGCTGCGGCAACGCATAAGTTGGCAACCAGAAAGATAATAGTGAATACTGACCATTACATTCAGCTATTACTTGAGCGATAGCATTTAAACACTCCCTCTCGTTTCCAACTTTCTCGAATCCGATGACAAGAACAGAGACGGAGCCAAACGCCCTGAGGTAGTACTCGGTTCTCCCTTTCGTAGTAACACGACCCCCTAAGATGGACTCTGGGATGTTCCTGAAAGCAGAGCCAAACTCTGCGATGAGGCGGTGGAATATCTGATACGTGAAGGTGTGAGGTTGCTGCAGTGTGAAGAGGATGGGATCACTCAGACTGGAGAGAGGAGGCGGGATGTAGCCTCTTCGGTTTCATGTACAAAAACAGGGCCATATTGCTTTAACATAATATCCATATCTTCTATAATGGATCTCAAAAGGACGGTAGGGATACGAGAACGATGGAGCTCGAAAGTTTCAATATCTTGGAGGAATTCAAGAGGGTCGAGTCCAACGAACGGAGCGATGCGGTTGTACTTAACATCTGAGAAGCTTGCATCCAAACCTTTCTCTGGGTAAATTGGAGTTAAGACCAAAACTATATTCTAATAAGGTAAAGGACACACCCAGAATGATTTCTTGTAAAGACTCTAAGTGAAAGTCATACTCGTCGATAATGTAGAGAAGAGCAAGTGAAGCCGTGGGATGATTGATCTGGATGGCGTTGGAGACGATTCCCTTGAGTTCCTCACGGGTGATCTTCCTATTACCTTCTCCCCGCCTCTTCTTGGTTGGAGGCCCAGACATGGCAAGCAACCACAAAACCAGGCTTCAACCTCGTAAACCTGCCATTTACGGAAGAGGTTTTCTGAATTGCGATCCTGACGTAATTTTTAATCTTTGTTACTTTACTTCTCAGGGTCCACAATCATCTACTCCAGCAAGTCACACCGCAAAAAGGCCAAAATATAGCTCATGGTTGAAGCGCGTTATTGGTGGAAAATAGGATATAACACGAGTTAAATCTGCGTCACATTAGTAAATATTAATTACCGTGTTTATTTGGAATATAACGAGATATAATTTGCCTGCTGAGACTTATAAATTCTAGGTGGACGCGGTATGAGCTGGCTTCACCTTCTACCACCACCATCCGCCTCTGAAGCCAACCCATCAGGTGCCTCTCCTAATTTTGTAGTCGACTGATCGGTATCTGCGACGTTTCCCACGCCGGGTGCGCTTGTCGACGCTGTTGTGCTCTGGAAATCAAAGAAGCACCCACTGAACCATGGGTGGACGAAATGTACGCCCCACAGACTACCGGTAAATGCTAAGCATAACTAGTTTCTTCCTGCACATGCACTGCAACTCGTTTCCCACCCCACACTCGCGACTGTCATCACCTCTCCTTCTTGATAGCGCCGACTGTGCCCATACAACGCGTGCCATGACTCCGAATATGGTCCCCTCTTTCGGACCCCCTCAGTGATAAAGGCCCATATGATAAAACAACGCGTCTCATCCAGTTGGGGCGGCTACCGCAACGCCGACATCCCCTCTAGTCTCCACATAGAGGGTTCTTCATACTCACGTTAAGTGGCCAGTATTGGCAGGCTGCTTTGGCCTGCGGTCAGGAGTTGGCTTAATTTATCTTAAGTATCTCTCCACCATGATCGACATAGCTTTCTAACATTTCTCTGACCATGCCTGTTCTAGTTGACCATTCATTTTCACGAGCCCCTTTACTCCGGAGGTAAGTGTTGTTATGTAGCTCTCAGCGGGGACACTCGGATAACGGGGGAACAACCAACTTGATATTGTAACCGCACAGCGGTATAAGTAGTTAAAGTAATAACACGAATATCAGACAAAAGTAATAAGAAAGTGAGATACGCGACAGCGCTACATGTGGAAGGCAATCAACAGTGAAACACGAAACACATGGTAAAAGGGTATCATATCGGATAGCCGATATGGGCATGATATGCGTACCGGCGCGTCGTCATGTCTTGCTCAAACAACAGTAAGCCAGCTGGCAGTATTATATTTCTGATTCTTCGTCATCATGTGGCTGAGCTGAGAGACTTGACATGGAACTAAGTAGTTGGAGGATGAGACGGTCTCGACTTGAGCGCTGGTGCGAAGCTTCTGTTGGAATTTGCACGTGGTCTTTTAGGGAAACCTAAAAGTTGGACATACTGGGAATCGAACTCCAGTCCTCTGGATCGCGAACTCAGTGTGCACAGCCATTACACCATACGCCCTGATAGGCTGAGGTGGTTATTTCAACACACCCCCTTCACATTGGATCGACCATGTGATCCACATGTGACCCAAACCACCGGGGTTCCAACAACCCGTGAGCCGTCACCCCCTGAATTCATATTCAGGCCGGACTTACTGCTAATCTCCTACATGTCCATGTCATGTGGTCTGAAGCAGCCGGATTTGGGTCCTTAGTGCTCTGAGCTACACCCCCTGAAACTTTGTCAGGCCGGCTAATTTAATGCTTGACTTCACGTGCCCAGCTCACGTGGCAGCAACCGGATTTGGGTGTGCTCGGTGTATTCCGCAGAATGTCCACCATGTTGGAATTTGCACGTGGTCTTTTAGGGAAACCTAAAAGTTGGACATACTGGGAATCGAACTCCAGTCCTCTGGATCGCGAACTCAGTGTGCACAGCCATTACACCATACGCCCTGATAGGCTGAGGTGGTTATTTCAACAGCTTCTAGTAGGGCTCGGTGATTTGGTTGGGGACACTCGGACTTACAGTAATTGTAACACAAAGCTTGGGGATGTCAGGGACCGACCCGGGGTCAAGAGCGCCCGGGTGTATCGCCCGAGGCTGAGGGTCCGGTAGGTATGACGCAGGCGTGCGTAGCAGCGGGCCCGAAACAGACAAGGGTCCCTGGCCACTAAGACTAAAGTGGGAAATGTGTTATTGTCATTATCAAGGGAAGTGTAAGCTACTTGCCTAAAGTGGGAAATGTGAGAAGAAGGTTGCTTCTCAGTTCCCACTTAGGCTGTGTTTATATACATGTGGTTGAAGGCCACGTGGGAAGCGCCATGTCATCCGAGCACACAGCCACCTCCGTCTGGGTACCTCCGTAAGAGGTCCTAGGAGCGTCCGGTGTGCGGGGGGTTGTCCGGTGTGTTGTCAGGGCACGCCCGCCTGACCCGGCCCCACCTAACCCGGTGCCCCACCATCCACTCCTCCCGACCTCCCCCCTCTTCCCCTTTTCTCCCTTCCCTTCCTTCCTCTCCTTCTTTTCTATTCTCTCTCCTCTTTATTCCTTTCTTATCACACGGACGACTTCCTTTTGTCAGAAACTGTGTTCGAGGGGATCGCGGGAAGCGGGGCGGAGTACGGCGGCGTAAGTGGACACTTAGCTAATGAGCTACTCCGTTGCAAGGCATCGAGGGGGTTGGGACTTCGGCTTCAACGACTTTGCCAGAGCGTTGCGCCACGCGTTCTAGGCTGTCCCGTATTTCACGTTAGTGGGAAAGACCTTGCGGCGACGTTGACTTTAAGCGGGATGAAGTTGAGGGGCGAACTTAAGATGAAAGTACTTGGGGGGAATTCTAGTCGATATTCGAACTGAGGTACGTCGACAGTAAACTACAAGTATAAATAGGAAAGGAGAACAGAGAAGGGACCGGTCGGTCCGGCGCGGGACGGGAACGAGATGATAAGTACGACAGAACTAAAGAGCGATGAGGACCAGGGTAATGGAACAGAAGAGATGAATGGAACAGAGAACGGCGAAGTTGGGAGGCAGAAAGGATAAGCCGACAATCTAGGCGCGCGGGTCAGAATGTCAATATACGTATAAATCAAATATCAATAAAGGAATAATCAATTGTCAATAAGGAATGTCCATAAGGAGCGGATCAGCGGCGACCATAACAACCGCTAGTTAGTTAAGCGAGTGAATAGAATAAAACGATACCGGCCGAATGGTTGAGGAACCCAAGTGGTGGCGGGAAAACGAAGGAGGCGCTGCTACGGGGCCGTAGAACGGGAACCACTATCGGCGCCGCTAAGTGATGGGCAATGGCGAGATTAACGGGTGCGAGTAACGGCGTAAGAATGGGGGTGCAGAAAGTGGTAGAGGGGCGGGGACTTTGCGGGGCCGTGACACCTTTGTATCAATGTACCATTGACCCGGCTGCAGCGTAATGCGCCCGAACCCGGACACACTGGACGACCCCCCGCACACCGGACGCTCCTAGGACCTCTTACGGAGGTACCCAGACGGAGGTGGCTGTGTGCTCGGATGACGTGGCGCTTCCCATGTGGCCTTCAACCACATGTATATAAACACAGCCTAAGTGGGAACTGAGAAGCAACCTTCTTCTCACATTTCCCACTTTAGGCAAGTAGCTTACACTTCCCTTGATAATGACAATAACACATTTCCCACTTTAGTCTTAGTGGCCAGGGACCCTTGTCTGCTTCGGGCCCGCTGCTACGCGCGCCCGCGTCATACCTACCGGACCCTCAGCCTCGGGCAATACACCCGGGCGCTCTCGACCCCGGGTCGGTCCCTGACAGCAGAAGAAGGTTTCAACCCCATCTCCCCCCACCTCCCCTGCCATGGTGACACAAGAACAGTATGACGACCTTCTGGCCCGGTTCCAGGAACTACAGGCCACTGTGGTAGCCCAAGCCCAGGGCCTGCCTGCGCACGCACCCAGACCACCCAAAGTCGCCCCCCCCACCCCCTTCTCGGGAGTCAGAGAGGACCTCGACCGCTTTAAGGCCGAATGCGGGATCTACCTCTACGTCCGCGCGGCCGAATTCCCCAGCACCCTCTCCCAAGTCCTCTTCATGCTTTCTTACATGAAGGGAGGGACTGCAGGAGCATGGGCAACGCAACGCACCATGGCGCTACTGAGGACAGGCTCCCCTACACCCACCATGGACGAGTTCAATGCAGAACTTGACACCATGTTCCAAGACCCAAACCGGGCGGCTACAGCCCGGCAGAGGCTGGCTACTGTCCGACAGGGAAGTGACCCCGTGGACGGACTCATCCAGGAGTTTGAGATACTAGGGCCCACCTCACAGCTAGGCGACGTAGGGCTAGTCGACCGCTTCGAGCGGGCAATCAACTCCCGGCTCCGCAAGAGCATCTACCAGCTCCGCCCTATGCCCATCACCTGGGCCGAATGGAAGCGTGAAGCCACGCTCCTTGACAGCCAGTGGCAGCACTTCCAGAGGACGCAGCCATGCACGCCCCCACCCGGGCCCCCCCACCTGCCCCACCTGCGACTCCCGTAACCCGTCCCAGATGAGAGACGAACCCGCACCCCGAGACCTGCCAGACCCGACGCCTGCACCCGGAAGACCTTCAAACGCTGATGAAGGGGCTGAAGGGCCAAGCGACGAAAGGACCGGAAGCAGGAGGGAAAGGACTGGACCCGGACCCAAGAGGACGCCCGGAGACCCAGCCTGTAAGGAGCACACGCCAGCCACCCACAAGGGATAGCTCACGCAGATGCCACGATGCCCAGGAGCCGTCACCAGCACCGAAGCTCCATCGAGTCATCGCAAAGAAAAGGAGAAAAGGAGCACCCCGAGCCCGCAAGGATGAGGAAACCACAGAGACGGCCCCAGAGGTAGCAGTGTCCCCACCTGCTATCTATGTCCTCTCCAAACGGTCCCCGAGATCCCTCAACCTTGCCGTAAGGCTGACCTCCCTAACCTCCCTTGCCTCCGTGTCCGTATCAGCGCTCCTAGACTCAGGAGCCACCGGGAACTTCGTGAGCCCTGAGTTCGTCCGGAGACACAAGCTCGAGACCACCCCGCTCCCCACACCCATCCCCGTCCGTAACGTCGATGGAACCCCAAACGAGAACGGGGC